TGACTAAACACCAATATCAAATTAACTTAACTTTTCAAGTTTCATCAGTCTTAATTCTCAAAGTTCCCAACAATCCCTTATCATTAACTCCCTTTGCTTCAACTCCAAAAAATTGCGACTTCTGTAGAATCCCGTTGAGAGTTAAAATCTAACTCCCTTTTTTGTAGATACACAGTGCGTAATTTATAATTCAATTTATATGATTAAACACAATTTTAAAGCATACTATAATAGCATAATGATAACAAGAGAGATAAATGTTTTCAAATATTTATAATTCATTTTCTTGATCATAAAAGTAAACCATTTTTTCAGAGAAAACTTCGATACGAAAAATCACGAAATTATTCATAAAATATTTTACTTTTAAACTTAAAAGGTCTACAAAGTAGATGTAAATTTTTTTTATTCAACTATAAAACTTTTTTATGAATTCGGAAATTAATTACTATAACTGCAAGTTAAAATTTATAATTAATTTAATTCAGATGGGATTTTTTTATTAAGTAGTATAATTTATATTTATAATATTACACCTTCTCTAATAGAGTTTTCTGTTTAATATTATATATTCTTTACGTGTAAAAAAAGGTAAAATATAAAAAAAGTCATTTGCATATAGAAAAAATGTTAGCAGAAAATTCTTCTAAAGAAAACTGAGATTTTTTTGATAAAGGCATGCGGGGGGTCACATTCCTCTCAAAGCTTGGGTTCGTGATCGTGACGAAAATCGTACTATAAAAGAAGCAACATTCCATACCTATGAGTCAACAAACACACGCTTCAGGATTGCAAAACTTTTCTCGTATTGACGTGAAACTTTTCAAATGTACCAACTATAAGAGAAAAACACACGGGTCTCTAAAACAAACTTCAGAAATTAAATTACAATTGGATATAAGTGATATTATTCTATATTATTAAATTCTACTTAAAAATTCATTCCTTTGGGTATTATTAAACTCTATCTGCGATTTAGATGCTGAAGAGTTTTCTCAATTTAAGCTAAAACTAATTGATTTTTATATACCTAATTGAAAATAAAATTCTTGATCAATAAAATTGAAATTTGACACAAATTGAAACAGGTTTGACCTATTCACTGTCTATGGCCTACCAACGTCAACCGCAAGATTAACCACTTAATTATGAATCCAGCAATTTCATATAGTGACCTCGGTTTTGTTAGTGAATCCTGTCCGAATTGCGTCATTCAACTATATGAAATACGGAAATTAATTTCAACTTGTTGATCATCTTTTTCAGTTCCACACAATACATTCTGTTCTACACCAAAAATATATCGGCAAATTATTATTACCAACTATGAAAATCAAATCCTATTTTAAAATACGTCTAAAATCTAAAATTACATTAGTTTTTAATCTTCATTTAGGAAAACTGAAACTTGTCTGTTATAGTTAAAAGTCAATATCAATTTTTTGCAAGTTATTAGCTTATTGTATTTCCTTTGAAAACTCTATATACATATACGTTATTATTTCCTTCAGAAAAATAGTTTATTGGTTTCAAAAGTTTCAAAAGATTTTATTCCCTTTGAATGAAATGACGACGACGTTTTTTCGAACGCCGTTTCATTCCTCATACCTCATTTCTTTTTCGTCTATTTTAATACGACCTTTTATTACATTCACCATTTGGAGCGCCGCCAATTCTTGTTCTTTTTCAACTTGTTCTTTTGATATCCTGTCGTCTTTCTCGATAATCACTTTCTCTTTTGCCCTCACTGCGCTAATAGCATGTCACACTTACTATTATATGAAGAAGTTAAGATAAAAACTCGACACACAAGTGGCGAAAAACGAAGACAATTTTTTACCAATTTCTTACAACTGCAAATTCATTGGAAATACTTGAAATTGAATTCTTTCTTTTATAATTGAAAAATTAAATGGAAGTAAAACACGACAAACCTTAGTTAAATTTAATCTAAATGCGAATTACCGACACAATTCAAATTAGGCAATTTGAATATATAAAAATGCCGAATTGAAATCAGCTTACCAACTTGTGTGGTATATGTAATAAAGCTGCTTTGCTGAATTTGAAAATTTTATAAGGACAAAACCAGTCGTGGTTTCAATAAATTCATTAAGACAAATTATAGTATAGCAATCCATATGAATTATGCTTATAGACCTGTCAAGAAAACGACATGTCGAATAAATGAATTTACGATCATCGCTCCTTATAACAATATGGTTCCCATAAATAACGCACACTTCACTAAACTATACAATTTTCCTTGAATATTTGACAAAATTAAATTATAACATTTTATTATATGTATTTTTATTTATCTCACCTGTGTATTATTAACATTTAATTAGAGAGAAGAAGAAACAAGAAAACAAAAGATCGATATTAAATTAAGGATAAAACTTGGAATACATATAAAAATTGATCGCAAAGAATGGAGGATAAATTTCAACCCATATTTCATTCTTCTTGACTTTTCAACTTTTTCAACTACGACATCGCAAAGTTATTTTTCTCGTGACCAGTTTGTTTCAATGAAAAACTTGCAAACATATCGTAAAAGACATAATATTTCCCAGTGACACTTGCTTTTAGCTTTTAAAAATATTTTTCCACCACGTGTTTCCGTTTTCAGTCGAAACAAAGTAAAAATGTTTTTTATGAATTTAATTGTCATTTTTAAATATACGTCACTTTGCATTTTTTGCCGTTTTCCTAATTACGGTTATAAAAATAAGTTAGTAATAAAAAAAATTAGTAAAATAGTACTATGTACCTATAAAGTTAAGAAAAAAAGAAAATAATATAATAATTATTAATTTTTCTAAAGTTGGCAGACAATATTGAAAATTCTGTTGAATTCTTTTCACCAGATTAGCCTTTATTAAAAGCGCAAGTCTGCACCACCATCTTGGAAGATTTTTGCAAATGGCTTATTGTGAATTCTAAGACTAAGTGAATGCGCTGCTCATTTTCTTTTTAATCAAGCTGTTTGAAAAACGATCAATCATATGACGGCTCAATGAAAACGATCAATCACGCCTGTTGGTAGTAATTTCAAAAAGTACGCGACGAGAAAACTAACTAATTTTCAACTTTGGAAAATAGAAACCGAACATACAACCTCTATTGGAATATAAACTCGCATGATTTGCTTATAGAAAAAAAGTTTCTTATTATCCAAAAAATTTTTATTCTAAAAATATTTTTAAAAATATTTTTACGTCATAAAATTAAGAAAATAGAGAAATTAAATTCCTAATAACTATATTTTTTAAAATAAGCTTAAACTAAACCAAGTAATTAAGTTAACGTATGCAGTCAGACGTAAATTAAAACTAGTAAATAAATTTAAAAAAGAGAAGAAAAAAGAGAAAAAACAAAAAGAATTACCCCATTTACTCTGACAACAATTAACGAAACAAACACAAACACACCGAAAAATTTATCCTCAAGGGAGAAACTTTACCCGAAGCCGAAATAGATGGAAAACTTATTCTGCTGTTTTCAAGAACGTGAAGCTATTTAATATACCTATAATAACAAATTTGCAATTCCCTTTTTATTGCGTCCTAGCACTATGCACTGAAAGTTAAATTAAATAATAATATTTCTTATTATAATAATTATTGCACGTATTATGTAATATAAAAAAATATAACTACTAATTTAATTATAAATTAAATTATTTATTTAAATGAAATACGTTCCTTTTCAATTATATCCCGAGCTAATGAAAGCAAAATAATATTCAATCAGTTATTCTCAGTGAGAATGCGAGAGTAGCTTAGCAACTTTTTTCAGAGCACTTATATACATTCAAGTGTCGCCATTTTGCTCTGTAGGCAGAGTTGCTTTAGTAACCGTAGGGCTATATCATGCGCCAGAAGTAAACATCATAAACTATTCGCAAAGCCGAAGCGGAGGTCGTCGAGACGAGGCTGGCAATATTTGCAAGTCACAGAGTCCCGAGTGAATTATTCCGGAAAAGCTTCAAAGCTCTGCCGGATACTTGACGAATATGGACTGAGAAGTGTAGCTCTCTCTCTCTCTCTCTCTCGGTTGTTGCGAAACGAGTTCCAGCTCGCGCGAGACGAATGAAAGAGATACAGTAGAGGGTTGACGTGGGAGTCCAAGGTTTAATCTCTCCCCCCTCTCTCTCGTAATCCCTGCGATGACATGTATACACAAATATAACCTGCCCAGTTATATGTTTCTGTATTATTCAACAACATCCTGAACAACCTCTTCATATGCGCACAATAAATTGTAAATGTACATATATTTTGTTCTCACGAGTCTTTTCAATAAATAAAGGTCAACAAAAAATATATATATGTATACCCCATTCCATTTATTAATGCATATATAGCCGCAGAGAAAATAATTCATCTCTATTATCAACAAATTTCAATGGCCATTCTATTCAATAATTCAATTCTGATTATATATGTCGGAAACGTTTATAGTAATAAATACACTATGAGGTGTTATATTCTAAAAACAATAATCAATAAAATATATAATAATTATAATACAAATATTAAATGAGATTAAGTCTGCATGACAAAATATAGGAACGTATGACAATAATTAGTCCAAATAAAAGATCCAAAAAAATAACTAATATATATTATTGCGGACGTATGATTGCGACTTAGTCACAAATTAATAAATAGTACTCGCAATCATGTTTTATTAATAAATACATAGAAGCATAACTGTAATATTTGATATAATTTAGTGGTATCTGTCCCTTATCCGTACCTCATAGATCAAAGCAGGCGGTGCCAAGTCGCTTCACGGCGTGTGTAAAAGTAGTGCTTCAATTCGATTATGACCGCGACAGGAAATTTCGAAATTAAATCATTTTATAATGATTTAAATAATAATAGTTAATTTCAAGTAATTAACTAAATTCTAAATAATAAATACTAATCTACGTAAAAAAGATGATATATTTTGTAAAAAATTAATTTTCCTATTTCAATGGTTTGCAGGGTGATGGGCACAACAGAGTGTGGACGGCGACCTTGATAACCTTAACACTTGGAAGCTGGATAGGCAAAGTTGGTCCACGACCGGCAGACGGAGAAATTGCATCTCTCACATCACCGAGAGAGCGTCTAGAAACTGTGCGACAGGTGTTATCTGAAGTTCCATTAATCGATGGCCACAATGACCTTCCCTGGAATATCAGAAATTTCTTGCACAATCAACTCGCTAATTTCGATTTCGATAAGGACCTGCGGCAGGTGGCACCATGGAGCAAAAGTGCCTGGAGTCAGACTGATCTCCTCAGACTTAGACAAGGAATGGTCGGCGGACAGGTATTCGCTAAGATTTCAAAGTTCTGACAAATAGGATAATTTTAATTATCTATCCAAGGAAATATTTCGAGCGACACTAGGAATAAATGAGAAAAATTTCTTGCAAGGATTTACGTTAAAAATTGAATGAAATCTTGTTTCAAATAAATTTTATTTCGGTTTAAATATATAAAAATTTTATTTTTGTTAAATTAAATTAAACAAATGAAAAACAATTGAGACAAATATATTTCTATTTAATTGAAATAAATTTTATTTGTCTCAAATAACTTTTTTGCAAATTTCAGTCAATATCTGTAAGCAAATCTGATGTCAAGTAGATTACTTTGCGAATGGTCAGACGAAGACACTAACTCTAACAATAAGTAAATGCGAGGATATGAATAGTCGGACGAGCGGTGTACTTCTAAATTAAATTGTATTGCTGGATTTTAGTTAAAAATTAAACAAATTCAAAAAGCCTGCACAAAATTGATCATTTTCTTATCATTAATGAGAATCATAGAAAAATGAAATTGAGAATACAAAATATATTTTGCTAGTTTGCTACTGCAAAATAACATGCTGTGCAGCTGCCAACTTTCTTTCTTCGATTTCCTATATGCTCTACATTCACAGCATCCTTGTACGTTTGGTACTCATCCACTATACATAATGCAACTAGCTAGGCCGCATAGCTCGTACCTTCCAGCCAAATGTGCAACGAGGTAATTTCCTCTATATGTATATACGATAATGTACACGACTCTTACAAAACTTCTTTTTGTATGTTTACCTTTTTCAAAGATTATCACATATCCATATCTATTTATTGATTTTTTCATCAACTTTTCTATCGTGAGACACAAAAAAATACAACATTTACATCAAAATCACCCTATTTTATTATTTATTATTGTATAATTGAACTTAATTGAAAATTTTAATTAAATTCACTTTTATCAATAAGTTTTTAACTCACGAAGCAAGTTTAATTCTTATTTTCTGCCGTTCAGATATAATTAGAAAATTTAATCAGTTTCCTCACATTACTCCCCCCTCTCTCTCTCTCTCTCACTCTCTAATAGGTGTGCGGCTATTATCCTTCTAGGCTGTTGGAAAGAGTCGACTTCGATTAGTCGTTAAAGTTAATACCTCCTTCAGTCCTGATCTCTTCAGAAATCGAGAATTTCGAAACTTCTCCGCAAAGCAAGTTAAAACTAACACACACGCAATCCAAGAAAATCCCTTCTGTTACAATAGTTTTCAATTAAATTTATTTTATTGTGTAAATATAGTGGATACTGCCATTTTTTAAACTTTTGACATTGTTGTTGTTAATATTTCCAATTCTCTAATATCTATTAAAAAGATAAAATTTAAATGGAAGAAAATTTTTTATTCCAAGATAATTTTTGCATGGAGAAATTCATGCCGGACTTTGAGAAAACTTGTTGTCTCGAGGGTTGCCAGAAAATAGTTTAAGATAGAAAATGGATCTTCAAAGGTCGACAGGTTAACTCGGAAGCGACCTCGCATTTACATAATTTACACGTGTGTGTTTGCAGAAGAGCAAGTTACACGAAATTTTCACGGTACAATGTAAGCCAGTAATCGACGCATTGAACCTATTCATAGCAAAGTTCAAAAACTTGAATCAAAGTAGGACTTGAAAACCAAAAATTCACTATAGCGTATATTAATAACAAGTTTTACGATTCTTAAATGACAGCTAAATAATAAGCTATTTTGTTTCATTATATTTTATTATATTACAAATTTTATTTTTTTAATTTTGATTATACTTGTGTTTTTGTAGATATTTAAAAATGTTAATTAAAACAAGAACTTGAACGTTAAAATTGAATTTTGTCCAATTATAAATTTACGCAATTTCATGTGAATAAAATTAATTAACGTAAAACGAGAAAAGTAATTAATGCGAAATGACATTCAAATTTCGTTATAGTGAAAAAAAAAATAATTTTTAAGTTTAGAAAATCCAATCGTTTTTTCGAGGCTTTCTATTTTTCCACATTTATTATATATGTATAAGCCTCTTTTGAATTTAAAATTCATGTTGAGTATTCACTACACAACAGTTAAACTTTGATGCTTCAGTAAACGTGGTTGCTGCAGAACGAATTTTAAATATCCTGTCTGCAATGCACATAATTTTTTAGTTGAAAATTTTATAAAGTGATAAATTATATATTCTGAATATGAAGAATCATAAAAATATCCATATAAAAAGGCACAATAAATGTCAATGTATGATTTATAAATTGATATACTTTTGGCACATCGTATAAAATAGTTGAGTGTAAAAAAATACATCATCATTAAAAAAATATAAAAACTTGATCAAGTTGCATTGTAATTTTAGAATAATAAATAATATATAATAAATTCCGCGAGTATAATTTTGGTAATAATAGAATTTATTACTTTCAACTTGAAATCACCATAAAAAAGAAATTCAATTTCATTCGTAAGACCCAAGACTTTAATCGAAAGCTGTTGAAATGCTAGAAGCCTGTTGAAGATTCCTCGAAAATTGTCTCTTTTGGTATTTTGACACCGGGTGTGTACACGCCGAAGAATCAAGCTTATTTTCATTTCATGAGATTGCACTTTTTTGAAATTAAATTAAAAATAGAATTAGGAAAGAAGTGAGGATAAATGCTCAAGAATTTTTTTCATATATATAATAAAATACTATATATTTGAAATCAAAAACATGAGAATAAATTCGATATTTGTACAAAATTATGTGAGCCACAAACCTAATTTCAAAAATGTGAGTTTCTTTAAGAATTGTGTCTTAAATCTGAAAAAGTTTTTTCATTAAAGCCACACTAATAAATTATATGCAAGATCACCTCTTACAAGGGAGACATACACGAGAGTAATGGAAATGAGCAGAGAGAGAGAGAAGTTCGTGTCGAGTGCAAGCTGCAAAAACGGCTGAAACAGCTGCTTCCTCCATGACCACAGACTACTTTTAACCTTTTCCTAAAGACTTTTTCTTTTATTTCAAAGGTTTCCACCAGTCATTGTAATTGTTTCCACTTCAAACGAACCCTAAGCTTAGCAAACACGAGTATATAGAAGATAATATTACTTTAACTGGAAAATCTAATTTCATTAAAATTTCAATATTTTCTTTATATTAATAATATTTTGAGAACTTTGCCAGAAGTTCGATTAATTGACGCATATTTAATAAATGTACGTATTTTCATCGCCTCCGGAAATTCAAATTTTTAGCAAAATTATTATATCAAGACAATAAAACATCATATTATATAACAGAATAAAATAAATCAAATATTTAAATGAAAAAATCCCATAGTGACGAAGTGGATAAAAATATTAAAATCTGATCATCCAAATGTGATTAACATCCAATAAAAAAAAACTTTACAATACCTTATAGCTGAAAGAAGAAATTATTAGTATACCCTGCTCTAAATTAATTATAAAATTTTTTCTTTTATTTATTAATTAATTAATATTTATTATAATTCCTTGATAATACTCACTAATTAGAAAGAAAATTGTAAAAATAATTAAAAATTTTTCATACTTTTATTGGCTTAAAAAAATCAAGTTTCTAGAATAAAAAAAATTGATATACAACTAAAGTTTCTAAAGGTATTAAATAAAAATTCTTTAATTATAATTAATTAGTGATGTCCACGTATACTAAGCAAAAAATACCTTACTCTAAGAAACACAAACATACATATTAAATAATAATAATAATCCACTTTCAAATTAAAAAAATATGTAATATAAATTTAATTAATATTAATTTAATTAGCTGTCACTAGGAAATTTTCCAAATATGTTACAACTTGACTCCACCACAATAATAGAGACAAGAGGAACTTACCATTCGTGGATTATCTTGGTTTATACGATATGATGCGTTGATCATCCTTTTCCTATCTCCTTCTGAAAGCCACTCTTATTACAATCAGACCAATTTTATCTTTTCCTGCAAGCAAAAATGGTGAAAAAGAGAATAGATACCAGCAATTCAATAAAAATCTTTGTCTTTATCTTCACTTAAATCAGGAACATAGTAAAGTTGTTAAAATTTACAAGCAAAAAGTAAATAAAATCATATGGGAAAAGGGAAAAAATTATTATCGCTCTAACATAATCTCAATTCATAGTCGCAATTTTCATATTGATATATGTATTGTTAAACAGATTTATACTAATTGAAAGAATTTTATACTTATTAAAAAGTATTGGGTATCAAAATATTGTAAAATTTAACAATAATTTTACCTTTCTCGACCAATTATGAAGATCTGCACTTGAACGCGCTACTTATTTCTCCAAGTTAATTCTCCCGTTAATTTACATGAAATTTTTTTTTAATTCATTGGTGAATTGTCACTAAACACTGGATTATTACACTTCTTAACGAGGATCGAGTATCAAAATATTGTTAAAATTAACATCAATAATGCCTTTTTATCGAAAGCTGACAACATATTTCACGATTGTTTGTTTGTTTGTTTGTTTTGTTTAAATGGCCTCTTGTAATATTTCACGATAAATACCCAAATAAGTAACAGGTTACATCTTGAAATGTGAGCGACGTTCTTATTGGTTTACGAACAATAGGAATACTGGCGCCATACTTTTCCGCTAAATTATAGAGCTACCTTATTCGTCGTGAGAAAGGACAGACGGACGCCGGATAGGCCGCCAGCCGTACAATTTGGACCAATAAAAAAGCTTTACTTTTAGGCGGGAAAGAATTCAAAATTTTGAAAATGAGTAAAAAAGCATTATTTTTTAATAATAAATCATAGAGCGAATATTGTTATTGATTAATAAAAATTAAGAATAATTTCAAATTCCGTGAAATTGAATAGCGGAAAAACTGAGACTAATTTGATTATTTGTATAATAACGAAAAGTAATTTTTAAAAAGCAATAGAATAAAAAATGTATGGAAAATAATCGTAAAATATTTATTTATTCTTCAGTTTTGGGCCGCTTACGTCCCATGTGACTCACAACATCTCAATGCCGTGCAGATGACTTTGGAGCAGGTGGACCTAATCAAGAGGCTCATAGAGAAATACTCTCAACATATGCAGTTCGCAGCATCCTACAGGGGTAAGAAATAACTTCAAAAAATTATAAGAATTTTCCATATTAATTCATTTTTTTTGTATAAACTTCTAGTTTCATGTTTTAAACACAAAAGAATCGCAAAAATAATTATTAGGAAATTGTAGTATAATTATAATTCTGAAAAGTAATTACCAATTGCAGAAATCCTGGAAGCCCAAGACAGGGGTAGGATAGCCTCTTTAATTGGGGTGGAGGGTGGTCATAGTCTAGGTAGTAGTCTAGCAGTTCTAAGGACACTGTACCAATTAGGAGTACGTTATTTAACTCTTACGCATACTTGCAACACTCCATGGGCAAAAAGTTCCACAGTGGAGCAGAACGAGCGAATTGATGGTGAGAAATTACACTTGAAATAAATTAGAAATTTCACAGTAATTCAAAACAAAAATTTCCACACAATGATTCAATTAATTTAATTAAATTTCTTTGTAGTTTGAAAAAACTGAAATTCACTAATTAATCGAAAAATATTAAATAATTAAGAAAGGTTTGAAAAAAGGTTGTATGAATTTTAGGTGGACTGACCTCATTTGGAAAGGCGGTAATTCGAGAAATGAATAGGTTAGGAATGATGATAGATTTGAGCCACACTGCAAGAGCAACCATGAGGGATGCTTTAAGAGCGAGCAAAGCACCTCTCATATTCTCACATTCTTCAGCCTTTGCTATTTGCAACTCATCGAGGAATGTGCCTGACGACATCCTCAAGCAGTTGGTAAGTGAACTGAACATCAATTTCACTTCAAGAACTGCTTGAATCCAAGTCCCCGTTGTTTCTTGTTCTTCTATTTCCAATTATTATCTATTCCACCAACTTTCCATTTTCGTTAAATAGTTATTCCATTTATTATTTTTTTTTTTTATTAATTTTAATTATTTATTCATTTTTGGACAAGATTTTTTTAAAAAACATAAATATTTTGTAAATTTAATAATTTATAAAAGTTTATAAAAGTCCTTTTTCCAAGAGAATTATATTGAGATAAAATTTCCGGTTAACTTTGCCTTGGGTCTCTCTCCCTCTGGATTTTTGTTATTCGTTGCTCGCGTCGATTGCCTGAATAGAATAGATAATTATCTAGTTCAGTCGAGTAAGTTCCAATGGCTTGAAACAATTACGAGAAACAATTCCTTTCCACAGTTGAGTTTTCTAGACCATTAAGACAACCATCCACGACTTCGTTATTTCAGATCTGAATTAGACAGTGCTAAAAATAATGTTCCATGTGTACTTCTCCCCTTTTTAGTGTATTTTAGGATCGCGATTAAACCATTTATGGCGGATAACATTCTAGATTCAAGGATTATTGCACATCAAGTTTCAACGATCTCAGAGATTATTTCCTTTTAATTAAAATCCCTTTGTGTAGAAAACGTTGGCCAACAGAATTCTGTTTTTTTTTTATTTGACGAATTATCTCAATCTCAAAATATTTCTGATATAGTGAGATCGTTTTTCTTTATTTTTCATCAGTAATAATGGAAAACCTGAAAAATAATAAATAATTTGGTCCATTTTCGTAAAAAAAAATAGAAAAGCTACCTCAAACTAAGAAATTTGTTGTTGTTAAATGAAAATTGGAGTTAAAAATAGTTAAAGTTGATAAAATGGTAGTAAAAAAATAAAAGTCGAGGAGAAAAATATACGAGTTGCGCGAGGAAAGTCTTTCTGTGGAAGATGTCAACGGCTTAAATCCGTTAAATCTGAGGATTTACAAGCCGCCACAGTCGAAATCCTGAAAATGTACCCCGGGTATTAAGTATTCTATATCCTTCAGCAAAAGTTTCAACAAAAAGAAAAAAATGTTCCTTTCATACCAGTCATTTGAAATTTTCTTCAAGAAACTTTATACACGATAAATTGGGACTAAATAAACGATACACTAAAGAATACACAATAAATCTTGACTCTGAAGATTTTCAACTCAATCTTTCAAAATTTCTTCAAGAGTGTAATTAAATACATAAGAGAATTTAAAAATCAAATTCTTTTATTTATTAAATTTAAATGTTTTCTTCTAATGAAAGATTTTATTAAAATTTGGCAGTCCCTGAAAAACATTTGGATAGAAAAAAATTGTGTGAAATATTTATAGAAATAGTTTTCCGAAAATGTTTGAAAAGTAAACTTACAAAATCCTCTTTTTTGACAAACGCATCGATCACGTTCTATCGCACACAAAACAGAGTAAAACAGTTTAGAAATGCTTGGCTGTAATGTATATCCGATAGCAGACAAAAGAATACTGGTCCATGATTTTGGCGCCAAAAGGACAGTTGGAAAAAACAAAGAGGATTATTTGTAGTTTTAACCAAACAACTCGCATCCGATTGAGAGGATAAACTTTATCTGAAAAGAGTGAACTTTGATTTTATTTCCAAAGAGAGGAAAATCCCTTTTTTAATATTACCTCACTAACTTGAATGGTAATTAATTATTCACTATTCGACTATTTTATTTTGAAAATTTTTGATTCTTTTTTTTAAATTGAAAATAAACATGGAATAGTTTTAGAAAATAAAAGTTGATATAAAAATGAAAATTAGTACGTCTAATTTGTTTTGGAAATTGAAAAGAAGAGTTGCTTTGGTTGAGTTATGAAAGCTTCAGAGAGAAAATAGAACGTGGGACACACAACCGAGAATAGAAGAGAGCATGTACATATAGGGATTAACGGCTTTAAAGCTAGTCGCAAGACAAGAGTAAATGTGCTAAAATGGTTAGTTACATGACGAAGTAGAATGAACTGTATAGAGTCAGACATCCTGACGCTGTTTACTATCTAGCGTTTATAAATGCACCACAAATTTACGAGCTCTATCGCTTATCGAATTCGTTCATCTGATTCAGACAAGAAAAGTTAACACCACTTTTCCCCCAAACTTTACTCTCAATTGCGACCTTAACAAACGGTCACAAATTTCCATTTTCACAAAGCTAATCGCGTCACCTCCAAAATTTGCCTTTGCCCTGAAACCAATAAAAAGAAATGAAATCAATGAAATTTAATCAAGAATAAAATTAATTAAAATAATATTTTTACAATATATTTAACACCCGGTGTTTAATTGGTCAATTATTTTTTCCAAGGGAGTCTTGAAAATTGAGAATCTAAAACGCTCTCACTTGTTCCAGGCTGCTAACAATGGTCTGGTGATGGTCACATTTTACAACTACTTCGTTAAATGCGGTGCTGAAGCTAGCGTGACTGACGTTGCAGAACACATTTATCACATTAGGAATTTAATTGGAGTTGACTACATTGGAGTTGGTGGAGACTTCGATGGCATTAACAAGTACGTTCGTGTAAAAGTTGGTCGCAAAACGAATGGTTTTTTATTGACTTTATTTTTCCAGAACACCTCGCGGTCTAGAAGACGTTTCCAGATATCCCGAATTGTTTGCGGAACTTCTTCGAAGTGGCAAGTGGTCGGTGCATGATCTGAAAAAGGTTGCTGGATTAAATCTATTGAGAGTCATTAAACAGGTGTGTAAATACTATTCCAATAATAATTCCTTAATACATATTTAAGAATAGTTGAAAAATTAATTATTATAGATTATTTTTAATTTTGGTTTCAATTTTAAATTCAGAATTTTCATAAACTATAAAAAATAGAAATTAAATATAAAATTGAAATTATTTTAAAAAATGTTTGACTTACAGGTTGAAAGGGTCAGAGACGATATGAGAACAGCGGGAGAACTGCCATCGGAAGATTTACTGGACTCTCCGGACACATCAGGAAGTTGTGCTTTGGACATAAATACAGTGCCAAGAGTTAAGGAATTTTGAAAATATTCACATATGCATCTCGAGGAATGGAAAGCTCGAGAGTCAAAAGAAGAAAAAATAAAGAAAGAAAAAAAAGACTTTTTCTATAGAAAAAAAATTGCAATCCTTGTTCGATTGAAAAGTTTTTCAAGTGAAAACTTGCACAACTTTGCGATGCTCAATCGGTGTGAATTTATACACACGCGATCTCGACAATTAAATGTGCCAGCACTTACACGTCACCAAAATTCCCACCCACACATGTATAGGAAATATATTGTAAAACTATTTCTATTTCAAATGCGAAAAAATCCCAGATGAACAAATGATAAAAAATCTGAATGACTGGATAATAAGTAATTGATTCAAGAGTCTATTTTCTTTACTGACTTTTTCTTGCATTAGTCTTTCAAGAAACTGATGTGGCACATCTGAAATAAAAAAAAAAAGATAACAATGGTAAATTTTAAAAAATACCCAAATTCACTATAGAAATATTAAAATAGTTCTTTTAGTGAGAGCTTTTCAAATTACAAATTTAAAATGACTGATATTAAATTTAAGAAAGTTAATTGAATCGCATTTTTAATTAAATTTCATTAAATTATAGACTGTTATAAATATATAAATGTAATTTAAAGGAAAAGAGATAATTTCAATTTTTTTCGAAACTTTAATGAAAATGAAGAAAAGTTTTCAAATTGTTTGAAATTTTCTTATACTTTTTTACCCTTCTTAAAAATGAATGATAAACATTTTATAAAACTGTAAAATCAACAACTACTTGTGAATATCTAAAAGCGTGATTTTGAGGTAAAATATTTTTAAATGAGAATAAATGTGATCATCCATCAATTACAGACTTTAAATATAATATTCAGAACAATTTCAATAAAGTTTTTAGTTTCGTATCCACATATTAGAAATTTTAAATCGAACTTTAAAACAAGAAAATAATTGTTATACCTGAAATATAAAGTAACAAAAGATTGAAATTGAAAAAAAAATATTATTTATTTAAAATTGAAAAATAAAACAAATTTAAAAAATATTTTTGTCCTGAATTTTAAAAGGTCATATCTTTCTGAGCTCTACAAAATCGAAAATTGTACGATTTTGTTAATCTTTGTGTAAAAATTTAAATGAAAATTCAGGACAATAAATATTTCAATAAAAAAAGGAAACAAAATGAAACTAATGAAATTTGGTACCTCAATTGCACCTTATACAAAGAACGAAAAATCTCATCTATAGCGTCTTTATATCGAATATTTAAATTTTAAGGAAGCTTTTACTTTTCCTTATTTTTTCTAATAAGGAGAGTGCATTGTTTCCTTAATTTTAACTATTTCGATATCCCTACCTGTCTGTGTCTTGTGTGCACTTATTCCTGTAGTCCGTGCGATTGAATCTTTACAAAAATAAAATAAATAAATAAATAAGAAAACAAAAACCAAAAAAAATGAATTTTCAAAATCGCATGGATTACTTGGCAGCCTTCTGCGAAAGGCTAGTCACAACATAGTATATCAAATTTCTGTTGTAACTTGGAAAACGGGCGCTGCAAATAAATGTTTCTATTGCAAAAAATTATTTGTGTTTAATGTAAACATCTATTTATTATATATATATATATATATAATTATTATTTTTCCCCTTTTACAAACTCTATTTTTCCTTGTCTTATTTTTATGTAACCTAAATCACTTGTTTTTTTAATGTTTAGACTTTTTTTCTTTTTTTGATTTTTTATGTTTATAACGTTCTTTGTCTTTGTGTTTATGTTTTTTTTTCTCCTTTTTCGATTTTTTCACTTTTGTTCTTTTTCCAATGTCTTTCACTTTCTTTTTATTATCCCTGAAAATATCGGAAGAAGTGTCATCAACACTTTTAAAAAACGATCTTGAACTTTGCAATGAATCACGATTTTCAGTAATATTTTTCGACTTTTCTAAATCCCGTGAAGAAGAAAATGGAATAACTTTGCAAGTGACTTCTATAACATCCGGTGACACTTGTCTAGTAGCAGATGCTTCATTTTTATTCTTATCAGATTGTGATGTGGATGGACCGACTAAACTATCGAAATCCAAGTTTGCAAAAATACCCCTCGGTGGTGATGTATTTCGTTGAATATTAATTTCACCTGGTTGTCCAATCAAAACTGATTTTACAATTTCACTGTCAACACTTTTTTCTGGATCAGAATCCGAATCTTCACTGCTACTGAGAAAAATGGCCTTAAAAAGATCACGTTTCTCTTGAATTTTTTCTTTTGCTTCCTCGAAGCTTGGTTCACTTTTCGAATCATAAATCATTGAAAACTGTTCACCTTTTCCGAATACCTTTTCATATGAAGCTTCAAAATTTTTATCTATTTCGGTTGTTTCCTCTGTAATTATTTCATCGAATTTTTTCTCCTTGAGACTTGGACTTTGTGGCTCATAATTGATCTCCTTTTCTAAAATTGTTGATGTCTGAAATTTCGAAGCTCCACCACAAAAGTCCAATGATTCAAAAACGGAAAACTTCTTCTTCTTCTTCTTCTTTTCAGTGTCCATTGCGCAACCGACATTTGGTTCTGCAACATTGAACCTTTTGCAAACGAGGCTGGAAGGTTGCCAGATTATTCTTTCTCTAGTTAGTTTACCAAACATTTTCATTTTTGCTGCCTCCTTCATTTGATTTGTAATGCCTTCTGGTTCACTGAAAATCGAAGGATTCGTGACAAACTTTTTGACCACGGAGTTTTTCTTTCCCTCCATGCTGGAGTTTTGGATATTCTTCGAATCCAGAAGTCTTGCCGCTTGTTCAAACTCAGTTTTTTCTTGATTTCTTCCCCATTCGCTCATTGTGAAAGGTTGAATTCCATCGAGTTTGTGAGTTTCTTTGTGTTTACGTAAGTCGAGATATTTTTCGAATCGCTGCTGTTTATCAGGATTGGTAATGAAAAGATTCATGGAACTCTTAGATTCTACAGGCGAATCAAGTTTATTCAGGCTTTCTGACTTATTCGATTCTTGGTATTGTTCTAAATTTTGAAGACTCCCATCAACATTCAAGCCAGGTCCCATGGTTCCGCCTTTCACGAAACTCGATGAATAAAGTTTATCTAACCACGATGAGGATGCTGCAGCAATTTCTCTCTCTTTTTCCAATTTTTGTCTCTCGGCAACTTGTTCCCGTCCATGTAGATTTAATGTTTTAGTTATTATTTTCGCAGCAAGTGATGATACACAATCAATTTTGTTCGATTGTTCTTTATTATGAGATTTATTATTAGATTCACCTGATTCTTGTGAATTCCGTGATAAAGAAGGTTCACCAATAATAGCGCCTCTCGCCTCAGCATTCAAATGTTGACCACCATATTTTTTCGTCACATTACGTGGAGGTGACTCAATTGGAGGATTGAATCGACTCTTTCGAATAACATGAACAGCTTTAAAATCCTTTGGCAAATCGGGTGGCTCGAAAAATTTTCTGCGAGGTAACGAATTTTTGGCAAGTAGAAAACTCTCAAAGCATCCATTTCTCATAAAAGTAACAACTTTACTTTGACTTGATTTCGAATTCAATTTCTTTGACGGTCCCAATTCAAAATCGTAATTTGACATGTCTTCTCGTGCGTAGATATCTTCATCCTCCGCTTCAAAGGCACCAACTCCGAATGCCTGACCAGTTACAGAAAATTTCTTATTTTTTTCTTCAAGACAAAAGGTTTGTGGTTCAAACAAATTTATGTGGCCAGAGAGGACTGGTCGCTTATCCAATCCAGTGTAACCGATTCCAAAAAAATTGTCTTTTGGATTAATTCTGAAAATAAAAATAAATAAAAATTTATTAATTAATTAAAATATGATAAGTACTAAAATTACATTTAAAGAAACGGAAAATCACACCTAAATGGTTCATAATCGTCAGGAGCAAATTTAATTTCTGAATATTCATCATCTGATGATTCCGAGTCACTTGTTTCGTATTGTTTCTTTTGAGTAGGCATATAACAAGTGTACACTTTTACTTTTTCGTTTTGTTTTTTAACATTAGCTTTTTCTCTTTTTGTCAGTCGTGGTCCAATACCCTGTCCTGGTTTCCAGCCCATTTTTTTAAGTAACTTCACGCCTATTCTGTCCCTGTTGAAATAAAAATAATGATAATAATAAAATAATTCAACAAATGCAGAAAATTAAGAGCCTATATTCACAAAGTTTCACTGGGACAAAACAAATCTGAACATTGTAAAAAAATTACTTACTTGACAGGTTTAATGACATTTTCTAAAACAGGCGTTCCAGGAATTGGACCATCATTAATATGCCGAGCCATTTTTCTTTTAGTTCCCCTTTGTTTAGCATCAACGTAATCTAAAGTAACACCTATTCTAGTTGGTGCAATTCCAAATTCACTGGTGTCTTCTTCATCCATAAAATCTTCTGGTCGTTGAGTGATGCCTTCAAATTTTTTTTTACGAGAAGATTTAAATTGTTGAGGTTGCCATCCATCTTTTGTTCCAACGGAATTAAAATATCCAGCAGAGAAACCACCTGTAAAAGCCCCATGAAATCTACGTCTTCCATATTCGTCAACAGCAATTTGATCTTGAATTCCCACGGGTTTTTTCCGTGGTAAATTATCTGTCCAAAGTTAAAGAATTATTTTATTTTTACATTAAATAATTGTCATGCCCAACTGTTATTGATAGTAAAATTGTTAATTAATATAAAATTAATTATTAAACAGATATAATATAATTTTTATTAATTAACGTTATATTAATATTAATTATAAAATACATATAATTGTGACAAACCTTCGTCAAGAGGGTCAAGTGCACATCCGTATTTTGCATAATTTTCTTCTTCTGAATCACTCATTTTTATTGATTTACCTAAATTTTAATTAATACTTTAAATATTAATTACACTAGCATATTAATTATTTTTGAATGTTGTCCAATAATCATTGTTATAATTAATAACAAATTGATCCAAACTAAACGTTTTTATTTACGTTTTTCTCGATAAAATTGAGGTTATGTTCGGCGCGACATCTCGCGACAAATGTCAAATGTGCGGTTCAATATATTATAATTACCTATAATATACTTTTGAAATATCCAAATTTAAAAATGAAATTATTAATAATTAAAACGCAAAAATAACTTTGTAAAATTAAATTAAAAATAATATATTATTAGCATATTAGTAAATTTGTGTCTATAGTATATTCAAAAGTTCTATTGATTCATCCATCAAAAGATATAACCTTAACTTAAAAATTAATGGTCAAGCGCATACAAGCAATCTTATTATATTATTATATTTATATCTTATTATTTATTTTAAAAGAAATTGAAATTTGCAAAACATATATATGTATATAAAACTAAACATTCTCTAAATTCCTAGAGAATATTCGTAATATTCTTAATTCTCCGCAAGGTTCTCTGATGTTTCAAATTCTACAATTCACATTGGGCAAATTAATCTGAATGGCAAATCCTGTTATCAAAAACAATTGATAGCAACAAATTATGCCGATATGGCCATATACAATATTTTCTTCGTTCGCAAGTGTTTGTTAGTAAATGGTAAGCAAATTTTGATATATTTATGATGATAATAATTCTCCGATTTCATATAAAGTGTTTACGTCAATCCAAAGCGGTGAATCGCCATTACCCTCTTCTCTCATTATAAAATTAATATATTTATTGAAAATTATTATCTAATTACTATATTTCAATAAAAGAAATAGTACTTGTTTATATCAGTAACGTTTATAATTTGAAATTTTTCAAAATTAAGCAAATTATCATTATGAAACGTCTATAACATCCATAGTTTTACAAGTTATATGTACAGCATTTCCTAGTGCCAAGAAGTCACATTTTTACAGATTATATATGTATATATTGAAAAACGGTAAATATATTAAGTTTCTCTTGCTTTTAAGAATATACTTGTAGAGTTTTGTACAATTAAAATTCAGTCGATTAAAAATAAAAATATAACATTTCAGCCACATAACCTCAAAATGAGTAATAATTGTTCGGAAATACCGGCTTCTCTCAGTCATCAAATTAAAACATTACTTCAAGGAGAAGATCCGATAAAAGCTGTGGAACTAATTAATGACGACACACATCTTGAGACACTTAAAGAATCATCTTGGAACATCGTTGAAATTGTAACTCCTCACTTGACAATTGAAAATGCAAAAGGAAATATCCCATTGTTTAAGGCTTGCGAAGCTATTCTTAATATAGTTACCGAAAAATGTAAGCCATCCGAAACAGTTTTGGAATTACTCGAGGAAATTGATAATCAGGAGAACGATGTGAAATTTTTCACTTTATTAAAACCATTGAAACGAAGTTTACAGAAACTGGATGACAAGAGTAAATCTTTTGATTGGTGCGCGAATACGATAAAATATTACGTTGATGGTCTTCCATTGCCTGATAAAGAAATTATTTTAGAGGAAATCGATTCAGAGGAATGTAGAATCATTGATGTTTACAAGGAAATACTGTTGTTTTTGAAACCTTTCATTGAAGAATCATCTCTTGACAATGGGAAAAATAGTAAAATTCGAAATCATTTGCTGAGTTTACTTCTCTCATTGATGGGAAAACCGTTTTGTCATTTACCAGTATGTTCACGATCTGTGAGAGATATTTCCGAATCGATAGTGATTAATATTTGTAAATTAACTGGTGATTGCTTTCAATTTCTTCCGATTGTTGCTGAACGAGATAGCAAGTCACTTAACAAGACGTCAAAAAATAATCTCTTTGAGTCAACGTGGCAAGTTTCAAATTTATCTTACGCTAATTTCTATTATCTATTAATGACTAAGGAATCTTTACAAGACAAAATTCCTCAGGTTTATGATTCGGAATTTATTTTACAAAATTGTTTTTATCTTTCCTATATCTTTCTCGAGAAGAATATTCCAATTTTTCTTTACAAAGGATTAGGTCTCATTGAATCGGTGATATGTCGAGTGGAAAAATATTCTTTAAGTCAACAAACATTAGAATTGTCAGTGCATTCGAAATTGTTCTCGTGCTTAACGCAAGTGATGATTTACTGTGAATCAGATGTGGAACGAAAAAGAGCTTTGGAAATCTTTAAAAATTACGTCGATTTATTTACAATTCAAGTGAAATATCAAGTTCTTTTACACCTCTATAAAATTACCAAACATTCGGGTCTTTTGAGTTTAATTAGTGTCATTGTCAAAGATTCTATAATCAAGTGCCTTGAGGTGGACCCACCTTTGCCTTATTTTCTTGGATCAAATTTGCATACATTACTCTCGATTATTTGCAAATTACAACACGGAAGTGCGACCGATTTGATAGAAATTGCTGAAGAGACAATAGCTGCTTTAAATTTAATTCGTTTTCTGTCAATTCGTGATAACAATAATATTACAGGCTTTTGGGATTATACGGAAAATTTGGAGAAACATTATTTGAAAGAATTGCGAAATGGTGTGGATTTAAGTCGTGCTCACTGGAAATTGAAATTAAAAGACCTAAAAGAGGAGGAAAAATTATCAAAGAAGCCGAAGAAATGGGAAGTTGATAATGTGACCGTGTCAGTTGGTGGTGAAAATTTGTCAATGTTACCTGTCAGTGAAAAAATTGAATTTTCCCATCACGCTTTAAATGCCTTGGATATGATTGAAATTGTATTAATTCGAGTTAATGAATTTCTGGAGAATCATCGTCTTAAATTAGCTCCTAAAAATTAAATATTTCATAAAGGTCAATAAAATTTATTCGTGAAATACGTTAAGTTTCTTAAAATAATTTACAATTCAAGTTAAGAATTTTGTAAATTTTTGAAATAAATAATTTTAGTGTAAAGAACGTTAAATATTTAATCCCTTTTTGTTTTAAAAAAAATTATGCATAGTAATAAAAAATTTAATGAATAGATATTAAATATATTTATTCATGATTTTCATCATTTTGTGTGAAATTTTCATGTTTACGACTATATTACAATAATATATGTATTATTTTATAAAACACATTACATGAAATCTTCAAGTTTATTAATCAATAAAAAATATTAATTAATAACATTATGAAATTTAAAAATTTGTAATCAATTCTCTTTATTGACTTGTAGGTTTCAGAAATCTTTCGACTTGGAGAACTTTACTTTCTGAGCAAACACAAAATGCTTCTATCAAAGGAAATGGTTCTCATACTCAAAATGAAGATGAATACGAGAAAAATATTGAATCTAAAATTCTAAATGCTTCACTAAAATTTGTACATAATTACGGATGGAGTCAGCAGGCAATTAGTGCTGGTAAGAAATTTTGAAAATCTACAAATTTTTTATTTATTTTAGTATTAATTAATACACGGAACAACTAAGATTTTTATTAATTTTTATCGGTTTTATCGAAATAGTGTCAGTTATATAATATTGAATAAATACACTTTTTTTATAAGAAAAAAACAAAAAAAAATGAATTTTATTCAAGGTGCGGAATCAATCGGTTATCCAGGTGTTATCCATGGAATGTTTCCAAACGGAGGAGCAGATTTGGTTCATCATTTTTATTCCTCTTGTAATCAGGAACTAAATAAAATTCTAAAAGCCCAGGTTTTGGCGATCGAAGCAAATCCTTCGGAACCAAAACCAACGCCAGAAGCTCAGGTTCGAGAGGCCATGGAAAATAGATTAAGAATGTTGATACCATATAAAAAAACTTGGCCTCAAGCAATGGCCTTAATGGTCTTACCTCCAAATGTACCAAAATCTTTAGCTAATATTTTAATTCTTGTTGATGACATTTGTTACTATGCTGGTGATCGTTCTGTTAATGTAAGTTAAATTATAGCTATTGTAAAAATAATTAGATTTAATTGTTCGCATTTAAATTAAATTTTTAAATGAAGCTTATTATTTAAAATTTAATTTTTCCTTAAAAAATGTTTAAATAGTTTTATATTTCCCATTATTTTATTATAATAATTTTTATTCAATTTTATTTCGAATTTTTTCAGTTTAATTGGTATACAAGAAGAGTTGTTTTAGCAGGAATTTATAAAACAACCGAGCTGTATTTGTTACAAGATAATAGTGAAGATCATAAAGAAACTTGGAACTTTTTGGAAAGAAGAATAGAAGATGCTATTCAACTTCGTCGAGTTATTTCGATTCCAAGCGATATACCTCCTCCAGATCAAGCACTCACTAAAGCCTCTGAGGCAGCAAGTGCAGCTTTCATAACGGTAAACTTTAAACTTATTAATTTTAAAAAGAAATTTAATTTATATTTTAACTTTTTTAATTTATATTTAATTTTTTGAAATTCATAAAATTTTGAATTAAAATAATTTCTAATTGAAAATAATTGAAATAATTTTTAAAACATCTGAATTGTAAATAACTATGTCAATTAATTTTTATTTTCATTTTTAGGCTCGTAATATACTTGGCATGAATTATGGAAATAGGCAACGAAGTTGAAATTTTTAATTTTTAGATATCTCCATTATTTTGTTATTATTATGAAAATAGGCAACGAAGTTGAAACTTTTAATTTTTAGATATCTCCATTATTTTGTGAAATTATGCTTGTTTTTATTGAAAATTATTTCCTTTTGTAAGAAAAATAAGTAACTGTACACTATTTTTAAAAGGTTTTCATTACCTAAACTTTGAAAAACATACATTAATCAGTCTTATAATAATATATTTATTTAATTCCATTATTTACTTGTTTATAATTGTACTTGAGAAAGTTAACAATATTAATTGATATAGTGAATTATATTCGAATTTGTGAAAACTAATTACTAATGATAAACACTTAAATTACTGGAAACATTTGTTTTTTACTTTGGAAATTCATATTAATTTTCTGGTTGACATTTTGGTGAAATATTTTTGTTACATTTTAAATTCTAATGTCTATCGTTATTACATATTATTATTATTATTATTATTATTATTATATATTTTTCTATTAAAAACTTTTATTTGATCAACGAACGTATTTATAAATATTAAAAAACATTATTAAAAACATCCTTTTTTAAGAAATGAAGATAATTTGAACTTTTTTTAAAAAAAATACGAATTTAAGTCTTAAAAATACCCTTTTAAAGGAAAAAAATTAACAAATTTTATTTATAAACATTAGAACTTAATTTAATATTAAAACTATTAAAACTTAGATGAATTTATAATTATTAAAAATTTTTAATTTTCTAAATATTATAATAATCATAAGAAGATTTTTTGAGCCGAATTTAACAAATTTTCATTTGAAAATTGTACAAATTTTAATTTGTTTTTAAAATTTGAATTAAAAATCATTTTAATAGAAACACTCGATATAAGAATGCACGATAATGAGAAAAAAAAAATTAAAATTACAAAAGTAAAAATATTTCTAAATAAAAAATAGAAATAAATCTCACTATTTAAGAAACTTTTAAATCAACAATTGAGGGGCTGGATGCTATAAGGGGATACGCACCACATTAATTAAATAACGCGTATCGCTTTATAGCATCCAGTCCCTCAATTATAGGCCATTAGAAAATGTTTATTTAAAATTTCTAATTTATAGACTAATAAAATTTCAATTACTTTAATTAACTAATTTAAGTCTAATTAAATTCACAACTTTTCAGTTCTGATTAAAAAAAACTTATTTCAAAGTTATAATTAATTCGAAAAATGTTGAACTCTAAATATAGTTATTGCCACATTTTTAAAAATACTTAGAAATCTAAAGTTGTAAAAATTTAAGATTTCTAGACATAAAAAAAGGAGAAGCAAAAATTTTTTTATATATTAAAAAATTGGTTTTATCTGAAAAGAAGAAAAATGTCGACTTGACTATTTTGAAGCATCTCTTATAATTTTAAAGTTTTTAAACATAAATAAAAATTTGGCCTTTAATTAACTATACGTATATATAACGTGTATGTGAAAAACACATAAATTAAAATCTATTACAACTAAAAAAGCCTCAGTATTAAAAAAAGTATGTGTTGAATTCTAAAGAAAAGAAAAATAATAAAATCTATATCGATCATTCTGTAAAAGTAATATTCCACAACTCATGTTCAAAGAAAATGGTAATTTCCGTCTTTATCGCATTAATAATAAGCTTCCTCGATATATTCTCTAATAGGTTTTGGTAAAGGCAGCTTGTGAATATTATCCAGTCTTGTATTTTGTCGTATAACAAAACGACAGAGATACTGTAGACTTCTCACTTGAGTAAATCGACTCACCGGCTTTGTTAATCTCACGGGGAACGATGGTTGTGCAGGATTTCTCGAACGCGAGTAGCAAAAGATTGACGACTGACTAAATGTCATTGAACGATTGATTAAATCAACCACAGACGTATATCCTTGATTTTCCGAATGATTACACAAAGAAAACAATCCACTGCTATATTCAATTCGTGAATGGCGAATTTTTCCCGAAGACTTGAAACTTAGCGTTAATAAATATCTGTAAAGAAAATTTCATTAGAAAATAAATCATTACATTTTAATTAGAGAAAACATATTAGAAATATAAAGAATGTTCGTGTTATTTTCTCATTTTTATATTTTTCTTTTGAATAATTAGGAACCTGCGATCAGAAGAATCCCTAACGAGAAATGCACCATCTGGTTCGGATGTTAATTTCGAATCTGCTTCGTCTCTGGAAATCGGTCCCCAATACCATCCGTATTTACTGAGTTTTAATAATTCTTGTATTAATGTTGCCTTTGTTCCGCTTTTCACTTCTGAATTGTCTTTATTTAAATTATCATTTTTATTTTTTGTTTCTTGTTGTGATAAATTATTTCCCATGATTTGAGAATTTCGAAAACTAGTTTCTCCTTTTTGTGAATTTTCCGCTACAATATTGTCCTGGGATTTCTCTGATTCCGAATTAATTGAATCAATTTGTGAAGTGACCAACAAATTGAGCCTCGGAATTCGTTCAGTTTCTGAGACATTTTGCCCATTACACATTAAAGCTGCTATGTAAGAATTTACTGGATTCGAAGAATCTTTTGCTTCATGATTTTTAATTTTTTCTTGACTATTAATAGGTCTCTCTGATAAATTTTTTATCGATACTTCATTACTTAATTCTGATACTTTAATCTAAAAAAAATATGAAAATTATTAATTGTAAGATTGATATTCAAAATTATTATAAGTCCAATTTTCAATTACTATGTGAAAATAGAATTTAACTTACCCTTTGCCTTGATTTGGTTGGCATAAGCTTTTTGAATTGTAATTTTTTCTTGAGATTTTTAAGAAATTCAGAATTTCTTCCAGAAGGAGATTCAGCTTTTCTTTCGTTTCTAATTTTTTCTGTGGACTCACAATTTTCTTCAATCTTTGACGAGCTTTCTTTCCGATTTTTTAGATAGAAATTAAAATACTTTCCAGTTATTTTAGAAATTTTTGTATTTCCTGTCACACTTGAGCCAACTGATAGTGGAGTTTCTTCTGAATTTGAATTTAACATTTTCAGAAATTGAGAACGTTTTACAATATAACAACACAATTTATAATTGTTTATATTTTATTTCTTGATATTTCATATGGTCGGAAATTCCCTGTAAAATGTATTAAACTTGCAATACTTTCTTAATAGATTCATTTAGGGGTGGCTTTTTAGAATTAATTATACAACAATTAAAACAAATAACAACAAACTTAATTTTCATAACAATGTTGGATGCAAGACAACAACAGGGTTGAATAGCAGCTAACGGAAATATAATAATAATAATATTATTATTATATCTATATTTACGTCATATGAAATTGTTCATTTGTCCAGTCTGGAGGTTTCTTCCACCAATAGATATGCGCAAATAACAACTTACCACTACGCACATTTACAAAGTCCAAACATAACCTTAAATGTCAAGAAAAAAGCACATGCTTCTTTAGCATGTTTTTAAAAATAATTTCATTGATTTCACATAACACCAGCATAAAAGATCATTTTTATAATGAAAGCTCGAAAATGGGAGGAATTAGAAGTTACTTTAAGCGATTCTGTTTTAAAAACTCTTGAAAATTTGAAATTTCACACGATGACACCAATACAGGTAGGAAATATGGTATTAACAAAGTAATAAGATTAAATTTTAATTAAAGAATCTTACTTTAATAATTATGTTAAATATTGTGTCTATATAGGCAGCTTGTATACCTTTGCTATTAAGTGGAAAAGATGTTGCTGCAGAAGCGGTAACAGGCAGTGGTAAAACATTAGCTTTTATAGTGCCAATGTTAGAAATATTGCAGGTAATTATCTATTGTAGACTTCATTTTGAAATTATTTTTAAAATACTCTATCTTAGGTAAAGACACTTTATAATGATTTATTGTAACAGAAAAGGATAGAAGTTTGGAAACCACAAGAAATCGGTTCAATAATAATTTCTCCAACAAGAGAATTAGCAACACAAATTAGCGACGTCTTATCGAATTTTCTTGAGGATCTTTCAAACTTAAAACAAATTCTTCTTGTTGGAGGTACCACTGTTCGTGAGGATGTGGAGAGACTCAAGAACGGTGCAAACATTATTGTTTGCACACCTGGAAGATTGGAGGACTTATTAACGAATTGCAAAGAAATGAATTTAATTGCTGGTGTAAAGTCTTTAGTAAGTAAATTACTAAATTATTCAATTTGTGTTTAAAGAACTAAAAAAAATTAAAAGTAAATGACATTTTGTTTTTGTAAATAGGAATTACTAGTCCTCGATGAAGCGGATCGTTTATTAGATTTAGGTTTTTCTGATAGTATCAATGCAATTTTTAGTTTCTTACCTCGACTTAGAAGAACAGGATTATTCTCAGCTACTCAAACAAAAGAATTACAACAATTAATAAGAGCAGGTTTGAGAAATCCAACATTGGTTGCTGTCAAAGAAAAATCAAGTGTCTCTACTCCTGTTAATTTGAGTAATAATTATTCAATAGTGAATTCTGAAAATAAATTCGCAACAATGGTGAAATTTATTAAAAAGCATGGCTTTAATATGAAGTACATGGTTTTCTTTTCAACATGTGCGTGTGTTGATTACTTCAGTCATGTTTTAACAGTGTAAGTTATTTTCAAATCCAAATACTATTTTATCTCGAAATCGTGAATTTATCTGAATAATTTTATTTACAGACTCTTACCATCTTTTAAAGTATTAGCACTTCACGGTAAAATGAAAAATAAAAGACATAAAATATTTGAAGAATTTCGAAACATCGAAAATGGTCTATTGGCATGTACAGATGTAATGGCTCGAGGAATTGATATACCAGAAGTCGATTGGGTTTTGCAATTTGATCCACCTTCGACTGCAAGTAGTTTTGTTCATAGGTAAGATACTGAATTCCAATTTTTAATCCGCTAATCTAATTTTAATAATTTAATCAAAGTTTAAGTATTATTATTATTATTATTATTTATTTTTTTAGATGTGGAAGAACTGCGAGAATAGGTAACGAAGGTAACGCTCTTCTTTTTCTTTTAGAATCTGAAGATGCTTACATAGACTTTATTAAAAGAAATCAGAAAGTAGAGTTAAAAGAAATTAAGACAGAATCATTTGATAATTTCGCGACAAATTGTTTAAAGACAATGAGAAATTTACAGCGAAACGATAGACTTTTGTTTGACAAGGCAAATCGTGCTTTCGTTTCATATACGCAATATTATCAAAAACACGAATGTCGTTTAATTTTAAGACTAAAGGATCTAGATTTAGGCAAAGTAGCGTTGAGTTTTGGTTTATTAAAAATGCCACGTATGCCGGAATTAAAAGGTTTGGATTTATCATCATTTCATGAAGAGAAATTTGACATTAACACTATTAAATACAAAGATAAACAAAGAGAAGCAAGTAGACTCGAGAAATTGAAAGAATTTAAAGAAACGGGCATTTGGCCAGGTAAAAAAATTCGGAAAATGAAAAAAACTGAACCATGGTCAGAGGCAAAGAAAAATAAATTAAATCATCAAGAAAGAAGAAAAAATAAACGTGAGAAAAGAAAGAAAAAAATTGAAATGAATTCAGATCCTATTAAAAAGAAACGCAAAAAGGGTATAAGTGAGGAAGACTTGGCAGAATTGACAAAGGATATGGCTCTTATTAAGAAATTAAAGAAAAAAAAGGTAATTCACTTCTTCTTTTTAATGTATAAATTTTCTATTTATTTATTGAAGCTTGTTACTATTTGCTAATTAATTTTTATTCTGTTTCAGATTAGTGAACAGGAATTTGATTTTGCATTTGGAATTGAATCTTAAACAATAAATAAGAATATTAAAAATTGTCAATAATACTTTTTATTATTAACAATTATTTTATCGATAGAGATAAAAATATATGAATATATGTTTTTTTCAAAAATTTTAATTCAATTATACTAATTAATTATTTTATTTTTATTTATTATAAAACATTTAATCACTTTTATAGTTTCAACAATATCCATCAGATTCATGTCCCCACTCTTTAGCATATAGTTCTCCTTCCTTATACCTCTTCTCCTAATCTTTTCTGTGAATGTGTGCGAAAATGGCTCTTTATATAGTTTAGTTCATTGTGTTTGCCTTCTCAATAAACACGCACACAAAGAGAATTCGAAATATTCTTTTGGGGGGACAAGTTACACGTGTACATTGGAAGTAAAAGTGTAGGTAAACATGGCTGGACTCTGATGAGTCACACTGGGGCAGCTTAAAGAACTGTCATTTAGTTCTGTTATGCTCGCTTATCTAGTCTTACAAGTTTTGCAGCTCGTTGAAAACGTTGAGAAAATAAATTTATCTACAAAGGAAAAAATTGTCAAAATTGTATTGTCAAAAGATTTTTTGAATGATTTAAAGAATTTCTCTGAAAAAAAAATTAAAATAGTAAAACAATGGAACAAGAAGATAACCATCCCAAGTGGTTGCAAGAGTTAGAAAATCGAAAAAGAAAGGTATGACATCATTATTTATTAGAATTTCAGATTTTTCCTATTTTAAACTAATGGATTAAATTTGTAATACTCGAAAACTGATTAAATGTTTTTTGTCAGCCGCGCTTGGCCCACGAGGCAGGTGCAGGTTCACCTTGTTTAATTTGCACATCAGCATGTCCTGGGCTGGATCTTCATTTTTGGCGGAAAATTTGCAAAAATTGCAAATGCGATCGTGACGATCACGATATTGTGAATGACAATGAATTTCCTCAATTCGATCTTCTCTTCGGTCCATCAACAAAGTCGAAGAATCGTTCATTTTGTACGTCATTCTCATATATTTTTTATTAATTTAATTGTTTAAATTAAAAATTGATTCTCAAATTGTGAGATTCTCCGAAAGTTTCTTTGAAATTGAACATATTTAATGAAAGTTTCTATACAATCGTGTTTCAGTTCTTCGCGTTAAAAAACATAATCAAGACGAAACTCCCTTCGAATGGATTCCACCAAATACTTCAAAAGAACTTGCCGCTGATTACATGAAGGCTCTTCCTGATGACAAAGTGCCAATCAAAGGATCTGCCGGTGCTGCTTTTAGAAGACAACAACTTCAAAAACAATTGCCATTACACGATATTGATCATCAGGCTTGCGATCAATTGAGTGAACAAGAAACGACACAATTCCAGGAGTATTTACAGAATTTGAAGAATTACGTTGGTCAAGGAAAAGTTATAAAGGTTTGTTATTTCACAAGAATTGCAATTTAATTATTTTTAGGGGAAAAAATTATTTGATAATATTTTAATTTTTAAACAATTAATTTAAAAAATTTGGAATATTTCTATTGATAACTTTATAAATTTAAAAAATCATACTTTATGTCAAGTATAATAATATTAGAAATAAATTAATTACAAATAAATTTTACAGTCCTTGGGTGCACGACCATTTAATAAATCACTAATGACTCCAGCAAATGCCACAGATGTTGAACAATTCAGTCCTCAACATAAAACGGGAATTTCTTACGGACCAGTTGTAAATCTCCGAACTCCAAGCAGTTTTATTAGTAAAAATCAAATTCAATCTCCGTTTTCTTCCACCACAGAACCTCCACCACTTCCAATATCTCAACCATCAAATTTTCCAATTAATTCTTTATCATTAAATTTACAATCCATAGGAAGTTCAAATGAACAAGTTCCATTATCACAAACATCAAATATTTTCAATAATTCTATACCTTCAAATCTCGAATGTGTTAGAACACAAGTTTTAGAAAGTTCATTTGAAAATTCACCCCAAGGACGTTATCATCATGCATTAATTAATATTGCCAGTGATTCAACATTCACGAAATCAGAACAAATCGATAATTTCAATAATCCACAGAAATCTCAAATATTTTCTCCGCTTTCGAAAAGAAGAGATTCCGGAACAAATACGAGAGCTCACCTTGAAGCAACTGGTAAAATCGATTCTTACGTGATAAAATCCGATGAACTTTGTCAAGATCTTGCTGAAAGAATGTTGTCTGAAGCACTTTTACCGCCAAGTGCCATACACGCTAATGATATAATTGGAAGTACTCTTGATGAAAAAGGACTGATGTATATAAGAGAAAAATTGAACTCGATGAATAGTAATAAAGAAGATATTGAACAGCAAGGTCCATTTAAAGCCCGAGAACTTGATGTATGTCAGAAAATGGAAAATCCTGATAAAGAAATCAAAAAATTGAATAACTCGAGACATGAATTTTCCACGTGTAAAAGCGACTTTTTGGCACAAACTCGGAATCCACAAATCTCTGGATTTCCAAGTCAGGGAAAACTTTCAGGTAAATTTATTATTAAACCACGCTAATAAAATTAATTACATTTTAAAGATTAATGATTTTTTAGCTAAAGAAGATTAGTTAAAAAATTTAAAATATTTCAAGATCATGTTTCTTTTTAAAATTAATGTTTTTTTCAGGTTCTGTTTCTGATGAATTAAAAGAATCCTTAACGAATTCTCGAAAGTCCTTTAGTAACAATCAAGATTTGCCGTCCGCATTATCTACAAATCACATTTCTCGAAATGTAAATTCATCATTAGCAAATTCTTTCCCTGTGGCAAACACAAAATCTTTGGAGGCAGAATTAAACAGTTACGGCTGTGTACCTTTGAGTGTAATTAATTCAGAGCAATTATATAATCCAATTTTTCCTGAAGAAGCTGTAGGCGGAACTTCACTGAACCCTTCAGCTGTTAATGAATTAGTAGAAGAATTGGAAAATTCTAGTATTATTCAGACAAAACAAAATTGTTACAAATGTCATGAAGAAGTAAATGTCGGCGATGTTGTTGTTACAGCGGAAAAAGCAGAAAATGAAGTCTGGCATCCTGGCTGTTTTATTTGTACAGTTTGCAATGAATTGCTTGCAGATTTAGTCTATTTTTTCTACAAAGGTCAACTTTATTGTGCCAGAGATCTCGCGACTCATTTAAACATTCAACGATGCTTTGCCTGTGATGAGGTAAGAGATAAAAAAATTTTTACTTTAATTCTTTTATTTATTTTCCAATTTTTTTAAAATTCTAGTTAATATTCACGTCGATGTACACGATTGCCGAAGGTCACACTTACCACGTGAAACATTTTTGTTGTTGGGATTGTGACGAGCCATTGGCAGGAAAACAGTACACATCAGAAAATGATCGTCCATTGTGTCTTCCATGCTATCAGAAAGTGTACGCGAAAATTTGCGGCGCTTGCAATTTAGCAATTGCCGCTGATCAACAGGGTGTGGCTATTAAAAATTTAGATTTTCACGTTGACGAGAAATGTTTCTGTTGTTTCATATGCAAAAAAAGTTTACTTAACGGTAAGATTGGAATAAAAGAAAATAAACCATTTTGCAGTAAAGAATGTATTACACAGTTTCAAAATCAAATCTTAGAAATGTAAACGAAAAATTTTTTTCCATTAAATACATAAAGAAATATAATTACTAATTAGTAATTTTACATAAATTGTTGGTTACAATATTACTCTAAGGAAAATTATAATTTCTTACGTTTTTTTAATAAAAATTAAAAATAAATTCGTATTTTCATTAACTTTGAAATATAACAATTGAACACAGAAATTAATTCGACGGGCTAAGACGATTTGTTGAAATTTTACAATTGAAAGGAAAATGTATTTTGTTTTAGACTTTATAACTGAAAGATCTTTATACAATGGATCTTGAGATTATTTTGCAGAAATTCAGTTAAAGAGTTAAAAATAAAAGTGCAAAAGGTCAGAAATTAATCTTATCATTGGAGAATAGTATGTGTATATTTTTATATTAAAAAAAAGATAAGGCAATTTATGACTGCCTCGTGTTAGTCGAATGTTAATGATAAAACTAACGACTCTCATTATATTTATTTATTTTGTAATAAATGACCATATGGACATAAACTTATAAATGTACTCCTGAATTTGCAACAATTATAAGGGGGAATTATACAGTTGTACATCTGCCGTTTAGAGACTTATACGTGACTGGTTACTTGACTAAATTAAAAAAAAATGTTTATATAATTATACGACACTTTGTAAGTGGACAGAGAAAGAATTAACACCTCGAGAAAATAGGAGACCCTCCCCTTAAACTACGCATGTTTGCACTTATATACACTAAATTGTATTTTTTTCTTTGCACGTACATACCTTGTGTGCTTGGTTCCACGTACGAATTCAATCAAGCCATTAAATATTTTTCCTTTTCTTTACCAAATACACTTAATTTGTTAATGAAATTAAATTTTTTTATATGCACTGTTTTTTAGGCAAGTTAGTTAACTTTTAATACACTTCTCTTTTCTATTTTTTTGATAAAAATTTATATCCGCTGATTGAAGTATATGCCAAAAATACAGAACAAGCTCGACCCGTGAAATCAAGAAATTAATGACTTACTTATCAGTCGATTCAGGGTCTCCATGAATCATTTTTACTTTCATTCGGAGTCACTTTCAGTTTTTTTACGAGACTCGCGATTTCGTGATGCTGCACCAGGAGAGTTCTGGCTTTTTCTTGCACGGGTCACACGGCCTAAATGAATTATTTTATTATTGTACTTTTTTAAAATTTATTAATTTGTTTTTCTGTTTATAGAGAGATAAATACCTTCTCCAGATGCAGGTTTACTTGGAGTTGATTCTGGAGCATCACCTATCCTCTCATTTTGCTCCTTAGCCTTCTTACACTTTTCAGCAGTTGGTCTACCGACGACGCCATTTTTCTCTAAAAGATCCTTCAAACACTTGATACGATCGCTATTAGTTTTGCATCCTTCCCAAACATTTGGATATTTTACTTTTATTCCAGTCATGTCCACATATTTTTTTAAAGATTGTATCCTCTTATCGTTCTCCGGGTCCTGAAGTATTTACAAAATTAAAACATCTTTTCCAACAATATTATTTAATTAATTCAAAAAAAAGTAAAACTTACATTGTTTCTCTTTCTTCTCTTCTTTTCTTTTCCGCTATCCTCTTCACTGCTACTTTCGTTTTCGCTTTCCGATGTATCACCCTTGGATTCATCAAATTTTTCACTTCGCTTGGAAACAGTTCGCCTTGATCTGCTTGATAAAGCGACGTCTTCATCTTCATCGGATTTATCTTTGACGATATTTCTTGTTGGTGGCCGTCCACGTCCACGTCCACGACCCCGTTTACCAGGTGTCTTGGCCGGTGTTTTCTTTGCCGGAGTACGTCTCTTTTTAGTATGTGGACTATAATCCTCGTCATCATTGGAATCATTATCAGAACTTTCATCTGAGCCAGAACCCTTTACTTTAGTGAATGATTTTCTTCTTCCCTTTCGTTTATTTTTCTTTTCATCGTCATCGTCATCATCATCATCGTCATCATCGTCATCATCATCCTCATCCTCATCTTTAGCATCCAGAGAGTCTCCTTTCTCAGCATCACTTGCACTTGCTTCTAATTCTGATTCAGTTGGCTTGGCCTTGACAATTGCCGTTTTTGGTCTTGGTTTCGGCTCTTCATCTTTATCACTTTCTCCACTTGATTCTTTGTCGCTAGCATTTTCAACTGTAAGTTCAAGACCATCAACTACCTCCGTATTTTTACGTTTATTCTTATCTTCAGATTTTCCTGCTTCCTCCAATTTACCTTTATCATTGCTCTCAACGACGACTTTATCTGACTTTACAGCGGAATCCTATTAAAAAAGTAGATTAATTACAATTTTTGATAAATTTCCCTCAAGTAATTAAATATTAAAATTAAATTCACCTTATCGACAACTTCATCCTGTTCCATGGGTTTATCTTTATCCCCACATGCTGAATCAGGAACGTCTTGATTTGTTTCCATTTCGTCAGGCTTCTCATCCTGAGACTCTTCTTCTTCTTCTTCTTCGTCTTCTTCTTGTGTTTCCATATCAGCGCTAGATGCATTGTCCACATTATCACGTTTTTCAGTATCATCCGTTGGTGATGATTTCAATTTTGCCTCTCCATTTCCTTGACTATTTTTGTCTTCATCAACAATCATAGTATTACCATTTGACTCGGGAATCATTGTATTATCTTCTTTGGGTGTTGTTGATTGTTCTTCCATTTCATTACGAGATTTTTTGTTCGGCAATTCAATTTTCTCGTCCTCAATGCAACCTTCACGCGGTCTTTTCGTTGACAATTCGGCAGATTTATCAATTGAATCCTTTTGACGTGTTGCGTTGGTCGAGGTCACATCCTGTCCAGTTTCACTGTGATCTGACTCCACCATGATTTAAAAAGCCACAGATTATGAAGATTAAATGGTGGCTGAAACAAAAAATTCAAATTCATTTTAATAAAAATGCTCTTAAAATAATTAATTTTGAAATAAGAAAAGAGTAACTTATTTTTTTTATTTTTTAATGTTACATAATTGAACTTGAATTATTATTTACAAAAAATATTTTGTTTGTTTTTATTAATTAAGGAAATGTCTAAAAATTAAAAAAAATTAGGTACATCGAGTAAACAATTTTTCTCAAATGGTACTGGATTTCAAATATTACCTCCATTTCACATATCGAAAATCGAAGGGGATAATAAATTAACTTCACGATATAAATGTATCAGAATGACAAAATTTTATATATTATTAAGAACAATAAAAAGGTCATAAAATAGACAAAAAATAAATTTCTAAACAAATCAGTACAAATGCAGCATTTTAGTGACAATTAATCAATTATTTCTCTTATAACCTGCTTCTAAAACTTGAAATTTACCTGTAATAATAATTAAATTTTTTTAAATTAATTTCACTAGACACTTATCGAGTAGAAACTACGTGCATAAATATGAATGCTGTAAATTAAGAAAAATTTCATTAAATATTTATCTTTAGTTAATAAGTTTAAATGAAAAAGGAAATATTTCTTCAGGCATTAAGAATTGCTTATATTCCTTAAAGAATTTGTTCTGTCGCTTAAGTGCAGATGACGCCAAAAGCAGGCAAGTTGCGCGTGACCCCGAGATTGATATCGTAAATATGTAAAATATTGGTAAACTGATTAGGATTTAATAAGTACAATTAAATAATTGATATAATCAAAAAAAGAATCACAAATCGATGAAATAAATGACAATTACTCATACCTAATAAAGTGTTATTTCGTTCAAACACTATCTCGCGGCAAAATTGCAATCGCATCATAACCCTCGCATTATTGTATGGTAGCAATCCAACATGCACATACATACATGTATAGCGCGACTTGATATTGATAAGCAAAGCTCTAATCGCGATATGTCTTCCATTATAAGAGAAATTGATGAAATAAAGTAGTATTTACATTTAGATTGTAAAATGCTTAGCATAATTGAGAGAACGTGAAGCACAGGGTCAAACTTGGCGTAGCTTGTGATTAATTAGTCAATATCGAAAACTGTGTATTTAGTGAGAATATAATGCCAAAGATAACTTGGGCTGTGGCGTGGCCAATCAAGTGTTTCGATATTTTCCTACCTGCTAATTTTCTTGGCGATGTACTTGAATCACAATATAATAATCCTTGTTCGTAAATATTTACGTAATTATCACGATTTTATTGGTTCTCGACGTTTGCGCGGGCTGAATCTCCGGTAACGATGCGGCGGCCGTTGGCCGGTCTTTTCGGAAATTTTCGTATGTTTTCGGCATGCGTTGTTGGCCAAGCTGAAAACGCGTCGTCGTCAACAATCTGTGTGAAAAAAAAAAATCAAAGATGAGTGTTACTTACGACAAGTATGCAGTATTCTTCAATAGAAAGAAGGTAATGAATTTTATTTTTTTATCAAAATTGTATTCACTAGTTATTAAATGATGATAAGTAATTTGTCTGATAAGTTTCACTGAAGACGTCAAAAGAAAAAAGAAAAGGTTAGATTGGCTGCACTGACGCGACATTTACTTCATAGCATGCTTCAGAGTGGTTGATATTTAGTATTAGTGCATCCATCAAACCATATCAAACGTTCTACTGTAGTAGTGAATGTTTAATTGTGTTAAGTAGTACGTGACTGTCGTTTTTGATGTTGACTGCATAAAATTCAAGGCAAGGAAGCTATGCGGTAATGATTCGCGTTACAAAAGCTTTAATTTTGAACTCGAATTCATGTAAGTATTTACTTCTTAAGTGTATTTTACTATAAATTTGATATTTTGCAATACCCACAGTCATATATTTTTATTTTATTTCATCTTACTATTTTTATATTTTTCAAATTTATTGTTTCACATAATTACTTTTTTACAATCTATAATTACTTATATTATTATTTATACTTCCTGATTTGCAAATATACTTTTATTATTTATTAGACTATAAATAAATATAGTGATGTAAGTTTTTAAGAAATATATGAGTTAATTTTTTTAATTTTTTTGACATTTGTTAGCGGCCTTGCATTTTTCAAATCTGGCATTTGTTCCAAAATGTAATCCAGTGTCTGAAGAAGAAATAAAACAATTAAAAAAGTATCTAGACTCTTGTGGTCGATTATGTGTTTTAACGGGAGCAGGAATATCAACGGAATCTGGAATTCCTGATTATAGATCTGAAGATGTTGGGCTTTTCGCTACCAGCAACAAAAAGCCAGTTTCTTATCAAGAATTTTGTAGGAGTGACAAAGTCAGGAGACGATACTGGTCAAGAAATTATGTTGGTTGGCCCAGGTGAATTCGATATAATTATATGTATATATTAACAAATAAATATTCAAAATCATTCATATTTTTTCTTTAGGTTTTCCAAATTCGCTCCAAATGTTTCACACAAACTTCTGAAACATCTAGAGGACATTGGTCAAATTAGTTGTGTCATTACTCAAAATGTTGACAATTTGCATAAAAAAGCTGGAAGTCAAAATGTCATAGAACTACATGGTACCGCTTTCAGAGTTATGTGTCTAAATTGTGATCACACGATTAGTAGATATTCTTTTCAAGAGTTTCTTGACAAACTAAATCCCAACTTTATTTCAACAGATACGAAAATCCGTCCTGATGGAGATGTAGAATTATCTCAGGTGTTTATCATAATGTTTTAAGGAAAAAATTTGATTTTTTTACATTATTTTTTATTTTAAATTTATTTTTGAATACAGGAACAAGTAGATGAATTCAATATACCTCCATGTTCCAATTGTCAAGGAATATTAAAACCTGATATTGTTTTTTTTGGAGACAATGTAACAAGAGAAGTGGTACAACAAGTAAAAAATGAAGTGAAAGTTGCTGATTCTCTGCTAGTTCTTGGAACATCTCTCAACACTTTTTCGGGATACAGAATAATTCTGCAAGCTGTGGATGCTAAAAAGCCAATTGCAATAGTCAGCATTGGCGAAACAAGAGGCGACAATCACGCAAATATTAAAATTCAAGGAAGATGTGGAGAAGTTCTTTCTAAAATTTATGGAAATCGACAGAAGAACGTAAGTTGACAACATGAGTATTGAATAATTTTTTTTTTTTTTTTATTAGTTAAAAAGAAATTGAAGCAAACTACTTGTTTTAAAGTAGTTTACTGAGTAATTATACTCAAATTCATATAATTATTAGAGTTAAATTAAAAAAATGTACAAACAAATATGATTTATATATGCAAATTTACGCATATAAAGCTGTGATGCCAAAATTAGAAATAAATTTAAAAATAAAATATTTTTGTTTTGAAATAAAAATTCCTTGCATAAAATATAACTTTGGTTGGTAAGTGTTTGTTGCAAAAATATAATCAAGTTACAAAATACTACTACCAAAGTAACATAATTTATTTAAAATTAGATTTTCTGTTGCATTACCTTAATTTTGTGCATTTTAACACTATTATTAAATTATTTTACCATAATTGAATTGTTGAGCATATTTTCCAAAGCACTTTATATAAAGCCTAGTACAACTAATTTATCCTAGTTAGTATCACATGTGCAGATATGGTCATTTAGAATAATATACGAGAAAATATTTATATATTATACATGCATTGTGAATTGTATATATTCGGTAGCATGGTAATTTCAAAATACAAAAATAAATTAATATTTAAAATGTTTGCGGAGAAATTTGTTTAACTTTTTTAATATGTAAACTTCAATCAAGCTTTAAGCGATTAAAACTTTTTTTAAAGGCCATAAGTGTTGAGTCAATATATCTATGTCTAATCGTTATTAAATTCAATTAAGAACACTTATGAATTCTATTATAGTATAAGAGATTTGAGTTATTCACATTACGACTGCAGATAGAAAAAATACGCTGACTATAATTTTTTTGAAAGTGCACTCGTACATCAGTGTGTTTCTGAACTATTTTTTTTCTGCTACTTGACTATTCTTTAATTCACATTGAGCGGCATCAGTGGCACGTATTTATCACTGGGACGAAAATTGTATTGTGCACACAAACGATCAGATTCTGATACTCGGTATCCATTTCTGAAAAACAAACATTTTATTTGAATTAAATTAAACCCAAAAAAAGGGAGAAAATAATTAAGAGTTTACTTTTGCCATTCAGAGCAAGGTCGTCGTTCCTTGAAACAAATAACTTGTATGACATTAAAGAAAAGTGCTCCTAATGTGTTGGCAACTTCGGTGTTTAATGTTTGTAAACATCTTCGAAATTTCGCATCACAATCACAATGTGATCGGGTTAAAGGAGATTTATTGCATAAACCTTCGATACAATGTCCAGGTCCGATAGTCATTGGACATTGATCATGTTCCCTGCAGCAAGCATCCTCTGCTGCATGTTGACCAAGATCATTGTAAGAAGCTGCAATATCGCCAGGACCACACCATTTAGTGCCAGGATAAATTAAACCGTGTCTTTGATTCTAAAACAAGAAGGTAGCTTATTTATGAGAAAATTAGACTACCCATTTTTCTATTAAAAAAAGTTTTTTTCTTCAATTTTTATAGTTATATGATTGTCATTTACCGTGGAACTATGTACAAAAGAATCTTTGCAGGTTTCTTCAAGATCGGAAACAAGTTTATTGGACATTTGTCGAACTTTCTTTGGATCCGTTCCTAAGACCATTTTTTGAATAACTCCTCTGTCTGTGTAAAGGGTACAAAAAGGTGCCACTGCATTTAATTCCACCATTCTTGACATTGTTTTATCTGCCACGAGGACACTTGCTCTAGTCCCACCAAATAAAATTGTCATAAAGCCAAACATTATTAGAATCATCTGCAATAATCAGAATAAAGATTATATAATCAATTAACATCCAATATGTTTATAATTAATCCAATTAACACAATATTAATTAAAGTTTCGATAATTTTTTTATTTTGAAAAAGTCATTTACAAATCTGTAGAAAATAATTTAATTTGTTATATATGTTCAAATTAATGGTATTTTTATTTATTGCAAAAATTTGATTTAATTTTTTTTATAAAACAATACTTTAGAATTGGCGAATTACTACGAAATATGACGAAAAACACTACGCCGAATCGTTTATAGGATATAGCAAAACATTATACGTCAGTCTGTTTGAAACGAGCAGCGTTTAGTAAATCAAGAGCGAATGATCACCTAGATTACCCTGCGGGTGCCCTGGTTACTGTAACGAGTTGGTTGATGGGTAGAACGATTGAATAAATCGTATGGGCACTTGGAAATTAATTGTATTTTCGTTATGTTGTCCTTCATTCTAAGCATTTGATTTTTTTGTCTTTATAAATTACCTCATACATGTACCTTTAATTAATCTTGATAAGACTAGAAAAAAGTCATTCAATTTTAAAGTTTTATTTGTTGCGAATTAAATTAAATTTCTAATTGCCGTAAAAGAATTTTTTTTCGTTTATATTTGTAACAGTGTAAAATAAATAATTTTTCTATATTAAATAATAATAATAATAATAATATATAAGGTATTGTATTTAAATTAATAAATTTTAAATTCTTCTGAAAAATAATACATAATTAATTTTAATAAATTTAAAGAAATTATTTGTTTAAATGAAATTTGTTTTTTCCAATGACGAATTTTACACAATCAAGTTTGCTTACCCTTTAGAAGAGAGATAACTTAAAAAGTATTTTTTTACTTTTTCCCCAACTATTTGTTCGATATATAAAAAATCAACGCCATTTCATAATTTGTTACATAGTCAATTGATAGAAAAACGAATGCGCGGGACAAATCAAATTGGAGCTAAATTGGCGCAGATTTATACCAATAACTGGGTGAAAAAGCTGCAGTGCGCAGCTTTTTCTACCCCTGACCGTATCAATGTGTAAATTTTAACACCCTTTCTAATCCCCCATCACTAATTTTCTAATGAAAATTGTGTTAATTAATAAATATTAAATTAAAACTTTTTAGAAGAATTAAAATTTTTTTTTTTTTTTTTTTTTTTTTTTTTTTACTAAAGTCAGTAATACAATTTGCAATTTATTTGATATTAATAAAAAATTATTTAATATTATAGTTAAGACCTTTTTATTAATTTACATACTTTTAAATGTGTAGTGGGGCCGATTATTTTCAATTCTCTCATAATTACAAATATCACAATCTACTGGACAATAGTATAAATTATTAATAATTTCCAGACCTATTAGTGTTATCACTACGACGGTCACAATCTCACTGATCGTTTAAGTGGGGTGTACATGATAATATATATATATATATATACTAATATATACATATACTATATTGAAGATTTGTTCCAATCACTGGACTAATGCGAGTACAACGAAAAAAAGAAATTAGGGATGTTTTTATCGATAATGTTTTAAAATTAAAATTTAATTAATTGAGTGTCGGTATTTAAAAGATTGTAAATTTTTGTCTGACTTTCTGAATATTCAAATGAATGAAATAGTATAGATTATTAAATAATAACTTTTGATTTAAAAAAAATATTAAATTTAATGATTATTTAAAATTTTACTTTAATAAAATTATGAGCTTATTTTATTTTACTTAGACAGAACCAATTTTTGAATAAAAACAGAATATTTTTAAAAATTTTAATTTATTAAGGAAATGTTTTTAAAAGTACACAGAATAATTTTTCAATGGATAATAATATTTTACGTTTACAGATTGTACATATAGGTATCACAATTTTAATATTTGTTAGATTGATACAAAATTTCTTTGTAGAATTACAGAAGTTATTTTTAATAATAAAAATCTATTATTAAACTTAATATTGTTTCTTAAGATACATAATCTCGAGACTTTTTTTAATTACTAAAATTTATAATTACCTATAAAAAAAAACCCTGAAAAAAATATTTTGTTTTGTCAACAAAATATTTGATTGTCTCAATCAAATTTTTATTAATTGAACAAAATCAATTTATTTTTTGTTTCAACTGAAATTTTTGTTGCCTGAAAAAACAAAAACATTGTGGTTTCACAAAAATCAACCAAATTCTTATGTTATCAATGCAAAACAATGAATTTTCAAAGTTAAGGAATCCATTCGACTTCGTTATTTTCCATTCTTACATCTTTAATTATATTTTCATCAGGTTTTGGAGCAGATAATGTAGGTGTTGGTTCTGGTTTCTCTTCAGTTCCTGCAATTTTATGATAAACTTTACTTCCAGCTTTACTGACCCATTCGACACCATCGCCAAGTTTTTGACCAGCTTTACGGACTACGTTGCCAAAATTTTCTGCCGTAAATGTATTTGGATTAATATTGATGTCCAAGGAATTATTTCCCGTGGGACATCCTGTTTGAGTGACAATACTGAGATCAAATGGATCGACATTGAAACTACTTAATTTTTGTCGTAATTTGTCAACTTGAGTTTTATCCAAATCACGATGTCTCGAAAGAATTGTAGCGCTTTTTCGATGAAAGAAACCCAATTTTTGACAGGTGAAAATTCCAGCGTAGTTTTCGTAATCAGTTTCAAAAACCACGTGAGACGCACTTCCAGCTATATCTATAATAAATAATTTTGTTAATAATAATAATTATAAGGAGAAAAAATGAAATGTTTTGAAAATTAAAAAATGATTAAAAATTTTTGTGGACTTTTCACAGAGAATTATAAAACTTGGAACAAAAGAAAAATAAATTTTTAAGTAATGAATATGTTAATGAAAAGCTAAGATACTTACTTAGTGGAAAACTAACCAACATACGACCAGGAGTGCTTGGTTCTGGGACTGATAATTCACCAGTGTAGTGATATTCATGTTTCAATGAAGTTAATCCTGCACATTCATATATACATATAATATACAATTAAGGATAATTCATTCCACTTGTCAACCATTTATCTCGTTAGTAACTTTGCCAAGCTTAAAAGGGTCTTTATTTTTCTTTTTATCCATTAACTTCTTTTTTTTATCAATTCTCCCTATTATATTCAAGTCTTTTGGGTAAATATCACTTGTCTTATTATTGGCTTAATAATTAATTTAATTAAAAATAAATTCAATTTGAAATCTAATTTAATTTGAACATTAATTTCATTTAAAATACAGTAGAATCCGTTTATAGTGACCAAACTTTGATGAAAGGTTTGGTTTCATTTAATGTTTACTTCACAGCTTATTGTCCGTTTACTATGACGTCCGCTTAGTATGACCAAATTTCTATGTCCCTTCAATGTCATTATAAACGGATCCTACTGTAAGTTTAATTTATTTTATTGTCTTTTCATGTCAAAGACATTGTTTCTCACCTAAAACTGGAACATCAGAGTCTTGAGTGATGACATATTCTCCAGGTTCATCACCCCGGGTGTAATTGTAAGAGATACACTTACTTGCAGTTGATGTTTTTTGAATCACGTACCATAGACCTAGAAACTACAAAATTACCATGCACCAATTAATTATTTATTGTCTCGATTTTTTAGATAGTAATTAAAAAAAAACATTCTTTTTACCCTGCTCATTTGAAATCCTTGAGTTGGCTCAACAGTTGGACAATTTCCTAGATTGTAGGAATGAGCATCGATTTGCACCCATAATATCAATATTGTGCAGACCACCAAAAGCATTCTATTGATAAATAATTAATATAATGTTAATAAATAGTCACTGATTAAAATTAAATAATAAAATACGTGCTTAAAGTAATAATCCATACATGTATAAGACACATTTTATCTTTTTTCTGAGAAAATATATCTTACTTTTAATTAATCTGATTATGTATCATTGAGTTTAGTTGAATCATAGTATGTATTAAAACAATAAAATTTTCTTTTGTTTAAAATCACATACATTCATATAAAATAGAAAATATTGTTATTGAGTCACCATAAACATGTTTTTCTTATTACAAGCTATCTATTAAAACAAAGAGCGATACAATTTTATTGTTAAAATAATGTTATTATTTAATTATTGTTACATGTTATTAAAACGCGTATAATAAGTTAAATTTAAAATAACTAAGTCTTTTTTTTAAAGTTGGAACTTTAGAATCATCTTTCTTTATTGTTATTGGATTATTTTTACGGAAATTTTCATTTTTAATTAAACGGTATACACACTGATCTAGATGACCCCTCTTTATAAAAAAAACGTGTTGACATCAAAATAGCCTTGATAATCATTAATAGTGATGGCATGAAGGCTACAACCTCTTATTACCATCGAGGATTTAAAAATTATTTATTTTAATTAAAGGTATTTAATAAACAATAAGAATATTAAGAACAATATTAGGTACAAAACAATTTTAAAATACGTTTGAATCGGTTTTTTTTTTATTTTAAAAATCTATTTTTCACTTCAACTCTAAAATAAGAATAAAACTAATAAATATCATAAAAAATATATTTAAAAATTGTGAGAAAAAAGTTTATTAATTTTTAAACAATTAAAGAAATAATGTTTTATTTCCTTTACAAAAAGAGCATATTAATTAAATATTTACGTATAGTTAATTAATATTCTTATTTTTAAAAATGAATTACTATCTTTGAAAATTAACTTTTTAAAGAAATTAGTTGTAGAAGCACATAAAAAACAATTAAAAAATATATATACTCACTTTGAAGCCATTGCTCCTTTCCAGAGTTCTCTGGACTTGTTACTGAACTTGTAAACAGAACTTTCAACTGAGAAGGTATATTTATACAACTCTCCCACCAAGAAGATAATCACAGTTCTCGCGCTCACTGGCACTCTCGAACACACGTGTTTTTTTTTAACTAAATGGTTTTGTTCGCACTAAACCAAGATTTTTTTTTCAAATTTTATGTAAGAAAAAATAACGGTAAAATATCAAATTCAAATATTAGAATTTTAATTTATTATTAATTTTCTTCTCAAATGAAATCTGAAATAATTTGAAAAATGATATTATAAATAACAATGTTTTAAATCTTTTTAAATATAAAATGATAATAAATATGTTAATTGTCAACTTTTCCATTTCATTATATTAAAAAACTGCTTTGTAAAAAACATTTTAAATTTTTGTTACATAACTACTTACCTGGAAAAAATTTCTTTAAAAAAAATATATACAATAAAGTTTCCTTTACGAAAATGGAATAATAAAGTTTATTGAACTTGAGATAAATTTTAAAAAATGTATTTTGATGATAAATGTGTCATATATGTTTAATGATTTTGATGACGCATCGACTTCAGTTAACATCATTAGATTCTGCGAATATAATTTGCTTCAATTCTTCTATATCGTTTGTCCAATAATAAAACCTTCAAGTGCAATCATGATCATTATTAATAAAAAAAGTCAAAAATTTCAAATCTTTTGTTGACAATATTAAAAAAAAAAATTAACCAAAAAAGAGAAATTTAAAAAAGCTTTCGCAAAACAACAAAAATGTTGAAAAAGAGAAAATCAAAAAATTTGCAAACGCTTTATATATACATATATATATATATATATATAGAGTGAACCTTATATATTTAAGTATAAAAGTACATATGTTAAGAATTAACCTATAAAAATGTACCTTTTTCTTAAACAGTATTTACAAATCATAATTATTATTTTTTTTTAATCGTCCCGTTACTTAAACGAAGACTATAATACTTGGTAAAATTTTAAGTTTCATCATATGCAGCATTTTTTAAAACTAGCACTCTCAATTTTATTCATTGTGCATTTCACCTAAGGCGAAAATCAATTTTAATTAAGTTAGTTATTAAAAAAAACATGTTTTTTTCTTGAGCAGTGCCAGCACAATATTCGTATTTAAAACAAGTCTTTTGAAACTCAAGTGACTAAACAATTATTCGTTATTTTTATATTATTATCATAAATTTAAGTTACTTTCTTTTATTTGTATGAAAATGAAAAAAAAATGATTTTCTGAAACTTTTTTTTGTCACCTACCACATACTACTCAAATGGTTAATTTAAATACCTCAGATTTCCATTCATCACATAAAATCAATTAAAATTTTAGTAATTATTTCGCGTATTGCTTTTATGTTTTTAACAAAGTCTATTCGATAAAATTATCTGTAAAATCTTTTAAAAAAATTTGCGAAGAAAAATATAAATACATTTTTATAAGTGTAATTTTAAAAAACTAACTTAAACAAACGGTATTTTGGCTTCTTTGAAATCACACTCGATGTCCTCAAAAAAGGAATGCTGAAGTGCAGCTCGTGCCGATATTCTGTGAGCTGGATCGTAGGTCAACATCTCTTGTAACAAATCAAGTCCATCGACGTCCAAAACTTTAACGTGTTCTTCCAAATTATTTGTCTTCCAATTTGGGAATGTTGCTTTGTAATCTGAATATTGGGATACACCTGGCCAAATTTCCTCAGTTGGCGTTTTCAATACACTGTAATTGGATAAAAAGAATTCTTATTTTAATTAAAAAAAATAATAAAAATATTTTAACTGTAAATTTCCTCAAGAAATTATTTTCACAAAGAATTGCCTTGAAAAACTATTATCAGATAATAGTGTTTGAATTTTACCGAAATATTCTGAATAGTTGATCGATTTCGCTGTCTCCCTGAAACAGAGGTTTCTTTGTTGCCATTTCCGCAAAAATACAACCAATACTCCACACATCAATGGCACAAGAATATCTTGTAGCGCCCAAAAGAATTTCTGGTGCTCGATACCAAAGAGTGACCACTTCATGAGTATAAACTCTCACGGGTATTCCAAAAGCTCTTCCTAAACCAAAATCAGCGATTTTTATTACACCCGACTTGTCGACAAGTAAATTTTGTGGTTTCAAGTCTCGATGTAACACTCTGCGTTGATGACAAAAAAGAATGGCTTTCGTGATCTGAAGAAGATTTATAGGAATGAATAATAATTAAATTTTAAAAATTATTAATCAAATATATTAATTTAGATTTTCACTTAACGAAAGAATGAAAAAAAAACAATGAATTTTAATTACAGAATATTACTCTTAATTTTTATTTATTTACTTACTTGATATAAGTAACATTTGACTACTGAAGGATTCATTAGCTTGCCACTGCCTAAAGTATCCATATATTTTTTCAAGTCCATGGTTAAATATTCAAAAATCAAATAAAGTTTTGACTCCTCCATCAATACATCTAATAAGCTGACAATGTTTGGATGTTTAAGTTCTTTTAAGAGAGAAATTTCCCTTATTGCTGTTGATGGAATACCCTCGTCGTCACTTTCTAAACGAATTTTTTTCATTGCAACTATTTCACCTGTCTTTTTATGTTTACCTTTGTATACAACGCCGTAGGTTCCTGAAATCAATATTTTTTACTTTATTTGCTCTAAAACAGATCAATTAAATAAACAAATTATGTCAATTTCATGTGATTGTATATAGTTAGAGGTTATATCTCTATGGATTTACATTGGTTATTTATCACATAACAGTTTTAATTAATGTCGAGTTGTAAATGAAAATATATCTCTACTAGATTAATAAACCCCATCATGTGATGGAAATTAGTATTTGTAGAAAACTGAATAATTATAATATAATATAAATGCACGCGTGAACATGAAAATTTAGACAAAGCATAATTACAAACCTTCTCCAATTTTTTCAATCTTTACGAAATTTTCCATGATGAGTGGCTTCTTAATCAATCTTTATTCACTGATGACAAATTTATAAAGCACTTAACTAACAAAACCTTGAATACGCGAACTTTCAGTAGAGATATTTACTTGCAAACAATTTTTAACTTTCAACGGACAAATTTAAACGTCCTTACAGCTGAACGGCCATATTGATAAACAAGTTTGAAAACGTTGAAATCCAAACGAAATCCATGTCTTCTAGACTAAAATTGCCATTGGCTAAGATCCATTGAATGAACAAGCTGCCTTTGAAAGTAATCTACCTATCAGCTGTCACAAAATTTAACACCTGCTCTTGTTTGTTTGTTTGTATCATTTGCCAATCAGAAATGATCTTTGGACAGAAAATTCTCTTAGGCCGCACTCTCACCTCTCGGCTGCCTGCCTGCCTGCAGGAGTTGTCATGGCAACGTGTAGGAGTAACAGAGATAGTAAATTCAAATTTGAATTTGAATAAAGAGCGTTTATTTAAAAAAAAAATTGCAATTTTATTATCATAGAAGAGGCGCATGATTTGCACTCCTAAATTTTAATTTGTCATAATTGCTTTTTTATCGATTTTCTAATTATTATAAACATAAAAAATCACTAAAAACTGTCAAAAACAATTATTGCAAATAATAAATGGATAATTCAAGCGATAATTTATACAATAGTTTTGAAAAATTATATTTGTAATTATTAAATTATTAATGTGTATAGTTTCAAAATAAGAAAAACATAACTTGCACAAAGATTTTCCAGTGTGTTATGAAATAATTAAATGTGACATTACCGATATGATGCGAGTCGTGCACTATATACGACAGATGGTAGCACTTCATTTTCTCTTTTTGAATATTTTTCAAAAGTTGCAATATGTTAATTTATTCACACTATTTGAAGGTATATTTTAATAATTTTTAATCTTTACCAAAAAGAAATATTCTATTAAAACAATATTATTATTATCTATTTTTTATTGTAATAAAAGAACATTTATATTAATTAACATAACATGATAAAATAATTATTTTATTTAATATTATATATAACCAAGATTCTTTAGCTACACATTCCAATTTTATACAAAAAAAATCTAATTAAAATTGGGAGCAAACATGGGCCTCGTATATGTTCCTTCATGAATCTCAATTGTCAAGTACTATTTTAGGTGCTTTATCTTCAACTGAAAAAAATTATTCTTTTTTAAATACGTAAAAAAAGGTTGGAAATATTTTTTTACCTTCACATTGACTCTGGCATTCTTTCAAAGTTGGAAAATTATTTTCATTTGCATCGCAACCACCGTAAATAAATTGCACACATTTATTTTCTTCTGAACTAAATCCAAAACGTGGAATAGACCCTCTACATTTACCCGTTTGTAATGACTGTAGACAAGCTTTAACAAAAAATTATTTATTATAATTTAAACATTATTTATAAATAAAAAAAATTCTTCTCTTAAGTAAAAGTATCAAATATTTATACCCACTTGGTTTACAAGCTTTTAAGCATTCATTTAATGTATCAAAATTGTTTCCATTGCCTTGACAACCACCATAAATAAATTGAATACAACGGTCTTCAGTTTTATCGTAAGCATAACGATAAAATGCAGCTTTGCAAACACCAGTTTTCATGGGTTCTGAACAAACTGTAGAAAAAAAATGTCAATAATATTAATTGCGATTTACATTTTTTTTTTAATTTTAAGACAATCTACTTAAAAAAAATTATCTTGACATATTATTATTATTATAAATATATTATTATTATAATAAATTGAATACTAACAGTTAGGTAACTGATTTACATATTTTTAATAAATCATTTTATCACATTTCACAAATAAAAGATTTATTAATTTTGTATTTACAAATCAACTCATTTTTTTCAGTTGCTTATTATTCATATTGGATATAATATATGTTTTTCAGAATTTTGTAAAAACTCGAATCAATAATTTACTCAGAGGATACCTTAAATATTTAGTTTTATTTTCAAATAATTAAAATTTATTGACTTACAAATAACTACAATAAATTGAAATTGTTTATTTAGAATCATATCATAGTTGACAATTTTTTTCTTTTAAATTATACACAATGGTAAAAGATTATAAGAAAAACAAAATTGAAAAACGAAATTCAATTTTACGATTTTTTTAAGGTTTTTTAGGGGCAAAATATGATATCGTAATTAGTAGCTGGATTTGGTCGACATGTGAAGGTGCTTGTTTGATCATCATATGCATAACTGAAAAAATTTATTATTCAATCAATTGTATATTACATATTTAATTTTGTAATGAATTAATTACCTGTAAGCATCGGGACAAGCACTTTTAAAAATTGCTGGATAATTTCGAGGCCAATTTCTACTTTTGCACGTTTGAGCAGTGTTAAAACGTCCACGGCAGCAGTACTGATCGGTATTAAATCTTAAACAAGCACTTTTGCATGCTACGGTCGCTGATCCTGATTTAACAGCCAATTCAGAAGGACATCGGGCATTCAAATCAGAATTACATCCGGCAGGTTTACAATCGTATCTGCCACCTCCAGATGATCGGAATCCTCCAGTTGGGACCATTCTCATGGGTAAATTATACCCGTCGACGAGGGAAATATCGTAAAAATCTTTTCCTCCCGCTCCACTGAACGTCATTTCCGCTAGAGTCACAGGTGGAACACCTCCTGCCCCATTACATTGAATTTTATTTCCACAATCACCAGTCTCACAATGCCCACGATTATTACATTTAGTTCTACCCCAAATTCTTCCTGCCCAATTATTTGGGGTATTAATTAGATGAGAAGCTCCTCGATTCAATTGAAATCCACCATTTTCTAAACTTCGGTGTCCAGGATTGCCTAATATACCAGGCCATACAGTAAATGGACATTTATTTTGTATTCGTATTCGATGAGCCAGTGAAAAGACAATCATTTGAAATAATATGGGGAGAAATTTTAAATCCATTTTTTTAGTTCAATTGTTTAAAATTCACTGAGATCTGCAAGTGTTTCGTCTGTTGTTTATATATCGGTTATTTTATTTTGTTAATAAACAATTCTATTTACCCGATCGATGAAATCTTCCAATACATAAGGAAAATCACTTAAAAATACAAATATTTAAATGGAAAGAAAAGCAAAAATTTTATTGAATTACAAGTAGTTACAATATTTTTGAATTATATTTATTTTTCAAGTTTAATTTTCATTGCCATAATTTATTTTTAAGGACAGAATGTGATGTCATAATTTGTAGCTGGATTTGGTCGGCATGTAAAAGTGCTTTTGTCGTCGTCATACGCATAGCTTTTTAAAAAAAGAAGTAACAATAATTAGAAAAAATTTAATTTAGAACTACTAACAATTTTAATTGTTTATTTCAACGATAAACATTATTGATAGCCTAAGTGATTTTTCGTTAAAATTAATTTTTTTTTAATTTTAGCCGAGAAATTCTGACTTATTGTTAGAATTTGTTTATCATAATTACCTATAGGCATCTGGACAGGCACTTTTGAAAATTGCTGGATAATTTTTGGGCCAGTCTCGACTCTTACAAGTTGCTGATGTATTATGAGCTCCACGACAACAGTATTGATCATTATTGAATTGAAGACAAGCACTTTTGCAAGCTATGGTCCTTGAGCCCGATTTAACAGCTAATTCCGAAGGGCATCGTGGATTCAAATCAGTTCTACATCCGGCCGGTTTACAATCGTATTTGCCACCATTGGAATATTTAAATCCTCCAGTTGGAACCATTCGCACGGGTAAATTATAACCATCAACAAGAGAGACATCATAATAATCAATTCCTCCATTTCCGGTGAATGTCATTTCTGGTAGCGAAACCGGTGGTGTACCACCGGCTCCATTGCACTGAATTTTATTTCCACAATCACCTGTCTCGCAACGACCTTGACTGTTGCAATTGGTTCTTCCCCAAATTCTGCCGGCCCAATTATTCGGTGCATTTATTATGTGAACAGCTCGTGAATTCAATTGAAATCCACCGTTTTCAAAATTTTCATGTCCAGGATTGCCCAGAATTCCCGGCCAAATTGTATACGGACAATTGTTATAAATTTTTATTTGATGTGCCTTTAAGAAGGCGATCATCAGAAAAAATATTGGAAAAAATTTGAAATCCATTTGTCTTGAATTTTACAAAAAGTTTCGATAGATTTTTTTCAAATTCAAATAAAAGCGGCACTTAAATCAGAAATTTGTCCGCTTAATGTTCATATAATTATTTCGTTTAAGTTTTTTGTTACTGATAATTTTTTTTTCAAACCATTGTATATATATACCCAATAGTTGTACTATTTGGTACAAGGAAAACAAAAATTACAATATACACGTGTATACATATTGTGATAAAAATAATTCTCAAAAAACAAATAGATATACAAAGTATTTCCTAATTGTTAACTTTGTATACGTCACAAAAAAAAACTGGTTGAAAATTACATTCATTTCATGAACATTTTTGCTACCTCATATTTATTTTAAAATAACAGTATTAAAATATACTTTTTCAGTTACCGTAAAATGAGGTAAAGTCGGCGTTTGCAGGTAAAGTCGGCCGGCGCTTTAAACACTTAAATATTGTATTTCATTTATTAATTTACATTAATTCTAACTACATTTTTAATAAAACTCGGATTTCTTCTGGAAAAAAGTAATAGTTAAACTTTAAAATGATTTAAAGCGCCGGCCGACTTTACCCTCAAACGCCGACTTTACCTCATTTTACGGTACATTTTAATTTTTTTCTTTCTATATAAAAGAACTATACATATGTTATTATAATAATAAAAGCAATTACATATTATTTATAATTAAAAATTAGTATTAATTTTATAAATTCAGGTAAAATATTTATTATATATATGTATATTTATTTTTGTAAAAAAGAGAACGAAAAGAAATTGAGTGCAAATTTTTGTAAATCCTTGTTTATAAATTTATAAATTTATCTTTTTTTTAAAATACTTCTTATCCTCCTTTATTTTATGCAAAATTTAAATTTAACTAACTCTCACCACTGTTTTCAGCTTTCAGGAAAATATTTTTATTTAAGAAAACATAAAAAACTGAAAATATTAGCCACAAGTTTAAAAACATTTTAACAATGTTAAATTTGATTTGTTAGTTTTCTATATGTCTTCAAGTGAGATATAAGTTATTAAATAGACTTATAAGCATGAAATTTCTTATATAAACTACGATTGAATACATTTTTATGGGTCGGAGATCTCATCCTTCCTCTTTAAACTGTATTATCATAACAACTTTAATATAAAATAGAAATTAGAAACATGAACTTCAAATTTTAGGGATATGCTTTTTTATTACGTGAACTCAATGAATATTTAAAAAGTATTCACACTTTTACTTAATGGATTTAAAATATGCAAACAAAATTTCCCAATAATTCATTATTTAAAAAAAATTACAATAATTCTTCCATCAATAATTTTGTTCTTAAATTCATGAAATACAATAAAATGTAAAACATACAATTATTGAAACTAATTATCTTTATCTGTAGACAAAGGATATTATTAAAAAACCATTTTACATCGAGTAAACTCATTTTCGATTCATTTGATTGTTCAAGAAAAAAAATTAGATAATTTTATTTAATTTTGTTATTTAACTTTTTACAAAAACACTTGTATTTTATTTATCTAGAAATTTTTTTTTAAATTATATGCGCGATTTTTTTGAATATTTTATAAAAGAGGTCAAGAAATGACTTTCCTTATCTATTATTAATTAAAAATTTTAATAAACATTATATCAATAAAAATTGAATAAACAAATAATTTTTTAAAAAAGTTGAATTTTTGAATTTGCTTTGTCTAATATAAAATTTTATGAATAATTTGCTATCATATAGAGATAAGAATTTTGAATTAAAAACTAAAAAAAAAACTTATAATGTCATAAAAGATTTGAATAATAGATGCGATTTTAAGGTATTTAATAGTTTCTTTTTAAAATAATTCATCTATGAAGAAGCAATAAATAAATTTTTTTAAATTAACAAATAAAATAAAAATATAAATTCTTATTAGTGTTATCTTTTGTTTTCCACTTAAAAAACATGTATCGAAAATGTTTTCCTTATATTTTGCATCATAAAACAGGAAAATATCGTTAATTTATTTGTATAATTTAAAGGTATTCAAGCGTAAAGGAAAGATAAAAAATTTCACTTGTAAAGCGTATTTGCAAAAGTAATTACGAATGCAAAAAAAAAAATTCAAATCAAGGAGGAATATAGTTCAAATGAATTCTTATATATTATATTCTAAATAAATACGATTTAATTATTTTTTAATGCATTTATAAGTAATTAAATTATTTAAAATAAACGATAACTTTCCTTTGATTATAATCAAAGATAATTAAAATTTTTTTTAAATCAACAAAATTTTTTCAAATCAAGTTTTTTTGTTCTAAAATAATTTTTAAATTTCTTTGAATTAAAAAATACAATCAATCAAATATTATTTGAAAAAAAATTCATTACAAACATTAATGAATAATTTATTTTCTTTATATTTAAAAATGATATGTTATTGAGACTTTCCTTGACTTTCCTTATTGCAAAAAAAATAGTACGCTTAGATACGGATAATTACATAGTATCAATTACTTTTAACGCGCTATAAATAATGAACTGACAATGATTTTAATCATTATAAAAGCAGAACTACTCCTGTTAAGAGATCGAGTTTCAATCGAATTTTCAAATAGAGAAAAAGATAGAATTTTGAAAAATAAAAAATGGATTTAAAATACTTACCGTCACTTTTCCTAATGATTGCCTTTACATCGGGGCATCAATTAAAATTATACAATAATTGTCCGTTTCCGGTGTGGCCAGGCATACAGGGTAATCCAGGTCATAAACATCTTGAAGACGGTGGATTCCAATTACAACAATATCAGGCCCGAATAATTGGCACACCAAATAATTGGGCAGGCAGAATTTGGGGCCGCACCAAATGCAATGGCCAAGGTCATTGCGAAACTGGCGATTGTGGAAATAAAATTCAATGCAATGGCGCAGGGGGTGTTCCACCTGTGACTCTGGCGGAAATGACGTTCAGTGGAGCTGGTGGACTTGATTTTTACGATATTTCCCTCGTCGATGGCTATAATTTGCCTTTAAGGATGGTACCAACTGGAGGATTCCAACCATCCGGAGGAGGCAAATATGACTGTAAAGCAGCCGGATGTAATGCAGATTTAAATGCACGATGCCCTGGGGAATTGGCTGTTAAATCAGGAGAATGGACCGTAGCATGCAAAAGTGCATGTGCTGCATTTAACACTGATCAGTATTGTTGTCGTGGGGCTCACAATACTCCTCAAACTTGCAAAAGTGCACATTGGCCCAAGAATTATCCAGCAATTTTCAAAAGTGCTTGTCCAGATGCCTATAGGTAATAATAATAGTAAAATAATTAAATTAATTAAATGATATTAACTAATAATAATAATATTCTTTTTAGTTATGCCTATGATGACCAAACAAGTACGTTTACTTGCCGTCCAAGCCCAGCTACAAACTATGATATCATATTCTGCCCCTAAAAAATTGAAAAGTATTTATCAGAATGCATAATTAATTAAAAAATTTGTAAAATTAAATTTCGTTGAAGTAAAAATTTTTTTTCTCCATTGTTGTTTTACCTTTAATTGAAAGTTTTTTAGATATCATTTTAAAGCTAGTGAAATGTAAATAACAATTATTATTAATTATATTAAGAATTGTAATCATGCGAAAATTATTATTTGAAATTGACAACAGAAAATTTTTCTTTTTATTTTTTACTAAATTATATCTTTCTGTGAAGGCCTACTTTTTAAAATTTTAGGTATTTACACTCAAAGCGTGTAACACCATCAATTTGAAATCTATGAAAAAAATTATTCTTTTATGTATTATTAATAAAACCTGTAATAAATATGATTAATTAAAAATGATTTAATTGATGTAAGGCACTAATTTCTAATTATTGTAGGTAAATATATGTAAATACTTTTCTTATTCAAAAATCCAACATGTTTTCCTTGTTTTCATTCATTTTTTCATCATAAAGTAGTTTTCGTTTAAGCAAATGTCATTTAAAATTTTTCATTTCATTCGATTCTCCATTAAATTTTTAAATAAACTTTCGATTGTTTAACTATTTGAAAAGTGACAGTTAAGAAATTGAGGTTATGTTGTCACAATCACATTTGCAAATAATTTAAGTCATCGCTGCGTTTTTTTTGTATTATTTTGAGAATGTAATAAATTAAAACAATAGTCAACAATATCCTTATTGTAGTTGGTCAAAAAGAAAACTTTTAAATCCAGCATATTAAACTATTTTGTTGATTGTTGCCTCAACGTAAAACGTTTTGCGAAGCGCCTAATAACTAGCAACCATTCTTACCGACACTACTTTACCGACCATCAATTCATTCAGTGACAGGAGAACTTATATTTTTAGATTAAAAAACAACTTTGCATTGAGGAACTCCTACTTTCATTACTCTAGTTGTTATTTTCTACTGTGTCAGTGCATTTATATACAATAAGCAAAATAGTTATTTATCGTAGGAGGCTAAAACGACCATTTTCTTCAAGATTATATTCATGAAAATATTAGTTTTGTGATTCAACAGTGACATCGTGCGATGATCTTGAAACGTCAAACTTGGTGAGAAGCTGTCAAACAAGAAGCCAGTTAAAAGGATATGTTCATCTCATTGACGTCAAAGAATACGTCAAGTTTTTGTGGAAGACAACGCGATTGTGGATTTTCTAAATATTTTCATTATAACCTCTCGAGGTCATAACCTTAAACTTTGAGGGACGTTAAACCTTGGGACGATTTTCGTATTATAGTTATCGATCATTTTGCAGGTTATCATTCAACTAAACGTGTCGCAAAAAAAACACCAATTCGCGTGTCGTCGTATCAATCTACTGTAATAATGATTTATTTACGTGACAAAGGAGAACTTTGTGATAATTAATCTCGATTTCTAATTTTTCCAAAGCTTTATATGACAAGTGTTGATTATAACCCCAGTGTTTGAAAAATGAGTTCCGTTTGGAAAAGACTACAAAGGGTGAACAAAAGAGCTGCTAAGTTTCAATTCACGGTTTCCTATCACGAGGTGACCCTTGAAACTACCACACGATGGTGAGTGACTCAATTTCTCATGTTATTTACAAGATTCTTGCGGTAATGGACAATTAACGTTTCTTTTTATGAAAGAGGAGTGCAAAAGTTTTTATATGTCTTGATTAATCTGTTTTTACGACTCAACAACTTGTTATTTAGCAAATTTAAAAATTCCTTTATTTATAAGACTTCTTTATTCTATTTGGAATTTTTTATTATTCAACTATTATGAAAAGCTTCAAAATTGTTTTAATTATTTGGATTTTTTTTGAGAAAATTAAGCGATTTAAACGTTGCAAAATTTAGTTCTTTTTTTTCCTTTTTTTGTAATAAAAAATACATTTTTTATTTACCAGGAAACCAAATAAATTAAGTGTTGTTTGGACGAGGAGAAGTCGTAGAGTTAGTTCTGATCCATTAGAATGGGAACCAAGTCTGAGTAATCCTCTAAAAGGTGCTGTTATTTGGTCAGTGCCGGACAATCATACTGTTTCTGTAACTTTATTCAAAGATCCTAGGACTCATGAATTAGAAGACAAGGACTGGACCTTTGTAATAGAAGATGTAATTAGAAAAAACTTATTTAAAAAGAAAATCAGTTTCTTTTTTTCCTAAACAAAGCAATTATTTATACATTTTTTAAATTATGAAATTTAGAAAAAGAATTAAAACAATTATCAAGTCATTAGTTACTTATAGAGCTTAATACAATTGGCTTCTTTTTTCTAATAAATGACTAAATGTGTATACAGGTCTCACATACAGGCAAGCGTCGTCACGTGGCTGCTGCTAATATAAACATGAAAAAATACGCGTCGCTTGAATCTAGTCAACAACAACTTAAATTTGATTTAAAACCTACCTCCAAAAAAATTGTCAGCGCTACTTTAGAATGTACATTATCATGTGTGTTCTTAAGAGAGGGCAAGGCTACGTAAGAAATTCTTAATTTTATATGAAAAAGGAACAAATTGTTTTTAAATTTTTTGAATATAAAATAGAATTTTTCTTTTTAATTGTAAAAAGAGAGTTAATGCAACGGATCTTTTTTAATTAGGGATGAGGACATGCAGAGTATGGCTAGTTTGATGTCAGTAAACAATAATAGTGATATCGCTCCTCTGGATGATTTTGACAATGAGGATATTCCTGAGGATGTCGAGGAAGTATCTATTAAAAATATGGACGAAATACTGGATATTTCTGCTCAATTAGATCTAATGACAAATAGCCTTACGGAAAGTGAATTACCAAGTACACCAATAAGTGGTGGGTTTAATAAAAAAAATATTTTTTTCTTTATAATTTAAAATTTTTACTTCGGAATGTTGTCGAAAAATTAAAACGAAGAATCCAAGAGCAAAATGAAAATGCAGGTCGTAAACCTCGGGCTAGTGACCTATTTCTAAATCTAACAAAAGAAAATAGAGGGAAAAAAATGACATACTTGTTAAGAGTTACCTAAAAATTCTCATACAAAGATTTTTTTATCGCTAATTTTTCATGATTTTGGAATATTGAATATTTCAAAAAAATACAAATTCTAACTAAAAATTCCAATTCGCAAAAAAATTCCTCTCTTTAAAATAGTCCGCATTCTATATTTAAACAAAGATCAATATTTTTTTCTTTGTGATTTTTTTTTTTTTTTTAAATTATCCTTAACGCTGAGTTAAAAAGTCAAAGATCAAGTTATTATAAAGTAAATTCTGAGCGATCCTTTTTCCTGTATTCTTCATCACTTTATTACGTGTGCATCAATATTATTTTGATATTCAATGTGCGCTATGAATAGAAAAGTAGTGGAGAGTGATGATCGATCATTATGTGAACGACGTAGTTTCTCTGTTTTTAAATCTGGCAAAGCAATTTTGCCATCTCTTAAAACTATTTTGTTCTATAAATAAATGCATCACAATTTTATTTCTAGTGGCGAGTTTAACGAAGGACGAAACGACTCCAGTCAATGATCATTATATTATTCGTGATCATAATAATTTATCGGGAATAAAAAGTTTAATAAAAGATTTATCACCACCAAAGGAAAAAATTATTTTCGAAAACGCGTACGTAATTAATTAATTAACATTTTTTTTATTAAATATTTATTTATTTATAAAATGTATAAAAATATAAAATTTTACTTTAAAAGTAAATGATGAAAAATTTTTTTAATGAAAAAAATTAAATTTATTAAACGAATAATTATTGGTTTTAGGAAAAGAAATGAACACAATGTGTCCTTGAAATTGCCATTGCGACCTTTGGATTTAAAGAAAGGAGATACAGGTGTATTAAGGTTGAAAGAAATTACACCTGGTCAGGATTTGCTTGAGTGGTGTAAGGAGATGACTAAAGATTATTCCGGAGTGAAAGTAACAAATTTAACAACTTCTTGGCGTAATGGAATGGCTTTTTGTGCCATTATTCATCGCTTTAGACCAGATCTTATGTACGTATACAAAAAAAATTGTTTTTAATGAATAAGGAGATAAAATTCTTACAGCGCAGACGGAAATGTTTTATATGAATAAAAGATAACATGTTTTTTCTCTCTAATTATAGCAATAGCCAACTATTATTTAATTTCTCACTGATAAAAACTGGCATAAAGTAAAAAAAAAAAAAAATTATATCATTTCTAAATTTTACTTTATTATATTTTACTGGAATTTCTTATTTTTGTAATTTTCTTTTTTATTACATTTTTTTTTTTTTTTAATTAAAGTATAATCGTTGAGTTTGAATCGCAGAAAAAAATCAATCTCGAGTTTTAATTATACAGAGAAATAGATTCCTTATTGCCGCATGACGTGAAAGGGAATTGCAAAAAAGCGTTCGATGCCGGGGAAAATTTAGGAATTCCTAAGGTTATTGAACCAGCAGATATGGATATTTTGACTGTACCTGATAAATTAGCTGTGATGACATATTTGTATCAATTGAGAGCACATTTTACTGGTCATGAATTGGAGGTAAAATATTTAATTCTTATTAAAAAAAATTAATTTAAATTTAAAATGAAAATACTAATTTTACAAATCTCATCTTTATTATTAGGTACATCAAATTGGTAAAACAACAGATGAGTCCTCATATATGATTGGACGTTTTAATACCGACAATAAAGCGGACGTGAGTGTTCAGCTTTTTGGACAAGAAATTATTAATTTACGCAAAAAGGAACAGATTGAACAGAGAAACAATAAATCAGAAAGCGGAAGATGGTACGAATAATTCAATTATTTTAATCGAAATTTTAAATTGAATTAAAAATAATCATTTTTAAAAATCAAAAATTCAAAATTAAGTGAAAAAAATAAATTTTCCAAAGGTCTAATCCATTTGATTTGAAGAAAGAAGACAATATTGATTCTTTGAAGAGTCGATTGCACTTGAGTTTAAATACGGATAATCAAGACCATGAGAATAACAAAGATAAATCACCTTCAAGTGTAAAAGAAGTAAAGGATATAATTTTAGCGAGCTCTAAAAGTATTCTTGGAAAAGTTCTTTCACCAACTAAAGAGAAATTCGCCTCAAGAGAAAAGGTTATTATTCTATTTTTGTATTTTAATAAATTTCAATTTGTGCAAATAATTGAAAATTTACTTTACATATATAGCAAATGATTTTTCAAATCTTATCTAATAAAAAATATTTTAATTACCTTCAAATTAATTAAAGTTAATCATAAAAATTTTATTAATAACTGATCAGGTTTTATTAATAATTTTTTATAATAATTATTATTAATCATTATTAATCATCAAGTGTTATTTGGTTATAATGAAATCTAAAATAATAATGAATTTAGAGTAAATCTCCACCGAGAAGTGCGCAAATACAACAACGTCCGATTCTTATGACTCGGCGACAATTAACTGATCCTTTCGGTAGCGATGATGAAGAGGAAAACATACAGATCGTTGATGATAAAATATCACGATCAATTTCTGCCTCGAAACTCTCAACATCTTTACAAGATGTCAGTATTACAAAAGAAATGTTGAGTTTTGAAAAAAGTTGCCTTTTTTCCAACGATTAAAATTTACTATACATTGTGAACGTGATAAAATGTGGTCTTCCACTTTTTAACCTACTGAGCTCATTAATTAGAAACGAACTGTGTTTTTCAATAAGCTTATCCCTCTTTAAAAAGAGACTAAAACTAGAGCTTTTGTTATAAGATTTTAATTCAAAATCACGTTCAGAATTGAAGTATCTTTTTTAATTAGCGCCTTTTTCCAGTAAAAAAAAACAGTGCTTTGCACGTTATTATTTGCGCATTGTAAATACATTAAAAAAGTATTTTAAAAAATATTTCTGTAGATGTTACGCACATCCTTTTTAATTATCTTCGCCAATTATATTCTCTCAATATTTTATTTCCACTGCATGTATAAATTAGTGCACTTAATGTTATTGCTTCATTTTTTTTTACAGGTTGTTTAGATTCTTATGTTTAAAATTTTATTTTTAATAATTAATTTTTTAAGTTTATTATCTTAATATATTTTTATTTTATAGATTAACATTTATTTTGTTTTTCAATCGAATTTTGTTTATATAATAATTAAGAAAATTATTGTTGTGTTTTTTCAAGATTTTTTTTTCATTTTCAGAGCTTGCTTTTTTCGCCTGACAAAGGACCTCGAGCTCAATCAGAGACGCGAGTTCTATCGCCTTCTAAGGATGAACATCATGGACAACATGTAATTACTATTATATTTTTCTTGAACATTAATGTTGTTTGCTTTGCTAGATTTTGTTTTGTTTACGTAAAATTTTAACAGCCTCTAGTTACCCGTCATGACGAGCTTAGAGAACGAGCGAGATTGCTTTTGGAACAAGCAAGAAATCAATCCAAGTCTGGTCTTAGTTCTCTAGCCACGAGCCCTGTTGAGGTTCGTTTTTTTTTTAAATTAGTACAAGCACACTCTTAGATTAATTTCTTTATGAAAAAGGAAGTATTAATAAAATATTTTTATTCTTTTTTATTTATTGTAAATATATTTGAAAAATTTAATAATAATATGTAATTAATATTAATGTGATTTCTTAAATTAATATAATAATCAATTTTTTGTAAATGCTTCACTACACTTTAAAAATACTCATTTACTCAAATATAAAAATTATTTATTAAAATTAAAAGTTCTATTATATAGTATTAATTCTGAATTTAAATTAATTTCTAAATTGATATGTAAATAGCAAAGCGACGAAGAGAGACAACAGCAATTGAGAGAACGCGCAAGACGATTAATTGCCGAGGCAAGATTGGGAGTCACTGTTTCGAGTAATCAAATTACTGATGACAATAACAGTGATCGAAGATCAACTGATGATCAAAATAATAGTCCTAGAAGAAGCATGACACCCTCAACTCCTGGTGATCGAATTAGTATCAAGGTATAAAAATGAAGTCAAAATTAATACAAATTGGAAAAAAATTCGGAAACAATGTTTAAAAATGATATATTTTCTAGTCGGAACACAATGGAAATATTTTATCAAGTACTCCAGTGTCTGACGGTGATAAAAAATGTTCGAGTCCACTTTATTCATTTTCGAAAATTATGGAAAGAATTTCCCCAGAAAAAACTTATCCAGATGGTGGTCCTTACGTTTTACGAGGGGTAATATTATTTTAATAATTGGCAATTCTTTTTTAAAATTTTTTGTTATTTTATACAAGTTTCAGAGAATATTCCATAAGGCTTAGAAAAACATTCTACAATTTATTTTCTGTTTAATCATTATTTTTTTTTCATTTCAGTTGGGAAAAGATATGACTTCGTATATTCAGAATGAATTAGAAGCTCTGGAAAGAGAACAAAGTCAAATCGATATACAAGCTGCTAAACTTGAGAAACAATTGCGAGCTGCTATGGAAAGTGACAATGAAGAGGAAACGGAAAGACTGATGTCATTGTGGTTCACTCTTGTCAATAAGAAGAATGCTCTCCTGAGGAGACAGATGCAATTGAATATTTTGTAAGTATTACTTTTTTATTTAAATAAATTAAAATTCAATTTTTATTTTAATATTTAAATTAAAAATTCAATACTGTTTCATATGAATTGCAGAGAAAAAGAAGACGATTTAGAACGTAGATTTGAACTTTTAAATCAAGAACTCAGGAGCATTCTTGCTGTTGAAGAGTGGCAAAAATCAGCAGAGCAGAAAGTACGAGAGGATCTTCTGCTCGAAGAATTGGTTTCTATTGTGAATAAAAGAGATGAATTAGTACATCATCTCGATACTCAAGAAAGAGCGTAAGTTTTAAAATTATTTAAATTAAATGAAAATTTTCCTGGTAAATAAGAAATAATTTAATTTTTTATAAAAATTTTTCTCCATAGAATTGAAGATGATGATGAAATTGAACGTGATTTATCGAGAGCCGGTTTGGCGCAAAGAAACAGAAATTGTGTGATTCAATAAGAAAACACAATTCTTTTTAGGTTTCGTTCTCACGTAGGTATTTTACCAAAGAAAGAAAAAGCTATTAACACAATTGTGTACTTATTGAGTTGCTTTTCTTTATCCTGCTTTGAAAAACTTGAAGCTAGAGGAATAAAATTAACTTTTAAAGTAACTAGGATTGATTAGCACGATTTTTTTTAGAAAAATTAAATATCTAAAGCTTTTAATTATTATGTTTACCTGTGAAAATGAAATGATTATTGAAAATCTTATTGAATACCTGTGATTTCGCATTTGCAATTTTCGATTTGTCACAAAATTATTAATGTTAATATTTCTCGAATTCGAGAGTTATATATTATCCTTTTTATATTGGAAATGATTTACAATCTTTGTTGATTCATTATTAAAAATTTCAACACAATTGTGTAAAAACTAAATTATTAGAAATTAATTAAGTTTGATAGAAGTTTAGAAACAAATTTGATAAATTTTCACACACATACACACACACCTAAGAATTTTTAATATTGAAGCAATATTATTGCAATTTTGTTAGATAATGACAAAAGTTAAATTTTTTGCTTCTCGTAGATTATCTTCTTTAGTTAATAATTAATTTTTAAAGGTGACAATTATTTTTTTCCTTTCCATTTTTTGAAACGCGAAAAAAAATTTGTCACATACTAAACGAAATTTAAAGAAGATTTTTTCTTTGAATTTTTTCTGGGATGTCATTTTTAGTACCTGACTGATAATATATGTTATCCTTTTTTTTCTTATTTTCTTTTTATTTACCTGAGCATCCCATAATAAAAAAAAAAAAAGAAAAAGCTTAAATTTCAATTAATTTCACGGGTGCATACTATTATTTGCACATAAAAAAAGTAAATTTATTATATATTACCTATATATAAAATAGAATCTTCCACTTCTGATATTTTTTATTTCTATAATAGTTATTTTTATCTTTTTTACAATTATTAGAGCGCCAATTTGAGTAAAGAAATTAAAAAATAAAAATAAGTGTTCGAAAATTTTTTAAAATTTGATAAATCAATTTTAAGACTAATTAGATAATTTTAATCAAAAATAAATTTTGTACATCTCTTAATAAGAAAAAATAAACCCAATTGTTACTAACATTTTATATATTTAATAAATCTATTTAAAAATATTTTCTTAGGCAAATTTATGCTATATTTCTAATAATCTTTTAATATAATAAATCATTATAATAACTTTGATAATTTAGAAAGTGTTTTTAAAAAATAATTAATTTAGAAAATTTCGAGTCGGATGTTGAAGATTCTATTCTAATAAATACATTATATACCTACATGACACAATAATAAAATCAACGATAGATAGATATTCACTATTCTAGCAGATCTTTCGAACTATAAATGTTATAAATATAACGAAATATTAAAGATTTCGACGTAATTGTTTTTCTTTTTTTTTAATTTTCGTCATTAATTTTTATAAAATAAATGGTTCTATTACACAAGCATCTATAGTTCGAATGAACTAAAAATAATTAAACTGCTGAAAAAACTGTGACATAAAACTGTACTCAAAAAGCCGTGCCATATAATATTCGCGACTGACTTCTCTTTGTATAAAAAAAAAAGTTTCTGCTTATACAGAAAAAATCAGAAGTGTCGTAAGTCCATTGCCACAGTGCAATTAAACAAACAAACAAATATTAAATTTTAAAGTACCTTCTAGTTTTTTAAAAAGCGTATAATCTGTTTTGCATATAGATATTTTTGTTTTCTCATTTTTCTATAGAATAAGCTCACGTATAAATCCACTTTGAGTGTGATTTACAAAAAAAAAGCATTTTTTAATAAAAAAAATTCTCGACAGTAAGAAGTTTAGCCAAGAAAAAAATTAAATGAATTAAAAAAATATATCTGATAATTCAATCAGTTCATCTATGATAATCACTATAAAAAATTATCATATGTGCAAAAAATGCAAAGACTAAAATTAATTTTATTATTTATTATTATTACTCTTTTTAATCCAGATTTTTTCCAAAATTTGTTAATGAAACAAAAAAATATTTTCCGCCAGAAAAGTAGAAAAAAAATATTTTTATGTTCAAAAAAAATATTGTCTCAAAGATTGTTACAGGTGAACTGCGTTTTAAGAAAAATCAGTGTTAAATTAATCTACAAAAAAGAATAGACTTTCGATTCAACAAATATTTTATATATATATTATATTTTTTGATTTTCATTAAAAATGAATTTTTTGATTAATTTAACACTCATTTTATTAAGTAATAGATAAAATATACATACATATTTACATAATAAGTATATACACGAAAAGTATAAACAAATCAAACGACTCATAAAAAAAAAAAAAAAATAGTTGGGAAATATTCTTAGGTTTTTTACAGTGCTCTTTCTAATAATTTAACTAGGAATTCGATCACTTGCTCGAATTATGTTTACCAATTTACATAAAACTATTTATTTATATCAGCAAATGAAGAATTATCTCACTTTAATAGTTAGAATCGAAGGATATAAAAATAAATAAAAAAATCTCAACACATCGCAAATATTATTTACTGGCGTTCATGTAAATTCAGTTAAATAAAGAAACATTTAAAATTACGTTGTTAATTTACTTAAACGAAAATGAAAAATTATTTCAAATTTTTTCAGAAAAATTAAAATCCAGATTTAAAATTTTTTTGAAAATTAAATGAAAAATTAAAGTAGTTTGGGAAGTAATATAAGTCGGATTATTCCTTGAAAAAGTGCAAATATATTTCGATCGTGCAGCGATGATCTTGAACAAAAAACTCAGGCTGCCTTTTAAAAAAGGATTCTTCAATTAACTGTGTTACTGCTTTTTTTCTCTTCATTTATTCTTAAACTTGAATAACGAAGAAATACAATTAAGGAAAAGTCATTTATAAACTTTACTGCTAAAAAAAAGTAGAAAAATCAAAGTTTATAAATATTATTACTATTAAATTTAAATTGATGTGAATAATTAATTTTATTTGAAAGGATTAATGTCAGTGAACTAAAAAAAATACTCAGTTCACAGTCAACTGAAAATCTTTCGTTTCTACAATATCGTTCATTCTATTAAAAAAAAGGATTCAAATAGAAGTTTTTTTATTTTAGAAAATTACGTTCTAAAAAACGATACATTTTTTAATTTAATCTGTATAATTAATTTTAATTCGATTTCCAAATAATTAAAGAAATTTTAATTATATTACATTCATAAAGAACGTCTCTTTCAATCCTCTTTGATTTCGACTCATTTTTTTCCAACGCTCAAGTTATTTGCACAGCATCGAAGTTAAGCAATGGATTTCTTGACCTACATCTAGCGATATAATTTGAAAGAGCAAATCGCGGACATTGTATTTTATTAACGTTTCCGTAGAATTGGATCTAGGCAAAAATTTGTGGTAAAAAATCTTCCAAGATAAACAAGTGAAATTGTTGTAAAATTTAAAAAATTTAATTTTTTATGAAGTAACAATTACAATTAGTTGTTAAAAACTAAAGATATTGGAACACTAATTAATTAAATTTTTTTAAAAATTGTAAATCAAAAACTAATGAAAAATAAAAATTAATTAAATCAGATTTTATTACCAAAAAAGGAAGCTAGAAATAATTTTTTTTTTCTTATAGAAGACAAAAAATGAGCCACATTTGAAATTTATATTTATATGACTAAAATTTTTACGCTAGAACAAGCATAAAAAAGTCGAAGAGTATTACAAAGATTTTGATTAAGCAGGTTTGGTGTGTTTTTGTTATATAAAATTTCATAATTCAACCATTTCGGACCTTCAGCGACGTACAAAACTGAGATAATTTGTTATAATCATTATTTATTATGCTTTATTTTATTTTATCTTTTTAAGACACACAAATTGAAGCTTTTTCTATTCTCGAAAATTTTTATCATATACAAAAAAAATTGTTTCATATCCTTAAGTGATATGTGAAGCCAAAAGCATTTTCATTCCAATTTTGTTAATATTTAATTCGATCTTCTGATCTTTATTTCAGTCTTTATACTAAATACATAAAGGAAAACATTAATTTACATTTAATTAAAATTCTCAGAGTTCAAAGTAGGTATAATATAGAAAAAATTATTTAAATTATTACAATATTGTCCTTCATAATGAATAAACATTAAGTGAAACTATTTTCTTTTGAATCTAATCCAAGAATTTTAATTAGTTAAATAATTGAGACCGCTATGAAAAAATCGCTTTTAGAAAACATTCACTTTTATTATCACTTTTTTTTAAATATGACACATTTTAACTACGTTTTCAATGTACAATAATATATCAAAGACAAACTACAAAAATTTAATGAATCAGAAATCGCTAAAAATTTACCTGAAGGGAAAAAGAATTATCTGTTAATTAAAAAAATAATAAATAAGAAATATTTTTGTCCTTTTTAAAATTTTCATTGGAGATTTCTTTTACATGATAAAAAAAGAGAATTTCAAAGACTCTAACAATAATTAACTACATATTGATAATTACGTACAATTGGCAAGAAGAATGTCATCGCATAGGTACGTATGTTTATGTAAAATTATTTTAATTACCATATGTCGCAGCTAAAATTGTTTCTGCTCACACCTTAATTGCCAAAAAGTACCAAAAAGTAAAAAATGAATTTTTTTATTTCTCTTCTAAATTGATCTCTTTTAAACAATAAATAAGGGATCAATTTTTTCAAGTTATAATATTTCAAAATTTTAATAGCCAATTATTAAAAAATATTGCATTGCGATGAATTTTTAATAATTTTTGTTTTCTTTTCACCTGATACGCGTTCGCACTTGTGTCTTATAGCACTTTTGCTTTCGTTTTCGTTTGAACTTATGCTAAAACTAGATTACATTATTTTTTTTCAATTGACATTTGTTTATTTGTATATATATCGCGTAGGCTGTGTCGTTCTTTCAAATTATAACAATATAGAATATCGTTGAATATGTATTTTATTTTTAAAATCAATTCAAGTACCAAACGCCTTTTTTAAGAAAAGTAAAATAAATTAAAGAAAATTTGTTTTGAAATAATAATTTAAAAACAAAACACTTTTTTTTCAACAAAAAAGTTGTATTAAAAATTATAAAATTAATTTTTTGAAATCAAAAACAATACATTAAATAACAATGTGAACAAGATAAAAGATAACATTTATTATTTGTAGTAATACTGGAATGATTATAGTAAAATAAAATTAATTCTAAAAATTGTAATTCTTCCTTAAAACCCCTTCACTGTTATTGACCTCTGTAGAGGCATAAAAATATCGTGTCACCAGTGTGTATGACCGCTATAGAAGCATCTAAAAAAAAAGTAGACACAATACGATAAACTTGTCAATGGGTATTCTTAGGTATGGTAATATCAAGTTTAAAAAAAAAAATTTCCCACATACGGGGCACGGAAGCTTTATTTCTGCTACACTGTGAAGGGGTTAATAAAGAAAAGAAACGAAAAAAATGCAGTCTCTTTATAGGAAATTCTACTTTTCGTTGAATTTTCATCACTTGGTCCCAAGTCCCAACTGCATTATCAGACTTTCCCGTTTTTAATAAATAAATAATTTAATAATCATTCCAGTATCATTATGTCTAATAGAGCTTTTTTAAAAAAATAAAAAAGTGTTACTTAGATTAATTGATTCATTCGACGATATTCCGGAGAAATATATGTAATAATTATTCTAGTAGGTACTTTTGCAACACGTGAACCAAAGTTTGAAACTTAACTGCATTATAAAGCTATACAAGAATAGAAATCTATTTTACCCATTCAATCAACTATTTTTAATTTACTGTAAATAATTTATCATAATTTTATTTTTAATAATCAATATAATCTATTAAATTATAAATTGAATTTTAATGCATATTTAAAATAATTATGTGTAATTATATAATAAAATTGAGTACACCGAAATAAAAATTTTTAAAAAAGAATCGATAAAATTAAATTAATAATAGAAGAACATAATACAAGTATTTTTTAAGTACTTCCTATGGAAGATCTTGAGGTACTAAGTACCAATCTTGCATTTCTAAAATATATAATATATATTTATAAACTCTAAAGCAGTAATTCAACTTTGAAATAAATAAGCCTATCCACAATTACTTAGCGAATCACTAATATTATATGTACAATATTATTCAAGACTAGAATAGAAAAAAAATACATTGATTGGGAACACATGTTGCAAAGATGAATAATATTTACACCAGACGATAAAAAACAATATTCAGCTTGTTTCGAAATTAAGAATATTCGACATAAGCGGAAGCAAAAACAAAAAAATCACTGGTTTCGAAAAATAAAAAATTTTTTGAATATGATCTGAGCTTTCCTTTTTTCTTTTGTTTTGTTAAGAAGTGCACACGGATTTTCTGTACAAAAAAAAACCGTTTCGCTCTTATACATTGATTATTCCAGTAGATTATTATTTACTACTTAGTTACACAACTATCTACCTAAACGAATTGTTTTTTTTCGTTGATCATTAAATTATTTCCTATTACCAATAATAAATTTCTTATTATATGCAAAACATATAAATTGTATCTTACATCGTTTTTTTTCGTCAGTGCTTCCTTCGTATTAATATAATAAGTAAATTATAAACCCTTTCGATAATTCAAGCAAATTTTTTTTTTATTTAAGGAAAATTCTTTTTTAATCTCAAAAAAAAAGATTAGATTTTCGATAGGCCATTCTCTATCACTGACATTCAAATGAGGTAAAAAAAAAATACTTTTAAACAAATAATAAATTGTTTTTTTGAGCTTGAAGCATTTTCACATTACTATAATAAATCCCAACTTTGTCATTTTTCACGAAAGGTCACCGGAAGAACATTTTATTTATTTTTATCGATAAAAATAGTTTTTTTTTTTTTTTTAAAAAAGGAAATTAAATCGGAAAATTTGTCTATTAATTTACAGTAATTCACCTTCAATATGTTTGACAAAAGATTATATTTCTTTATAATTAAATTGAAATAATAAATTCAATTTTTTCAAATTGAAATATTTTTAAAAATAAAATAAATTTAAATAAATTATGTATATATTTTTTAATAACATGATTATATATAATAATAACAAATAAACATTACCAACTAAATAACATCTTAAATCATATCCACAAAAAATATTTTTTTGTCATAAGAATAAATAAATAAATAAAAATAACAAAAAGAAATCATTTTTTAATTTCTAAATAAACTTTTGTCAAATTTAATCTCAGGTAAATGACATTAGCAAAATAAATAAAATACTTTGAGTTAAAGACATAAAAAAAAAGAAAAATAATAAATGATCGAATTGCTATACATATTTTATAAGCATTTACGTAATCTGATTCGTGGCACTGCTGTGCCTTATTTTTTTTAGATTGGCACTGTCATAGAGGAGCACGTGATTAATAAGAACAATTTAATTTCTAATAGCTCAGTACGTGATCAAAATAGGCCGAGCTTGCTCCTAAGAAATTCCTTAATAGGTACGTAAAATTGATTTTGTAAGGCCACCATTTCCGGCGTTTTGCGCAGGCTGTTGACGAAATTTGAGTCCGTTTCAAATATCAATACAATCGCAATAAATATCACGATTATTGTTATCATAAACGCAGGTATCAATAGTTTTACCACTCGTAGACTTTTTTCTTTTATTTTCACACCAGCACGACGTGATTGTGAACTCATTTTAGAATTTTGCAATTTTTGCATTTTCGGCACTGGTGTCACTGTACGATTATGTGATTTTCCAGTTGAATCAAGTAATTGATTTTCCGATGATGAATGATCAAATGAATCACGAAAATAATAATCATTTGCATCACCCTCGTGTTGGCAGACTGAAACAAAGAAAAACATTTTTTTTAAATGTCAAAATAATATTTCTCTCTTTTCCAATTTCCTGTGCGCAAAAAAAGAAGAATAGAACTTAAAACGAAGCGACAACAATTCTTACCTGACAAATCGTAATGTCTTTTAATTGCATCAATTCCATTTCCAACATTGCGAAGAATCTCTTGACCCCAGTTCGATGGACTAAGATTCTGCACAGTGTTTTTTGTTTTTGTTAAGAAACAATTATTTACGATTTTCAAATCATTTTTAGATTTATTCGCTGTCGTACTTGTTCCATTATTTAATCTTACCTGATTATTATCCTGTGAATAATTATTTTCCTGACATGTAATCGCGTTTCCATTATCATTGTTGATTAAATTGCCATTTCTTTTACTATTTGATGGTGTTTTTGATGTTTTAATTATTAATGCCGTTGATCTGACAACTTTTGGACTTTTATCAAGTGAATCTATTTTCTGTTTGACGATACTTTCAATATTTCCTGTCAATTCGTCTGAGCCTATTACTATTTTTTGACTATATAGAGGTTGTGGTCGATTGAGTGTGCTCTTTGGAAATTTCACTATTTTCGTTTGGGTTGTGAAAGTTGTGGTGGAGTGGGTGTCACTCGCATGCGAATCATTCTCGTCTACGGCTAAAAAAACAGAAAAAAAGAAAAACCAAATCAAAAATTTAAAAAAGCCAAATCAAAAAAGCAGTAAAAAGATCTTTCAAAACTTGTTTAAAATTCTTCACCAAGTTTTTTTTAAATGAGAATTTTTACATCAAGTATAAAAAATAAATATAAAAATGTGAACGAGAAATAATTTTCTAACATAATTTTCATGCAGTTTTTGTCATTTCAAGTAATAAAAACGCGAATTTGTCACATGCAGTGCATTTAAAGGGCTTATTTTATTATAAAATCTCTTAATCGCTGGTAAATATATAGAATAAGTAATTAAAATGGAAAAGCTTTGAAATCAACGACTATAAGCAGAATTGGTTCGGAAGGAATTACTAAAAAGGAAATGTTTTTCTTCTTCTTTTAATTAAAAAACTTCATTCTTGTGATACTAACCATTATTTCTTCTAGTGTGTATTTCTTGATCTTCAGATACGGTTTCAAGTAGTGGTAAGGTATTGTCAGGGCAGTAAGGAGAACTTAAAGGAACTCCACTAGCTATGTCAGACATCCCGGCACCATCTAGACCTGCGCTATGGCAACTTCTTGGTAAACTAGAATATCCTGAAAAAATGTTCATTACATGCAAATAAAAAAAATATTATTTACAAATTCTTGAAAGAATTTAAAAATCAAGATAAAATTGAATTAATTAGTAATTGCCTTTTTTTCACTGAATGTAATTTTCCTCATAAATAATCATAAAAAATCGGAAAATCATGAAATGAAAGAAAAATACTAACGAATCTCAACGAGATCTTGACTCGGAGTACTTGGGGTTGCAGGTACACTACTCGCTTTTCTTCTAAGACCTGTAGAATTGCAGCGTTGAATAGGAGGTTCTTCGTTTCGAAGTGGTCCTGCTTCTTCCAATACTTCTCTTTCCGTTCTTCCAGTGTATTTAAATTTCGTACCCCAGGAAAAAATGGAACCACCACTCAATACCGGTGCATCTGAAGCTCTTGGTAAGCTGTAGAAATAAAAAAAGAAATACAAAATCATAAAGTGAAATAACAATACAAAAAAAACCCAAAGTTAAAAAAAGTAAATTTACTTATGGATAAAAATTAGATTTTTATTTATTTATTTATTTTTTTAAATAATTTAATTACACCAATAATGGAATAATTAAATTTTTAATATTTCAAACATTATTTTTTAAAATCTAAAACTTTATAAGAAAATTAGAATTTTACATATATGAATCAGATGATGATAATAGATATTAAAATATTTTTATGTAAATAGACGTGTATGCTGAATAGGTTATATCATTTGCACCCATGTGTTAAGTTAACTATAAAAGTTATTCAGTGGAAAGTTTTATATGCTTCTTACAACAGATGGTACATATTGATTCAATCTAAAACCAATTCTCGCTCAATATCTGAGTCAAATTATTAAAAAAAAAAAATCGATATGATACTAAAGATTTTTTTTATAAGTCTTAATCGTTAACAAATATGAATTTTATTTTATATAATTAATTATTAAATATAATATTTTGTATTGTATATTATAATTATATAATTATATATAATATAATGATATATTATTATTATATTGTATAATATTTTTTTTTTGAATTAATTACTCAACATTGATCTACAAATCGGCTTCTATAAATATTTTACTAAAAATTCAATACTCACGTGAAAAATAGCATTTGCTCGATGGCGCATCTCCAAACATGTCGGCAATTTGACCCCGTTGGACACTTAAATCCGACGGTATGTTTTTTCTGAAAATGCGGGATAGAACACTTCCAGACTGATCTAATCTATATATAATTAAGTAATAGCTAAGGATACAATTTACTATCAATAATGTTAGCAATTTATCTTCACGTTCTCGTTTTTTTGAAATTTTGAAAAAACAAACTGTTATATGTATTTAATGAAAAATTAATGTACGAACGTGAAGATTATGTCTAGATTTTCAATAATAAACAGTTCGTCTCATATTTTTTTAATTTTCTTCTTTACTTATAAATTTTGCGTGAAGCAAAAGAAAGACAACATAAATAAGGAAATGACATGCATAAAATACTGATAAAAATTCTGAATACATATATAAAATGTGCCGATAAAGGTCAAGTTCGAGTTAAAAAAAACCTACATTAACTCAACAATCACTGTTCAAAAGTTACTATTTTAAATAAATGAAATTTATTTTATTAATTATATTCGAAATTGAATTATTTATATAATCCAGAAATATTACATATACCCAATTATTAAACAAATAATTTTATATTGATTTAATTGACTACAATTAAATTATTAAATGAATATATTATAGAAATTATTTAAAAAAAGTAAGAAAGAAGAGAAAATTTAATTAAAAAGACTTCAAAGAAAAAATTTGAATTCTTAATAGAATTTATAGCATCATTGATATATTGATGGGAGAAATAAAAATAGAATGTTTCTAGAAACAATAAACCCCACGAAAAACTTTCGTCATTTCAAACGATATAGTAGATTCACTAAAACGTTTTTGTTTTTACAAGCTCAAATGACTACATACATATATATATATTTTTTTTTAATCAAATGAATAAAATTTTAAATTTAAATTTCAAAATTTCCCGTTTAAATTCTGAAATAAGTCGCTCGGCAATTCGATTCTGTTAAATAACTGATCTTCTTTTTGAAATATTCAAATTTTTCAGCAATGAAACTTTCGTCAACAGTTTTTGTTCAACTATTTTTCATTGTGTATACAGACTTATAGTAAAGACATAAATTTTATTAGTCTTGAGAAAAATGAAATGAGAGTTGATTATTGATTGAAATAAATAAAAAAAAAAGTATGATCATATGGATAAGACAACTTGGCACTAGAAAAGGAAATGCTTTCTATTAAGTTTTTTTTGCTTCCACAATAATTCATCACTTTTACACTGAGAGAAAGAAAGAGAAAGAGAGTAAAGTAGGTAACGTCGAGGTCTCGTATTAAAAAACTATTCCGTATTGTATTACTGTCTAAGCTCCAACGTGCAACTGCAACAAAATGAAACGACTCACCTTCGTCCTCGTGTCCTGGGCAATGCGCAGCGAGAAGTAATGAGATTACTTAGTCTATTTTCTATACTCTATATGTATATATATATATTTCAAATCCGATGATAAAAGATTTTTCAAGCCAGAAAAAAACAAGTCAAGAGAGACAAAAAATGAAGCAAGAAAATTTATAATTTAAAAAAATATTAAAACGCAAAAATTTATTTGGTTTGAAATTCTCCGCTCATAAAATTAACTGTTTTTATTATTCGATAGTTGTTTTTTTTTATTTCAAGTTTTAATATTTTAATTAATTAATTGTTAAATTTAATATTTACAATTAATTAGAGGATTTATCTTTTAATACAAATACTACTCGAATATAATGCATAACTCCTTTTTCCTGTTCCGTGACTTTATAACCAGATTTCCGACATTGTGATACACATTTAATCGTGAAAAATAGATTCATCAAACTCGAATATGTTCATGTCAGAAATACATTTCCAAAAGAAAGGGAATTTCACGCGATCAATCCACTTAAAGTGGTTTTAGACTTTGATCGAATTGCGATGATCACTTAATGCGTATATCATCAAAAAATAAAAATTTAACTTTATATATAATTAATAATAATAATTATTATTTCATTCGCAGATCAAATAATTCCTGATTACAGTATAATTGAATTCGCAATTAAATTGCAATTTAAAATTGATTCGTAATTAAAATTTGAAAGATATTTATAAATTAGTACTAAATAAGTATTAAATAAATTTGAATAGAATATTTTCAGTCACTGAAAAAATTTTTCGAAAGAAGAAAAATTTAATTCTTTCATTAGGAGGAAAAATTAAATTTATCGGAATGAATCAATAATATAGGGAAGTTGAAAGAATGTAATATCAAGACATCGGTTTTTCATTCGGTATATTGATATATGTTCACCTAGATGATTAAAAGTTGGGTGCACATGCACTCGTGTGTGAGTTGGCGCCTCGCAAAAGTACGAAGCTTTACATGTTGCACAAGATGCGAGACGTACGAACACAACTGATGGCTTGGGAATTCGTAATCCTATAAACCACTTTCGAATAGAGGGCCGAGGTCATTCTATCGATCCAAGGAACGTTATTGGAAAAAAAACTACCGAGAAAATGACGATTTCGGTTTTTTAAAGGTCTTCCGAAATAAACAAAATCTTTTGACTGCAAGTTTTTCCAGAACCAAATAAATTTAAGTTTCATTTATTAAAAATATATTTTTCAAATAATTTTCTGTTCAATGAAAATAAAATTTTCAATAACTCCTGACTTGTAAAATATTTGTCGAATCTATTTCGAATTTACTTAAAAGGCTTATTTATAGTATAAAAGAATCTACAATCTAGCTTAGAGAGCTTTAATAATAAAGCTTTAGAGCTTTAGGCGCAATAATAATAATAATAATAATAATGTTTCTAACTAAAAAAAATAAATGTGTCTTCTTACCTCATTAATAGTTAAGTGAACGATAAACATTTTTCCTTCATAGTTGATCTTTTGCACTTCGGACCAGCGAAAGTGATTAGTTTTTCTCGATCCTTGAAATGTTAGGATTCCACTATGGTTTATACCAAGATATAATTGTGTACCTTTGTGATCCTAAAAAAAAAGAAAATTTAATTTTTCCACTCAATTTAAAAAAATCGGAAAATTTCAAATAAATATAATGTATTTTGGATGTGGTTATGAAAAATAAATTCATCCCACGGAAAAGTATTCCAAAAATTGACGATCGTACATTGAATGCCCTCTGGGACTAGAACGGATCGATCGACAAGGTGCACACTCTCTGGGATTGGATTCACGACATAATCAAAAAAACGGGAAAAACTTTTACCCACTCATGAAAGCAACGTTGAACAAGACTAGTATTGAATTTATTTTAAAATAAAGAGCATTGCTAGAGTTATAGTCTATTCACTTTTCATATAACTTGTTGTAAATTTAACTTTCCAGCAAATTTAAAAATTAAATTAAATTGAAAATTACAAATCAAAAACATAAAGTATAATTATTATTTATAAAAAAGACAATTTTTACATAATATTAAGAATTTAGATAATTTAAAAATATTTAGAAATTTTTAAAAAATGACAAATCAAATTAAATAAAAAATAATAATTTTCTGGATTCAAATGCTTTGATTCTTTATCATTATAAGAGAAAGTAATACATTTATGTAATATACATATAAAATGAATTTTTTTTAATTTACCTTAACGGGATGTGGATCTACGGCATACGTGTCCAATTGCGAAGCTAGCCTGAGAAAATGCGTTTCCGCTTGCTCTGGCGTGAAACCTTTGAGTTGCGTTTGATGCAAATCCATGGCTTTTTCCTCGATTGTCTCGGTTTGCTTTAGTAGTAATTTATGTTCCGATATATAGTTACTCTCATGAATCTCTGGATCATAGTCCCCCAGTTCGCCTGAATCAATGTCAAAGAAAAATCAATAATATCAAGGGAAAAGCAATAAAGAAACCACCTTAAAATTTTAAAATGCGTCCCTGACAAATTCGTCGAAAATTTTAATATTTCTTCTTTTTTTATAATTATTAGCTTTAGTTTCCGTTTATTCCTTGTTTGATATAAAAATAGAAATAAAGGGTAAAAATTCCAAGGAAACTGCAAAATTTCAAAATCGAATTGAAGAGATTGTTAGAAATTCAAAGTTTAAAGAGTTTTAAGAGACTAGTTTACAAATTAGAATTTAGATACCGAGACACTAAACTTTGAATAGAATATCAACATCTCATCTGCTTCTTGGTCACGTAAAAGACAACCTATATATGAAGGTATATATTCACTGAACTTTCATGAGCACAAAAAACAGAAAAAAAGATTATCGAAGCAATGTAAACAGAGTATCTTTCATAAATTTACAATATTTCCTGACTTTTATTTACTGAATCTCTTTTTATATACTATCATTGTGATTTAATTTTCACCTTTTTTTGTAATTCTGAAATAATATTGAAATTATTTTTTTATTATTCAATTTTGATTTTTTATTAAACATGACGAGGCATTTTCAAGTCTCGTTTTACATTTTCGATTTATTGTTCTGTATAAAAGGCTATTCATTAATTTCGTGCCTTCTGTTACGGACTTTGGTAAGTTAGTTAATGATTTTGTGAATTTATGTACATAAATTTGCATGTCGCATTCACAAGTAAAGATTTACAATCAGTGAACTTACTTTGTACAATGCAGGCAGCGAGTAAAGAAGCTTCACCAGGACTACAGTAAAGTCGTCCATGTAGAAGGTCCCTTTTTAATTGCTGATAAATTTGATATCGTGTGATCTCCTCTTTCAATCGTAGTGGATCTGGTGGATAAAATTTCACGCGAAAACTAAATAAAATTGGATCCATATCTGCAACAAAATAAAAAAATTCTTTGAATCCTTTTGAAATTATAATATGTATTCATTAAAATGCTAATTTCATAAAATAATAATAATAGAAAATAAAAAATGTGATAAAAAAAAATTTACATCTCAATATTTATTTATTATTAAAATAGTAGAAAAATTTAAATCAAGTTTTAGTAAATTTTTAGAAAATTAAAATTTTATCAACATGTTTATCTTTAAATCAATCTTGAAAACATCTTGAGAGTTCCAGAGGTTTTTAATTTTTCATTTTCTGAGGCGTGCCTCTCCTAAATTCTCTTCATACTTTAAAAATATATTATGTCCCACGACTTTAAGATGACAAGAAATACTTTAATTTGATAATAAAAAATAGCAGAAACAAAATTCTTTAATATAATAGAATAATAAATATATTAAATAGTTTAAATTCTTTTTTTTTCGACTAATAAAAAAAACAACTAAGTATAATACTTAAGTGTGAAATGAAGTCGAGGACAAATAGACAATTTGGCAAAGATTTCTTAAAATTCTCTTCTGTAACATACTCCAATGGTAATATACCGAATTATATTTACTCAATAAACTAAATAAATGACTAAATAAACGTCATATTAAGTAGGTCCTTTAAATAAGGATAAATCTTTCCAGAGAGATTATAAAATAAAATTTAATTTACTCAATTTTATAAATTATAAATAAATTCTTATAAAAAAATAGATAAGAAATGTTTATGGAAAGTCTTGAAAAAAATGGAATCTAAAAATATTTTTCAAATTTAATTATTCTGTTTAGTATGCAATGGATTTTCTTTTCGTTTGTACATATTTTACATCCACATAAAGATTTTGTGTAATATAAATAAACTAATTCACTCTGTTTCAAGATATTTTTGCTTCTACTATAGTAAAGTTACTACTATACTACTATAGTAAAGTGCAGAAACAGAGATAGGGGGAAAAATTATAGGGTCGCTCTTCACCCTGAAACTTTCATACAACTTCGACCCGCGTGTAATTAGGGAAGAAAAAGAATTGCTAGACTTATTCGACTTAAAACCTTGATAACAGCTGCGATATATACTTTCATTGAGAATATAACTTTAATATATTCGATTTATGATACGGAAATATTACAGTAATAAAATTAACGATTGTCATATCCGTTTTATATTTTATCGGAAACTTTTTCTATATAATCAAATGTACCATTTTATTAATTTCCATATAGATTTAAAATGAAGTTCAGTCGATTATTTATTATTATTTTTCTATTACTAAAGAATGTGATCATCGAGTGTGATCACATGTTCTAAAAGCACGAACTGATGCAAGTTTATATTAATTATAACTTAAAATAATCGAAAATGCGTCTTTCTATAAAAAGAAAATAATCAATTTTTATTTAAGTTAACAGAAAAATTAAGAGCATAACTAATAATTTTTTCAATAATATTAACGAAATGCGGTTGAACTTACCTTTAATTTGTTTTACAACCGTTTTTGCTAAATCCAACCAATGCTGCAACAAAAGATGAATTAAAAATTAATATATAGTTAAATATAATCAAATTATTATTTTGTAGAGTTGTAATCATCTATAATTATGGAATATACAATTAATCAAAAGAAGCAACAGGAAATGAATTCCTTGCAAAATGAGTACGTAAGAAAAAAAACTGAATATATTGAGGAGAAAAGACCAGAAATAATTAAGAGTCTCAAAGAAGTCAGTTACGTAATTCACTTATATGAGAGTTGTAAGCTTTACAAAATAAATATTAATTAATTTTGATTGAAAATTAAAAGAATTATTTTTTTTTTAAAACATAAATTTAATGTTAAATGTTTTAACCGTAATTGATTTTAGTGTGGTTATGTTTTTACATACGCATAGAGATAAAAATAGTTTATTCAACTTTCTTAATTTAAAGTCAAGCTAAATATCTTGGGCTTTCATTGTCTTTTTAAAATTTAATTAAAAAAAAACTATATCAAGTTATGTAGGTACTTAGAAAGTAAACATCAAAGTGACGCATTTCTGGAAGAGTGAACTCATTTCACAGGCTGTTTCATATGACTTTTCCAAGTGCATAAAATCAATATCGTGTTTGTAGGGGATAATACACCAGAGATTTTATTCAAATTAAAACGAAAGTAAAACCACTTTCCATGTGGTTTGAGTGCACGCTCGTATGAATTTTGTAAAAGTTAAACATCCCAATTTAGTAACCACAGTTCTATGATTTACAGACTTTTCCATACTAATTTAAAAAAAATAACTTTCTTTCCGCTATTTTCTTCTTTAATTTTATGATTTACAGACTACAAACCCCTATTCGTCTAGGAAGATAATTATCAAATTAAATCAAAATTAAATTCTGTTCCTTTCTCTCAAAAAAGTTTGTTAATTAAAATAAATTATTAAAAATAACCTACCCTTTGTCTGCAATGATCCACATATCGAAGTCCAAAATAATCAGTTTCCAAAATGTTGAGTTGTTTACAAACATATTCAAGAATATGTCTTCCTTTATCTTGAGGCTAAAAAAATCTTACATCTATATTCAATCTGAATAAACAAATTATTAAATAAAAATTAAACACAAATTTATATAAAAGAGTATATATACATATAACTGAAAGGAAATATTTTCTAAGATTAAATTATAGCTTACAATTCTACAATTATTAATTTATTCTTATTGCATTTCTATGTTTTTTATAAAAGGTAAGTGTTTGAAAATTACTATCTTTCACTTCTTGTTCAATTTTAGACAAAAGTAGAGCACTGTAAAGGATATTTAACAAAAATACAGAAAATAAAGTTTGTAATAAAAACATTAATAATTTGTTCTTTTAAATAAAAAAAATAAATTTTAAACTTTGAGTCTAAACAATTCATTTAAAAATAGAATTAAAATTTTAAAAGTTATTCTAAAATAAGTTTAAACTTAATTTTATCCTAAAGATTTAAATTTCGCTATTTTGTTTCTTTTAACACAGTTTCGCATAAAAGATATGTGTTTCAAGATTGTCGACCCTATTGTTCAGAGACTAATCTCATTAGAAAGAATTATTCCACAATTTTCTATGATAGAGCAAAGACTATCAAACAACTAATCAACTTACATATCATTTTTTATTTAAATAAATAATGACATTATTGAATATTTTATTAATGCTACTTATTAAACATAACGCGCCAATTTTATTGCAAATGTACTTATTTAACAATATATTACCAACATTGATGTTAATTACTTCCTTGTATCATTTCTCGATAAAAAAAAGAAATGATAGATAAAATAAAAAGTTATTTTTAAATTATAAACCTTATACTTAATAAGGTCAATAATACCTAACGATTCTCATAAATTGTAAATGACCCTGATGTTCACAGTAGTAATATACTTTACCTTTTTTATTTATGATTCAATATAAAATGATTTTCATAGAAAAAAAATCATAAACGTCAAAAAGTGACAAAAATTTTTCTTCTGTGTAAACAAATCACGGTTTATAATAATAGTTGACTAATTAGTCTTAAATATTATAATCTACTATATAGAATACTGAAATACTGTCTATCTGTTAAAGCTCAATTGTCATAATATTTTAAAAGAAAAAAATCGAAAGAACTATAGTTTTAAGTAGTCTGTGCTCAGCTGTCATATTAGCTTGTAAAAATAAATCAACACGTTTACCTTGAATTGTAAAAAAAATATTAGAAGCAGTAGATAGAGATGTTTTATATATATACACATAAAACACCCCCAACCCTTCTAGATGAGTGAAGCATAAATGTAGAGGTTAGGTAAACAGGCTAATACTCGAAAACTCAAGAGTCCTTCTCTTTCTCTTGACAGAAAATTTTATCTCACGATATTTACAAATTCTTCATTCTATCCACATTGTAAAAAATTGAACGTTATCATGAAAAATTTTGTAATATTTACAAGGATAATTTAAAAAAAATATATTAAAGGAAACAAGTGACAGCTAGTCATAAAGCTACCTGTCAGTGTGATATATACTTGTTAGATGACTTGTTAAAAATTAAATTATAGAATGTTTACCTGAAAATCACAATGAAGTATTTCAGCATCATCTAAAAGGCGAATAGTAGCGCGATGCACCACTGTAACATCGCTCTTGCTGCCAAACTTCAACATTTCTGTTTTCAAATCACCATCCGAGTAATAATTCTTATGCGCCCGCTCCACATCCCTTTCTCCACAGCACCACACACTGCCCGTTAAATTTCTGCCTCTCGGGTTGCTCGCAAAAACGAGCAAAAACCGGCTTCACTTGTGAATATTTTCACACTTTCAGGGGAAAAAATTACTCGCTTAACTGACGAATAAAAAAGACAAAACAATTCATGATCAAGCGAATTCGAGCGGATTAGAGCTTCTGTCAAACCGGCAGCAATTGCGCGAGGTTGCCATGTTTTTTTAACCTAAAATTGAAGCGTTGCCACTTCTTCATACATCCAATGCGCATGTGTGCATGATATTTAAATGTTTTTTCTTTATTCTTACAAAAAATAAATAAACATTATTTTAATTTCCATTTATATCTTAAAGACATTTATTAAATAATTAATTTAGTCTATTTTCTTAAGTTATGAATAAATTAATATGTCTTTTATTATGTTCTTTTTTATGGAATACGTCAAATGTCCCGCGTTTGAAAATAATTTTTCCACTATTGGCAACAATGACAGTGAAGCAACTGTACAAAAATAAACTAGGAAGTCACTATAAAAAATCTCGCTCCTTTCCAGACCTTCGCGTCGTGATAGAAACACGTGGCTTGAAAATATTTTGCGAATTTAAAGGATAATTACTGATCTAAAAACGTAAGTAATTATAATACATCAATCGGCTTTATTTGTGTTTTCCGTAAATATACAAAAATTTGAGAATTCACATGAATGTGCTTTACTTCAACGTTTTGCAAAGTGTCGTACAATGCCGTGAAATCAATGAGCTTACGGATATTGTTAATTATTTTTTTTGGATTTATATTTATCTTCAAAAGTATTATTTTCTATTTTATGAATTATTATGTGCTTTATTTACTAGTTTCAAGTGTTTATTTGCGTGATGAAAATGTTTTCAAGTAGACAAAATTGTCTGTCAAATAATTGATTGTTTGACATAACCTAAATTTTTTTTTATTGCTTTGTCGTAATAAATTGCAATAGAAATTTGTCAAAAAACAAAGCAAAAAAATAAATTATTAGAAGAATGTGATTATTATTGATTTATTAAAATAATTGTAAGAAAATGTAAACGTCAAATTCTTGACAAGTTTTTTTTTTTTGCGAAAAATAAAAAGAAGGACTAAAAAGAAAATAGTTTAGATTTGAAATAAATTAGTTATTATTTATGTTTTAATGTAATTTACTTAATTTTAACTTGTCTTATGTTTTTTGTTAATTTTACAGAATGCCTTTGGCACGAGACTTATTACATCCTTCTCCAGCTGAAGAAAAAAGGAAACATAAATTGAAGAGGCTGGTTCAAAAGCCGAACAGTTATTTTATGGATGTCAAATGCCCTGGATGTTATGCGATCAAAACTATCTTTTCGCATGCACAACGACCAGTAGAATGTGACGGATGCCGCACGATACTTTGCACACCAACCGGTGGCAAAGCTCGCCTAACAGAAGGATGTTCTTTTAGGAAGAAGGTTCAATGTTAATACTTGATATATTCAACATCGCTCTATATATTCGGTAAATAAAAATTGTAAAAATACTTTTGTTATCGCATTTATCAAGACGTACCAGTTTCCTTTTTCAGCGATCCTTGTATTTAAAATTTATTTTTTAATATGTAAATTTAATTTTACATAATGTAAAGATTTTTAATCTGTATTTGTTTTCTTTTCTTCCGCTATTTTACCTCCATCTGATATTAAACTTTTTAAAGTACATAATTCAAAGGGAAAACATTTACGCTGGTCTGATTTTTTTTGTTTTTTAATAAAAAGAAACATTTTTATTTCTAAAAAGCAACAAATCGTGTGGATACAATTTTTTCTGTAATAATTAAATTATTTCCATTTGTACACATTTTCACTGTCCACAGGTCTTAAAATTGATAATCAATAGTAATCCAACGCGGTTTAATTCTTTATTTTTTTACGTGTATATGATTGAATATTTGAACCTTCTAAAAATTAGTAAAAATTTTTCAACAAATGAGTCTCACCTTTATTCGTGGTTTGTTTATCTCTGAATAAGAAAAGAGAGAGATTCTATATTGGTACAAGCACCAATACTATATAATGTTTCATAAATTTTTTTTCTTAAATTTATACAAGTTGAAAATATTAATGACAACTCGCGGAATGCTTTTGTAATTTAAGAGTGTAAGATTGCATTATATGCCTGGAATACGCCTGCACCAACTTCAACAGATCGTGTTTTAAGTGATAGCTGCAAAAAAAAAAAAGAATTAAATTAATTTACATAATTATTAAAACAAAATGTTATATTAGTTCTTTCATAACAAAAATCTACGTACTGTGACATCTGGATTTCCAGGTTGAATTTTCAACTCATTTAAAACCCAAACATTATTCGTTAATTTGAGTGATTGATAGAGCATATCTTGACCTTCGACGTTTCTTTTCGCAATCGTGAAAACATTACTTTGTTGCATTTTTTGCACAACTTGATCCGCAGACAGCATTACACCGGTCAAAGTATCTTGAATCTATAAGAAGAAAAAAAATCGTTATTAATGTAATAATATTTAATAAGAAAAAAATAGTAAAATTACCTCATTTTGTGCGGGAATATCTTTCCACGTCGACAGGAATACTCTCTTATCAAGTTGACCATCTTCGGTGAAATAAACATTCATAGGAACAAGACAAGCAAAATAAAATACATCGATATTATTTTTTATGGCAACTTGAAGATTATTGAGTGGCTCCATGCGTTGTATAGGACCAGCAGTTGATAAAGTGACACTAACTTCTATACTTGCACCTGGTGCCAATGGACTTGAAACTTGAAGAGGCGATGTTGGAGATAAGCCAAAACTGTTTTTATTCAATTGTATAGCAAAACCTCCCATAGGCTGCATTGCTTTATTTGTAAATGTCATATCCATGCTTATCTGTCCATTCCTAAAAAAAAAAAAAGATGAAATTAATCTTTGGAAAATTCTTGTAAATAAAATCCAGGGAATGATGAAATTCGGTTTAATGAAAATTCTACCGTTTGAAATTACCATTAGAATTTTGAATTATTAAATTTCGTGATAATTTTTTTTTCTTACTTTCTTGAAAATGTTCCCCAGATATCAAAGCCTTTGCCCTTCTCGGCTGGTAGCCAATTTACTTTTGGTGACACGTAAGATGTTGGTGCCGGTGTATAGCCAAATATATCACCCAAGAGTCCGGTTGTCGTTTGGGAAACAACAGGAGCCGCGGCACTTTCCGTCCCTCCTAAAATTACATCCAAACCACCGCCCAGGAGATCTAAACCTAATCCACCTTGTGATGATGGTGCAGCTGATGTTACTGTTGGTCCACCTTTAAAATTAAACGTTAAAATTTTTATGAATTTCTTTTTTTTATAATAACAATGTTTACTAATTCCGAAACACTTACTAATATCCATACTGAGTAAATCGCCAATCAAAGAATCCTGTGATGGAATAACTTGAGCCTGACTATGAGAAGTTCGTTGCACCGCGTCCTCATTGGAATTACTTCTTGCCGGAAGTGATTTTCGTGCACCAGCAGTTCGTCCCTCAACAAAAGCAGTCGGTGGTTTATGATAAACCGATGCCAAACTCGATATATGACAAATTAATTCATCCAAAAGTGTTGGTTCAAGAAGATCTGTTTCCTCCGATATAAGTGGCTTTTCAGCGAGAACAACTTCTTTCGCCGCTGCAGGATCAGTACTCAATAATCTCCAATAAATAAAACCACGATCACGTAAATCTGGATTATCAGAATCTTGTGTCGCCAAACTCAATACTTGTTGTACCAATTCTTGAGTATCTGTTGGTCGTTTCAAAAATAATTTAACAATCGCCGTAAGTAATTGTAATTGAACTTGAGTATTCTCATCATGAAAGCCTTCCAAAAAGCTTTCGAGTAATTCATCAGCATTATCAATTCTTTCGGCGTATTCACCGATAATCCAAATCATCGAAGCCCTCGCCTCTGGCTCATCAAGTGTATCAAGATTTTCACAAAGTGTTGAAATTATACTCTCGTATTTATTTGGATATTTTCTGAATATATCCTTAATCACGACAATCGCTTCCTGAACTACATAATTCACCTGTGACAAATAAATAATAATAAATTATAAAATTCAATAAATATGATAAAATTTTAATTAATTTTTACCTTGGTTTGGATCAGATCTAATAAAGTAGATACACATCTCTCAGCGGATGGTTCAACTTTAATTGCACATCGTCCAATTGCTCGGACAGCTTTTCTCACAAAATCAACATCAACCTCAGTTGCATATTCTTTCAATTCAGAGAGAACCTGTGCAATGTTTGCTTGCGATGCCAATCGTATCATAATGTCCAATTTTTCCAATTTCACATAAATCGGATCATTATATTTAACGAAAAACACTTTCATCTCGTGTTTCAAAATATCTGGTCTCTTTTGAACAATAAGATTGATGTTCCTCAGTGCGACATATTGAACTTCTGGCTCTGAACTGAGAAGAGTTACAAGTGGTGGAGCCAATTTTTTTGTAAGTGTTCCCACAAAGTCTGATTCAGATTGTAACATTTCCATCAGTTTCATCAATACCTGGATTGGGGAAAAAAATATATATTTCATTCACAATCAATAAAAAAATAATTTTTTTTTTTCTAAGAAATTATTATAACCTTGACAGCAGAAAGCACAACTGCAGCGTTTGCGTGTGCCAAACGTGGTGTAATTCTCTCGCAAATACTTTGTGCCTCACGATCATCTTTTGGAGAATAATTTGCTAATGAATCAAGTATAAAGACCTGACCCCATTCTGTGCATTCATTTAAAGCTGTCAATAGCTTATTTATTGTTTGTGCGTTCATTTCCACAAGTGGTTGACCACTGGGACTTGCTTCATTAATTTCCGACAGAGCAGCAACTGCATTCGCTACGACCTATATGATAAAAAAATGATTAAAACCTGCAATTAAAATTGCTTTTCATTTAAATAATTATCGACTTTCTATTATTTTCACATACCATTGGATTGCTATCGGAGAGAAGATCCTTGAGCTGATCGAGAAATCCTTGATCCTCAACAAGTGATGCTTTAATATCATAAAGTTTAGCGACACAAACGGCAGCTGTTTTGCGCACATATGGATCTTCGTCTTTCAGGCATTTTCTTAGCGGTTCACAAAGATATTCGGTGATTTTTTCAACACGTATACATCCCATTGTGCGAACGGCTAACGCTCGAATTAATGGATTTGGATCCTCGCAATCCTACGCAAAAATTGGTCACGCCAGGGATTCAAGTCTAGTCATAAGAATCTATCTAATTTAATCAAGAGGTTTTTTAACAAAATAGAAAAATAGAATGGTACCTTTGTCATCGGAGATGTCGTTAGCTCCTTTTGCGTGTCAGAACGAAAAATTTCAAATATTGGTCACCGTCACCATTATTATCAATTATTAGAGATATTAAAAATATTAAATCACTTCATACACAAGTGTTTTGAATTAGTTATTTTTTTTCAAAGAGCACGAGCCAACTTACGCAAAATCATTGACTAGAAAAATACTTTTTTTCACTCGAATCAATCTCACAACAGACACTGTGCATAATTTACAGAAAGTTTACATTTTTTTGGATTTCAAACTTGACTTGAAATTTTGAATCGATTTTGTGCATCTTAATGTATGACATATTTTTCCGGTGCGAGAGAAATAAAATGAAATTTTCGTGATAAGTGTTCGGTGAACAGAGATTACATGATTTTTGAGATTTAAAAAGAAGTTTTAAGTCAGCAAAAGGTGCTAATAATTTTGTGTAGGTTGGGGAGATATGTGTAGAAAATATTTGTATTAAATTCCAATGCAATTTAGTAATGTTACAATTTTACTTTTTTAAAAATTAAAAGTCATTTTAATTGCTTTGGAACTATTTTCAAAAAACAAATCATAATTTTTCATAATTATCAGTATAGAGATTAAATACAAACATTGATTATAAAATAAGAGCATCCTGAAAATTTGTTATCCGACTATATGCAAATAACTCAATCAAGTTTCATATTATTAAATTATAAAACAATGAAAAGAAGAAATGAATAAAAAATTATTGAATTATGATTAACATTAATATAGGAAAAATACGATGAGCCGCGGGTGCAATCATTCTTAAAAGCAATTGCAGCACGTTTTTATTCAAAAGTGAAAAATCAATCTTGATTGTATTAATGCATAAAGATAAGGTGCAATAGTATATAAATTATTATTTTTTTTAAATAATCCAATTTAAATATTTTTTAAAAAATTTTAACCCTACTAAAAAGTAGTTGGGAACGCGTGCTCAGAGTTTCTGTACTTTCAAAAAAATGTATTTACTGCAACAAATTATTAAACACAAAAAATAGTTATTTGAATTAAAAGCACTTTTTCTTTAAAAAAATAAAATCAATAATCGTGCTTTGTGACAAAAATATATAGACAAGTATTTTAAAGAATTCATGCTAATTTTTTGAAAGAAAAAAATCATATTATAAATAATACTTTTAAATAATTAATATCTTTATATCAAAGAAAATAAATTTTTTTCTTGAAACAGCAAAATGAAAACAAACATTATCGTTGAAAAAAAAGATACCGAATTAATACCGACAGAAAAATACGAAGAGTATAAGGTGCTGGAATTTGGAGTACGTGAAATGACACTAGTGCACAGACAATCACAAGCGACAATGACAAAAGATGATAATCAAATGAAAATAATGAATTCATAACGATTTTGTTCTCTGTACAAGAAGCGAATTTTTTTTCTTTTTTTAATTGCTTTCAACCAAATTCCAGTCTCGTGCCCTTTAAAAATAAGCAATTCAAACCTAACTCGTCAAAGCATTCCATCCTATTCTACAATGCAGACGGCTCTGTGCAAATTGACGATTTGCAAAGCGCAGCCTGCAAATTAATTTAGAGACAGACTGTAAAAATATTCTTTTATTTTTGAAAAACATTTCTGATAAAACATAAATATGGAAATTTAATTTACAATTTGCCTCTAATATGCAGACAGAGACTCTCAACATCGTCCAACTTATTTACACGTCATAATTTTAAAATCGCACATATTTTATATATATATATATATATATATATATATATATATTAAAAAGGTGAGTGTGCTTTAACACAAGGATGATGACAAAAGCAAGACTTCTAAGTCACGTTACCTTTACAAATGTGTTGACTGCCAATATAGCCATGTCTGGCTGACTTTTGGCATAATTCATCAAATATAAGTAGACCAATTTCTTCAATTCCAAGTTGTCAGTTTGCATACAGTTCACAACGTCAGGAAACAAGGCTGAGACATCCTTTCCAACAGTCATTGAAGCAATTACCTGAAAAAATGACAAATTTTTCAATACAATAAGCCATTCCCTGAAAAAAATTATTATTAACATTAGAGTAAAAAAATGTTACCCTAAAAAAATTATCCAATTAAAAAGGTTATTTTAGCAATCCCTGAAACGTTAAACATAGATAACAACAATCACATACCTTTTTAACAGCTTCTTTTTTCTTTTCTTTCTTATCATTGTTGAGTTCAGATTTGAGTTCAAATATTTCACCTTTTTTGGTGGTAGTGAAATATTTTGAATCCGTCATGGTGACTATCAGAAAAATAAAATACTAATGAATGTTTTAAAATTAGTAATTGAAATCAATAGCTAGAGGTTATTGTCAAGCATCAAATTTAATAAGAGTAGATATACAGGATGTTCGAGAAGTATCAAATCGGGTGAATATTTCAAAATGTAGGTATATAGATTTTTGAAAAATATCAATGTTAAATAAGGTCTCTATTGAAATTTTTGTGAAGTCAGTTCCTTAAAGCTTATAACTTTTTCAAATAAACTATATATTTCGATATATTTGACAGGTTCTATACTTTTTGAACACTCTGTATATTATGTAAAACCACTGATCAATGCTGGGATGCTTAAGCTATATATTAGATATATTCTACAATTACTGACAGTAATAATCAGTGGTATGTAATTTTAAAGTTAAAACATCCAAACACACAGTTCATAATGTGTATTTTATGAAAATGAACACCACTGATTTTATTTCTCAGAGTTACTGTCATTATCAGTAATTGCTGAAAACACCCATATTATAAATGTAATAAAATCGATTTATGTCGACACATAAATTTTGCAGATAAATAATTCACACACATATCGGAAAATAAATGTCTAGATAAAGAACGATTTAAGTTTATCAATAATAAAATAATAAACCAAGAAAAGTAATTTTTTACAAATTGGAGCCGATATGTGACACGCAGGACTAATAATAAAATAACAAGTAAAACACTAAAAAAATACTTGTGAAAACTACAACAACAAAAAAACGAATAGTAGTGTATCCAGTTGACAATAATTAAAACAGGTAATTTAAAAAAATCACCTTAGTTGCTGTACAATTGGAATAAGATGGAAAAAATGACAGCTAATGACAGAAAAATTCTTCTGCTTCTTCTTCTTTTTTAGTGGCTGCTTATAAAGGCCAATTCATATTCGGCAATGTACTAATTGCACATGCGTAGTAGAATATATGTCCGCCATCTTGGAATGTAGAGGGGGACCAAATTAGGGGATGTCACTTAAACTACTTCTTTCGATAATAGCGCTCCACTTTCGTGTTCATTTTCAGAAACAGTTTTTACATCAAGTCGCTAACACAAGAAATTTGCACAGTGATCACATTGCGCACGTTAAATGTTTTTTCTACGCACAATAGCGTATCCTTTTATGTTTTTATTAATAAAAATTCTGATAAGGTTATGAAAGCGAAAGTTATTAATTTGTGACATTAAAGAGATTGAGGAAGCAGAAGAAATCTATTCCCTTAAATACAGGTAATAATTTAATTACTAATAAGCGTAATGTTTACATTTTTTAAATTCCGAGTATTTATGTCAATAATTATTTTGAAACTTGTTATTGATACATCACTGATGTGAAAAGAAATTCTTGACATTTGTGCACATTTGTGTGACAGTTGGAAAAAAATGACGATATAATCGTCAAACAATAGTTTATTATTAAGCAATGACAATTGCTTAATGGAAATCGGTTATTTAACCGAGTTTATTTTATTTTCTTACAACGATAAGAAAATTGTGTAAAGTGAAAAAAAGAAAAAGTTTTTACATAAAGCTACGATCTGTTTTGTAAGTACAATTTATATATTTAAAACTGTAATTATATTTTTTATTAATGTAAATATTTCTCGTGTTTTTAATAATTTACCAATAATTATATTCACGGGGTATTGAAAAACAATTGTGTTTTTGTTTTTTTTATTATTTAAATTTAATGTTTTTTTCAGACTTATCCGTTTATTTTAGAAAATTAAGAAATACTTTACATAGGAAATCAAAAATAGTTTTGTAAATTTAATTTATTTAATTTAAATTCTTTCATTTTTTCAGAACATTTAACAATTTTTAACGCATTTAGTGTCAAGTATAAAATGTCAGAAAGAAAAGGTTATAAAAAACATTGATGTCTAATATTTAAAAATCAAGATACAAAAAAACGAGCAAAATGTGTGATCAACAATTAGGAAGTTTAATAAAATGGTTAGATACTTTCGATTTGGAAGTGGCTCACTCGATACCAGAGGAAATAAATGATGGAGTTGCTCTTGCCGAGGCTCTATCTCAAATTGCTCCAGAATGGTTTACTGCTGGTTGGCGAGCGAAAATTAAAACTGATGTTGGTACTAATTGGCGTTTAAAAGTTAGTAATCTCAAGAAAATCGTCGAAGCTGTCACTGAATATTATGTGGAATGTTTAAATCAACAACTCACTAGTTATGTGAAACCAGATGCGACAAAAATTGGCGAACAATGTGACATGAAAGAATTACGACGTCTTTTACAATTGATTCTCGGCTGTGCTGTTAATTGTAATCAGAAGCAACATTATATTACTCGAATTATGGGTTTAGAGGAAATTGTTCAACAAGTTATAATGCAAAGTATTCAAGAATTGGAGGAAAGTATGCATGGACCACGTTTAAGTCTCGGTGCAAGTTTAAATTTTGAAACATTCGACGTAGGCGATGGGACACAACAAAGATTATTGGCTGAACTTCAAATCGCTGTGGATTCAAGGGATCAACTAGCACAAAGATGTCACGAATTAGATCAACAGTTATCATTGTTACAAGAAGAAAAGGTGACATTGTGTACTGAAAACAAGAAAATGCAAGAAAGACTCGATGAACTTGAAAGTCCCGGAGAAATGGGTGCGAGTTTAAAATATTCTAGTTTACGAAAACAAGTCGAGGCTCTCAAAGACGAGATGTTTAAAATGGAAACGTCAAAAGACGATTACCGATTGAAAATGGAATTGTTGGAGAAAGAAGTCTTGGAATTTCAATCAAAGCAAGAAGATTTACAAAAGGTAATTTTTTCAATTTTATTTTCTGTTTACAATTTTTTTTTTTGTTTTAATTGTAATTAATATTAATAATATTGTTAATTAATAGGCGGCAGATGAAGCGAATCATTTAAAAGACGAAGTGGACGTGTTAAAAGAAACAGCAGATAAAGTATCGAAATATGAGCAAACAATCGAGTCGTACAAGAAAAAAATGGAGGATTTAAGTGATTTACGAAGACAAGTAAAAATTCTCGAAGAGAAAAATATGGAGAATCTTCAGTCAAAAATTGATTACGAAGAGGAAGTGAAACGAAATACAATGTTAAAGAATCATTTGGATATGTGTAAACAACAATTGGCAGAAGTACATCGAAAATTGGATGAACACAGTAATAAATCTGATAAATTGGAATTTGAGGTGAGAAAAATGGATGCTAAACTCAATACAGTTCAACGTGAACGTGACCGATTAATCCTGGAACGTGATGCACTCAAGGAAACTAATGAAGAATTAAGATGTACACAATTAAATGCAACGGAAAATCGTGGACATTTAAGTGGTAATGATACCATTTCAAATGCAGAGGGTGTTCCACTTGAATTTAAGGAGAAACTTTTACTTCTTCAACATGAGAATAAAATGCTTAAACTAAATCAAAAAGGTACAGAGGAAAAATTACCCACTGTTCAGGCATTGTTGGAAGATTCTGAGGAACGAGTGAATACACTTAGAAATCAGAATCGAAAGGCAAATCAACGATTAATTGAATTGGAAAATAAATTAGAAGAATTAACAGAATGTCAAGCTAGTGGAGAAATGAAAAATGACAATTCGCTTTGGCAGCAAAAAGTAAATCAATTGACGGAAGATTTAAGAAAAACTCTTGCTGAACGTGAGCGTTTGATATTGCAGATGGAGGAACGTGAAAGTGCTTCACAAACACAAAAACAAAAGGTGTTCACTCTTCAGGAAAGTTTGACGCACAAAGAAGAGGAACTTGCTGCATTGGAGGAGCGCTACAAAAAGTACATTGAAAAAGCAAAAAGTGTAATCAAGAGTTTGGATCCAAAACAGGGTAATTCTTCGCCTTCGGAAGTGACAATATTGAGAAATCAAGTCATGGAAAAACGAAAGATAATCGAGGAAATGGAACGTTCATCCAAAGAGAGCAAATTGCTCAAAGAAAACGAGGAGAAACTAATGTTATCAGCATTTTATCGTTTGAGTTTAGCCTGTCATCGGGAGGCTGTTGATCAACGTTTGGCAGCTCTTGGTCAAGGTCAAGGTCAGTCTTTCCTCGCGAGACAAAGGCAACCGTCTTCGAGGCGAGCTGGAAATTCAGCCTACAATTCTAAATAATTGAAAGTCTCTTTATGAAAATGACTTCAATTTTTCTCTGGATTCTTTTTTGTTAGATTAAAATTTTTGTTTTGATTATTGTAATCATGATCTTGCCTTTTTCTGAAAAATTAGGAATTTTACTAAGTAATAACTTCCGCACTTATTTTAACGATAAGTCTAAAAGTCTTTTTAAAGCGAAATTATTTTCGCTCAATTATTTTTAAAATATTTTTTTCAAATGTATATTTTATGATACATTGTTTAATTTTAATTTTACGATTAAGTTACCTATATAAATTGAAAAAAAAACGATTAACTTTTGAAATAGATATGTTAACTTTTTTTCTGTTTATTCATGTACAACGAAATTTTTTTAAACATGTTTTGTAATTGTTAATGAAACAAGATTAATCGACAATATTTGAAATTTTTAAAAACCATGACTCAAGTATTTAAAATATTAATAACTATACCTTATTATATTGACGGAATTTTATTTTTAATTAATAATAATTTTTAAAAAACATCTAATTAATGAATAATGTTAAGTAAAACGATTACCAATTACTTTAAGAAATTTATAAGTTGACAGTGAATTTTATAATATTATATGAGAGAATTTTTTCTATAGATTATTGCCTTCTGTGAATAACAAAACGAAAAATTTATAAATTATTAAATATTTTAGAAGATAAATAAAGATATATTTAATAGAAATTGTGTTATATTTAATGTTTATCAACATAAACGATTCTATTGAATTTTATTTTAATTAAGAAAATTAACGTTTAAATTTGATGAAAAATTTTGGATAATAATCAGAGACAGCAATTTTCAAATTTGAAAAAATTTATTTCAATACATCATTGAAAATATTTTTAAATTTCAGTTAATATATATATATATACATATAAATTACAATAAATTGTAATTAAAAATGTAAATGCTTTACATATTTACAAAGTTAATTGATAAAAACTAAAATAATAATTCACTCTCTGAATAAATAAAAAATTGCATACAATCATTTTTCACGAAATTGATAGTCTACAACCACATTGAGTGATTAAGGAAAAAAATATTTTATTCACTTATTTTAAATTTAATCACTACATTTAATTTTTAAACTTTCTTCCAGTAACATTTGATCATTCTGATCTAGTCTACAGAAATATGACATGATTCTACTATTTCGAATTGGAGGTTTTCCTTTTAATTGTCTAGATGTTAATTCCAAGTCATTTTTACATCTTTGATAATATAAAACACCAGCTAATAAATCATATACAGAAAATTCTGGCCACAATTTATCCGAGAAATAAATGCAAGAATTTGAAATCTAAAATCATTCAAAAAGTTTTTGAATTAGATAAAACACATGAGAAAAATTAAAAAAAATTCTATTCACTTACTTGCCACAATAGAAAATCACTAAATCTTATTTCTCCGGATGTGCGAATTAGTAGATCAGGTTCTGGGGAATGTCTGGTGTATAAACTGTTATTTATGATGTCTTCACTAATATCCTCTAACATTAATTCGGATCTATTTACACTTTTAACGATATTAGTCACTGAATTGGTAATTTCATCTGACGCTAGAATATGAAATGACAAATTAAAAACATTTAAATAAAGTAAAACAATAACATTTTTTTTAAATTTTATGTGTATATATGTAAAAAAAACTTACACGTGTATGCAAAAGCAATATTGAGAATAGCATTCTTATTATTTTTTGTAATAAGAACAGCATCTGCTATTTGTTTTTTTATTTCTTCTGGAATTAAATAGAGGTTTCCAATTACTCGTATACAAATTCCGTGTTCGTTTAATTTATCACTGTAAATTAGATTTGATTTATGAAAAAAAATTACTTAACAATTAATCACAAAAGTTCCTATTATTTCACTCTACCATGTGAGAAATTATGACTATACTTTTGTTTTTTAAAAATAAAAATCAACACCTTTAAATAAATGTAAATAGGACATAATTAATTCCAACGACATAATTAAGAACATAATAGTGAATAATTTCCGTAATTATTAATTAATTGTTATACATTACCTTTCATCAAGAAGACGCTGGAATTTTTGTCTGGCAAGTTCTAGAAGATCATCAACCTCCTGTTTAGTTCTTTTAAAATTTTCTATACTGAAGGCAAAAACTGTTACTTCAAAAATTCCAAGTTGGAAGCACCATTGTAATGTTTCTGACAATTTATCAAAGCTAAAATAAAAATGAAATTTTATTATTATTATGAAATAATAATTAGACAGTAACTTAATCGCAAAGATAAATGAAGAAGAAGAAAAGGTTTTTCATACCCTTTGGAATGTCCTTCAACTTTTCCCACATTATTCTTTCTAGCATAACGTCTATTTCCATCCATGATAAATGAAACATGCTTAGGTATATGGCCAGTTTTTACAATTCTAATAGCCAAACGTTGAATCCAATTTAACTTACTTTCTCGAATCCACGACATATTTTTTAATAGATAAACATTAATAAACGTTTCAATTCTCAAGATACTTTCTACTGCTTTGAAGAATATGCTGGAACAAAAGAGAACACATTAACGAATAAAATGCATGAAAATGATATATAAAAATTTCTATAAATTTTCACTATAAAGTGTTAAATATTAATAATGTTTTTATTTTAAAAAGATGATGAAATATTCTAAAGAATAAAATAGTTAATACATTTTGAAAAATACCGATGTTAATTTGTAAAATAATTTATTGAAATATATTACTACTATATTAATACTACAAGGAATATGAAAACAAAATTAATTACAATTATACATAGTATTGACACGTATTTATAACATAAAATTAGAGGTTAGAATTAGAATTTAACAGAGAATAAAAGAAATATTTTTATGTTTATAAAAATCACATTGATTCCATTGATGAAAATTAATTATTTATCTTAATTTAAATTTACTATTGTTTTAAATAATAAACAAATTACCTGTTTTTATCTTAAAATTTGTTGGTAAAGCAGACACTGTCCTATATCTGATCTGACTGACACAGGCCCGCAATCACATAATAGTTTGCGAGATCTCCGCTTGAAGGCCAGTGGCGCAATAATGAAATTGAATTAAAAGATATGAATTATTTAATAAAATAAAGATAAATTAGAGATAAATAATTGCAGGAAGATGACAAGAGAATGGATTGACTTAAAATAAATTATATAAAAGATATGAACAATTAATAAAAGTTAAGTTTTAAGAAAATAATAATATTATTAAACAAAAAAATTAATCTCTTCTTTCTCTCCTCTGTTCCTTGATTTGCCTGTTTAAAAATTTTTTAATTTAATTAATTTTTTTTAAATCGTTAATATAAATAATATAAAATTACAATTCATTATAATGAAAATGTAAAAAGCGCGCTATCTGAAGCTATCAGCCGCGCTCTCCCATAGACGTTAACGACAGTTATTCTATAATATATTATAGAATAACAATTACAATATAAACAATCAAAGATCACAATAATTATTCATTAAGAAGATTAATAACAAAAAAATAAAAACATAGACAATCAGAATCAGTAACATTTCACTGATTTTCAGTAAAAGTAATTGATTCTCCAGTGAAAACCACTGATTCAAATAGCTAGAATTTAGCCACAATTTAGCGACTGATTTGAGACCAGTGACTTTTTCACTGATTCATATTTAGAGAGTAAGAATTAAAAAAAATAAGTTTACATTATTATTATTATACAATTTCTCTGAAGAAACAGCTGAGTTTACATATTATTGTACATTTTTAATTTTTCATACAGATTTGTTATTACGCGCCTGAAGAACGATAAGACGTGTCGGTCTTGGCTATATAATGAATTAATCTTTCACTTAGACTTTCAGTTTAATTCACTGTGCGACGTAAAACTGAAATTTTAATTAAAAATAATTATTTTTACTTCATTTTATAATTATATAAAAAAGGACTATAAATGGCTTCTATTGTGCCAAGATTGAATGAAGTGCGCAAAAAAACATTGCAAAGTTTCGCTGAAGAATTTGGAGAGATTGCTAATATTTGTGTCTGCGCACCTGGACGAGTTAATTTAATCGGTGAACATACCGATTACAATGATGGATTTGTTTTACCGATGGTAAATTTTTATTTCATATCATTTATTATGTTAATTAGAGATAATGTTATACTTAGTTATACGACTTTGAAAAATTGATGAAAAAACCTGCAGAAAGTTTTTTTACACAAATATAATTGATGACATAATAATGAACATGATATAATTAAGTCCTTAGCATTTTACAATAATTTTAAAAATGTATATTTCTTTCTTCTTTTGCTTCTTATCATTATAACTAGGTATAGTTTTGTTAGATAAAATTTATCATTATCACTATGTCTTGTAAAAGTTATTATTGAGATGTATTTAATAACAATCTATAATGATAAAAAGTTTAAATTTTATTCATCGTTAAAACAAAATTCTTCTTCTTCTTCTTCTTTTATTTTATTCATTCGTCCTCATTACAATTTAAATAAATGAAATTTAATTTTTTAGGCTCTACCTATGGTCACCATAATTGCTGGGAAAACAACTGAAAATAGTGTTTGTAGAATAATTTCAATATGCAATGCAATTGGTGATAAAAATGAAGTTGAATTCGATATTAGTGACAGAGAAAACCTAAAACCAACTGATCCTAAATGGGCGAATTATATTAAAGGTTGCATTGCCCAATTTCCATGTAAGTGATTAGCAGTAGTACGGTAAAATATCCTAATACATAATTATATTGCGGGCGGGAATGATTTGATTTTTATATTTTTCGGAAGAGGCGTTACATACAATTATATAATTATAATTTAAATTTTAGATGACGGAATATTACCTGGTTTTAAAGCAGTTATTGTTTCAACCGTGCCAGTTGGAGCTGGACTGAGTAGTTCAGCCGCGTTAGAAGTTGCAACATATACTTTTCTAGAGGCTATGACTGGTTGTTTTACTCAGAAATTGGAAGATAAGGTGACAATATAATTTTAGATAATAAAATATTCTTTAAATATATGTTAATTGATAAATTGTGCAGGCTCTAGTATGTCAAAATGTAGAACACCACTTCACTGGAGTTCCTTGTGGAATAATGGACCAGTTTATATCAGTTATGGGAAAAGAAGGACATGCTCTTCTTTTGGACTGTAGAGACCTTTCGATAAAGCAGATACCAATAGAACATATTGAAGATAATGTCTTTTTAATAACAAATTCAAATACTCCTCATAAATTGAGTTCTAGTGCCTACTGCGAGCGAAGGGACAGTTGTTTCGAAGCTGCCAAGTTGTTGAACAAAAAAAGTCTTAGGGATGCTACTTTAGAAGATCTCAAAGGTATTTTTCACTCCGATTTTGATACACTTTTAAACAGTTGTGTAATTTACTAAATTGCATGTAACATTATTAAGCACCGTAACCAGAATCGTAATCGCAACCGCAACAATGAGTTAGACATTGTTTACACTGTTCTTTATATCAATTAATTTTAATCAATTCTTCATTTTTTCATTTTCCAGTACTAAAGTCTAAAAATTGTTCGGAAGTGATTATAAAGAGAGCCCGTCACGTTATTACTGAAATTCAGAGAACTTTGGAAGCCGCGGTTGCTTTACAAAATGGAGATTTACAAAAATTTGGAACCTTGATGAATGAAAGTCATGACTCCTTAAGAGATGATTATCAAGTGTCTTCTAAGGAACTTGATACATTGGTATCAAGTGCCAGAGAAGTTCAGGGAGTCGTTGGCAGTCGTTTAACTGGTGCAGGATTCGGAGGTTGCACTGTTACACTTTTGAGAAAAGACGCTGTCGACGAAGCAATTAAGCATATTAAGAAGAAGTTAGTAATTAAAAAGTTGATCAGTCATAAATAAATTCGCCATAGGAAGTATAAAATTAAATTTTATAAATTTGTTTAAAACTAATTTATCAATATTTTATCCTTACAGTGTAAGGTTACTGCAATCTTACTTAATTATGTCCAATTTCAATCAGTATTTGTTTACAGCCAATTATATTAATGATTAATGCCGCAGTCCTAATAATAGAAAATATATATTTGCATCTCGTTTATACTTGAAATATAAAATTGATTAGGAATTATTCATTATCTAACTTAATCATTCTACAATAATACTGATATTTAAATATGTTGTAGGTACAAAGATGCAACATTCTATATTTCAAAACCATCGGCAGGTGCCAGACAATTAGAAGCCAAGTAAAGAAATAATACATAAGTGGAAAAAATATTTTATTCAATTGGACAATAAACAAAGTGCTAAAACACTGTAGGACAAAAATATAAAGATAAATAATGAGTTTTGTAATCAAAGTAATTTTTATTTACATTAAAATTTCTTAAACATACAAAGAATCATTTTTGCAATTTTTTATAGATCATTAACCAAATCTGCAGCGATGTCAGACAACAATATGATATTTGCAATGTATTTTAGAATTTTCTTGTCTTAACACTAATGAACATAATCGAAGAAAAAAATATTTAAACAAAAAGAGTATTTTGTTTTTTGAAATATCAAAAGAATTTTTCTTCCTTTTTGTCAAATTTTTCATCTTTGCTCTAAGAATTATGTATATACATTTACAGAGTGATAATAGAAATAAAATCAGTGAGTTGTGCACGATTAAATATTTTTCTAAATATATTTGTAAACTAACACACGCTATAAATAATTCTTAATTATAATTATAAATTTTACTATATAATTCCATCTTAATTATTTATTAATAGGCGTTTATTAGAATAATACTGATTTTTTTTTTTTTTTTTTTTTCAAGGTGCTCTCTATTATATTTGATTTCTTCAGTGTCTTGTAATTTCACTTGGAACACTTGCGAATGCTGTAAAAATAAATAAAAAATGTTAAGGTGTTAATTGAGCTGCAGCGTGCAATAACAACACCAACGCTCGGCCTCTGGGTCCGTAATATCTACTTCGAGTTGTGCAGTGAAAACAAGACCGGGCCAATAAGGAGACTAGATTCTGTCCCCCTCTACGCAACTCGAAGTAGATATTGCGTAGATATTGTGTAGAGCAAGTGCATGGTCCAAGCGTACGTGTTGTTATTGCTCAATTGATATTAAAAAGTTAATTAAAAATATAATTTTTACATTTGAGATAATCTTCCAATTCAATTTCACTGAAGCAACACCTGAGTTCTGCTGGTTTAACACCTTTAAAAATCTCAACAACACTTGGTTTTAAGTTGTAAAAAATAAGCGGTTGTCCTCTTTTTTCAAAATCTTCAATGAGACTTTTAACTCCCTATAGAAATAAATATTATATCATAAGGCGATAATAGCATAAATTGACACTTAGAAATGAAAAGAATTAAGATAACATAAAGAAACTTCTTAAAGAAATTAAAATGAATGAAAAATGTACTTTTGCGGCAGTAAAATCTGCTGCTTGAATATGAGTGGAATCGACAACAACTGGAACAGTGATTCCTTGTTTGGTTCCTTGTTTGCTTATTACAGCACGGACATATTCTACACTTGGGAATACAAGACTTCGATCCGGAGTAATGACAACGTATTCACATCCACTGTTACTCTATTAAAAATTTAATTTAATATACCTTCGTTATAAAAATAAAATGTGAATGCACAACTTTACTTACAGTAGCTTTGTGGACCCGAAGAGAGGGTCTTGCGGATGCATAAAGTAAAAATATAAGATTTATGCCAATACCGATTACAATGCCGAGCTCCAATCTCACAAAAAGGCAACAAAGAAATGTTGCCATTGCAGGAATTAAATCAATTTCTAAAGTAAGAGGAGAATATTATTTACAATAGGTCTCATGTTTAAAATTTTTAATTTTGTCATAACTTGGGGCTCAATTATAATTCCGACAATATCTAGCGTGGGAGAAGAAAAATGAAAAGAAGATTGTTAAATTTAAAAACATTTAAAAATTACGTACTCTTAGTTCGCCACATTGGTTTGACCACATGAAATTCGACCATAAATACAACTGCAGCAATAATAACGGCCGCAAGTGAAGCTTTGGGAATGTAATATAGGTAAGGAGTGAGAAACTGAAGTGATATGAGAACTAAAACTCCAGTAAAAACTCCTCCCAAAGTGGTTTTTACTCCTGATGAATGATTGACTGCACCGCGACTGAGACCACCACTTACGGGCATTGAAGATACAAAAGATGAAACTATGTTACATGCCCCTATTGCTAACATTTCTTGAGTCGCATCAATTGGCTTTCCATCCGCTGAAAATTATACTGCTTTTTATATTTTGCCATTCATAATTTTTCAAACTTTATTTTTAAATATACACACCCTAATTCCAAGAATGAGAAATGAAAAATATATAAATGTAATTGTTAACTTACAGAAAACTTTGGCAAGAGCAATAGTTTCAAGAAGACTCAGCAGTGGAACGACAAAACATCCCGATCCCATAATTGAAACCATATTAAAAAATCCGTAGGTTTCGTTGCCTACGCGAGATTCCATAGGAGGGAGTTTAAAATCCGGAAGTCCTTGCTTTACATGACCAGTTAGAATAAACGGCGATGAACCCAGATGGATTTCTAGCAACCAACACATCACGGCACACACCACAACTACCAGAATATTTCTGGCTGTTGAAAATAGCCAGAGAAACTTGAGAAGAATTATTTGTAAGATTGTTGGTACCCTTGTATCTTTTGATTTGACTGGAATGTCCTTCAGTTTCTGAAACGTAGTAATGTCAGCAATGGTTTTTACTATCAAAAATTCTTCAAAATTATATTATCTCAAAGTCTTACCCTCAAAAAAAGAAGAACAATCATACAAAGTACTCCAAGAATTGAATCCCATAGTCTTGTTTCACTGATATGTTCAAAGATCGTCTTCCAAACTTGTAGAAATTTTCCACCTCCTACACTGATGCCAAGGATGTCTTTAACCTGACTTGTGGCAATAATAATTGCAGCAGCCGATGTAAAACCCACCGAGACCGGTCCAGATATAAAATCTATTAAAAATCCTATAACACAGAGTGTTATTGAGTCAGAATTTGTGAAATCAGCATAATCTAATTTAATCTAAGACGAGCTCAACCTAAGCTTCTCTGCTACGCTAAGTCGAAACCCCGTTGACTATCCACACAAATGACGTTTCATTTTCGAATTATTGTTATGTGTTCACAAAGGTGATTTTTCAATATCTCGATAAAAAAATAATTTTGGTATTTTATATTGATCAAACGAATTAAATTTTCTATCAGAGGATAGAATAAAAAGAACTACTGTTTTGTATCCTTGATAGGAAAATTGCAAAGAAATTGAAATTTAACATAACGGTATACAAGATACAGAATTAGAAGGAGAAAAAAATACTATTAGACTTAAATATTGTATACTAGGAGATAAAAAAACATTGATGATCTCACCTAATTGTAAGACGCCCATTAGCAAAGACACGCAACCTGAGATGAAGGTTAACAGGACAGCAAAGTCAGAGCCCAAATGGGACTTTTGTAAAGTTTCTCGAGTCAAAATTGCTACTATTGCAGTTGGACCCACTGGGACGTCTTTGCAGGAACCAAATATTGTGTACACGAAACAGGCCATGAATGAAGAATATAGTCCATACTATTCATAACAAAATTTACTTTTTACATTATTTATCTCCAAAGAATTATATAAAATATATTAATTTAAAATCATCTTTGAATAATCGAGAGGAATTATTTTGCTCATCAGTTTAAGATAATTGTCTTGGAAATAATTTTTTCCGAGACAAAGTTAATCATTTAATTTCTTCATTTTTTCCTCTAAATAAAATATAAACAATTATTTTGATCTTACTTTACTTTATTAAAAGATTATTAAAAATTCTAAGAAAATACATTTAAAAAAATTGGAAAAAAATAATAAAAATCGTTGTAGATTAGATTTTAGTTTACCCTATTTATGTCTTGAAATTACTTATACATACATATAATTAAAGTAAATTAAAAATGTAATGTCTTACTTGTAAGGGAAGACCTGCCACATTTGCATAAGCAATAGCTTGAGGAATTACTGTCAAACCAACTGTCAAGCCTGCGACTAGATCACTAATTATATAATCCTTTTTGTACCTTGGTAACCAATCCAAAATTGGTATTCTTTTATAAAGTAATTTCTTTCTGAATGCATTTTTAAGCCTCAAATGGAGCCATTTTGCACAAAATGAACAAACTGAATCCACCTTTGGTTCATTTGGAACTAAAAATTAAAAAATGATTATACAAACTTATACTTTCTAACACTAGATCTCATTCATTGCATTGTCTTAAAAAACAACCAACGTACAGTCAACTGGTTTGAAAGATACATTACTAAATGATTAATTAACACTATCGTATTATGTATTAGCGTTAAATTGAATTAATTAATTAGTTTATGATAAGTTATAGTTAATTAGTTTTTGATTTTTAATTATTTACAAAATTTTGTCAAAATTGTTTTAATACATAGTCGTACCACCAGACGAGTTTTCTTGCAATGTATTCATAGAATTGTTAAACTTTCGAGGTATTAACATTTATAATATTTTCAATATATTCTTCACTGCAGTAAGACAATAATATAAGGAAACACTTAAAAAGACAATTTGCAACTGTCAGTATTTCCTTTTAAAGCATGCCTCATTTATCTAAATAATTATTTAAAAAACAATTCACTCTGATAATTATCTGATAAACTTTTATGACTGTAACTTGGTCTAAAATTTTTAAAAATTATCATAAGGCCTTTTTTTATATTTACTCATTATCGCATTTGTTTACTTATAATGACACGTTTTGTATGGTAATTCAATATTTAATGATATTTTATTACTATAATACACGTATAAGAATTTTTAAAAAATTTGTTAATTCATTTTAATTTTTCACAAATGTTTTTTAATTATTATATTATTACTTATTATTATTATTATTATTGTTAGGATTAAATTGTGCAATTGTGTAACGTGTACAATTATTTTGAGATCAAAATCTGTCAGGTTTTGATAAGAACAAGAATCATATTTTTTTCCAGTGTTGTTATAATTATGTGCACGATATTTTGTTTACAAAACTAACAATAAGAATCATTAAATGAAGACACAATAAATCTGCTTAAATTTGGAATTTAGATAAATTTGATTGAAGAATATTTATATTATGTAATTATTTTTCTTTAAACAAGATGTCTAAAATAAAAAGTAATTTTTATTTTTTAAAGCTAAATTTTAGCTTTATTTTAATGAGATCTGTAAATTTTTCTCTCATTTAGATTTAAAGAGTATTGTATTTTTGACGCAGGAATATCTTGATGTATAATATATTTCCATTTATTCAAAAGTCATAAGTTGAAGTTTAAAATTTTTCATCTATGTTTTCTGAGCTGACAAGTTATTCAATTTAGGCACTCAAACAAGAAAAAAATTTATTTTTAAAATAAATAAGGAAAATTTATATTTCTAAATTAAAGTGCAATAGTTAATTAAAATATTTCTTATCTATCGCTCTGAGTATATATGTAATTATTATATTTGCCCGAGAAAGGACATTTATCTGGTAGATATATTTTTATTTTTTATATTAATTAATTAATTAATAATAAATAATATAGGTGTAATAAATAAAAATATCAATAAAAAAATTAAAAATTTTAAGGAAATTGAAAGGATCTTTTTAGATATAAAGTATTTACTTGAAAGAAGAAAAAAAGTTAATTTCCTTTAAATTTATGCATTCAGAAATGATAATTACTTAATTGGATAAGAATATTAAGCATTTAATAATGCAAACTCAACACGTTGAGGTTGTAATTATAATTGTGTCTTTACAACAAGAATGCTTTGTAAACTGTGAATAAAAATATATAATAATATATGTAGATAATATTATTATCTTTGTAGAAGGTTGACAAATAATTTTTAAGTAATATATTATTTTATTTTCATACTTTATTTTCTGAATGTAAATTTAAATATATGTATAAAAAAATAGGTGAATTTGGAAAAGTGTCAACGTTGTGAATATTTTTAAATAAAAAAAAAAGCAAACAAAAAAATTCAAGAAAGAGAGAAATATTTTTTAAAATACATTTTTTTTTATTAATTACTTACCAATTCTGTTGGATTGTTTTTCTTGATTTTTTGTTAACTTTAAAGGATGAAGTCTAGTCTCGATTTTATCAGAAAAGTTATTATAATTTTTATTCTCAAAAAATCGAAGAGAATCATCAAAGGATGTTGAAAAACTTGTCAGTCGAACTTCTCGTTGTGCTTCGAGATCATATTCATTTTTTATGTCGTACTTAGACATAATTATTTTTAGTAAAAATCACAACCAAGAAAAGTAAAGAAATATAATTTGTTTCTTTTTCGTTTGCGAAAATTTTTTTTTTCACTTAAAATAAACAACTTAAAAGAACGAGAAACCTATATCTATTTATATTATAATTATTGGTAAGATTCAGAATAAACTCCATTATTGTTCTCACTCATATCTCGACCCTAAAAAGAAAAAAATACATGATTTAAAAATTCGTCATTTAGTAAATCAACTTTTTAAAATATAAACAATATCGATGATTTATTTTGACATTGGATCAAGGAAATTGTAATTTCCTTTGCTTTAGAAAATTCGTATTAGCCAATACGTAATATATGTGAACGCTCCTAGAGATAATCTGTGCGGAACAAATTGTTTCTTCAGGTGACATAGTTTTGAGTTATTTTTTTAAATACGTCAACATATAAGAAACATTTTTAAATTATTGTTTAAATTATTTTAAAAAAATTTTTAATCTTTTTTATTGTTTCATAATAAATGTTCAATTTTTACTTCTATTATTTACATTACAAGTTTTTAATTTTTTGCAATATTTATCTATTTGTTGAATTAGAGCAAAAGTTTTTGATTTTATAAGTTTGAAGAAAATAAATGCAATTATGGGAAGGTAACATATTATTAAGAAAATATTTAATGAAATTCAGCAAAATATTTTTAACTGTAAATTTTAATGAATAAAAATCCTTGAATATATTTCAATAAATAAAATCAAATAAATTTAAATAAATACAGAATAAATTCTTATCAGATTATTTTTTCATGATAAACACTTAATGTTAACATAGAAATAAAATGTTTTTTAAAGAAAAAAAGCATTTTAGATTAATTAATTATTAAACCGCGAAAGGTTTGTTTGTAATTATAACAATTTCGATAATTAGATAATGCCAATTTAGGATACATTTTTGAATTTAAAATTAGTCAATATAATTTTTATTGTTTACTTTTGAGAGGAAATTTTAGCAAGAATTTTTGTTATGTGATCGATAGCATTAAAAAACAGTTCAATAGTTCTACAATTTGATTGAGATTACATAAGTAAATTACGTTTTCCTGCATTCTTTACAGTCGGATGCTAATTTAAATACATATTGCAGTTTTGTATATCTCAGAACGTAATCACTTTATCATACAGAGGAATTTTATCGTAACTTTAATCTTTAATAGATTTAAATACATTTTTTAAATAGTATTTTTTTCATTATTTTGCTACAATTAAAGAGAATGGAAATAGGTAATCGAATTTTTCAGAATTTTATCTTGATATATATATTTCCCGGATATTGAATATTTTCATATTTTGAGTAAAAAAACATGGCACTGAAGGTTCAATTCTACTTGACTTTGAACAAAAGTCTCATAAAAACAATGAATTGGAACGAATCAGCTGCGATTGAATTCAACCGGATCTATATAAAATCTAATGAATGCAGATAAAGTGTTTACTTGTCTAAAATTTAAGAAATCAACTTCTAATAAAAATAAAAATAAATAATCTGTTAAAAGTATTTTAATTAGAAATTTTAAATTTTAATTAGGGGACTATTATTGAAATCTACACTAAAAAAAATTATTTGATTTAAATAACCAGTTACTTGATTATTATCAAATAAATATTTACTTGAACCAAATAATTTTTATTTGGATCGAAAAAACTGTATATGAACCAATAATATCTGTATTTGAAATAAACATCATTTAGTTGACTGAAATAAATTTTTTTCTGTGTAAAAGCCGAATTTTTATATAATTTATTTTATTTTTTGTTTTTATATTTTTTATATAAATATATATGTTGTTAATGTTATTAATAAAATATTATTTTAATAACACTGCAAAAAGAAGTATCTTATTTTAAGATGTTTTTGGTAGCGTTTTCAAGACATCAAGACATCTTAAACATCTTAATGTCTTAAGATGTCCTGATGTCTTGAAAACGCTACCAAACATCTTAAAATAAGATACTTCTTTTTACAGTGAAGCAAGTCATTACTTTCCCAAATTAAAATAAATTGACATGAATAATATACAAGTTTGTTAAAATTTTATTATTTTCTTCAATGCCGTCATCAGAAAAGAATTGATGATATTAATATCTTCAACAAGTATTTTTCTTTTACCAGCGATTTTTTTTTATAAATTGCAGGAAAATTAGATCAAAGTGATAAAAGAAAGAAAGGTAAACCCAAAATTGATGACTCAGGAATTTACTTGCAATTCGAAATAACAATCTAATTGTGAGTAATAAGGGGTCAGTGGCAATGAGTCGGCGTTCGCGATTTCTACACATGAGACTTAACATCTCATCATTAGAAAAATGTGACAACAATTTTGTTTTACATTAATTAAAAAAAACTTTTCAATGTTTTTACATACACTTTTCAATTGAATCCAGAGAGCCATCACTTCTTCATCTGAAGAACGATTCCAAATCCATCACTCCGCATCACACTACGAATAAAAATGCACAAATAAAATTTTTTAATTAAAACTTCAAACATCTTTTCACTATAATTTTTTAATAGAAAAAAATCATAAATGTATTATTATTTAAATAATAACAATTTTTATAAAAATTGTAAAAATATATAATTTTGAAAATATAATTTTTGCAAATACTATATACTTGAGGGACTATCGCAAAAGTGAGTTAGAATATTTGATTCAATAAAGACATCAATTTTGAATATTTTGATTAAAGACTTTTTTTGTTACTTTTGTTGTAATTTTAGGTTTAGAATATTTATTTAAATATTAATTGTCAAAGAAAAGTCAACAACAATTATCTCTTTAATCCAATTAATTATTTTTTTATAAATTTATTTATTTGTAAATTAATATTATTTATTTAAGCACTAGATTAAAAATTAATTGACGAAAACTTGAAATCATAAAAAAATGATTAATCATTTATCAATCATTAAAACGCGCACCTGTTTACTGACAAGTGTCGGTCGGACTGACAACGGTGATGAGGTTTAACAACAATGAAGCGTTTGGTTTTATTGAAAAATCTGAGCCGCGTGCAATTCTGGTAGGAGCAGGACCTCCCGTTCAGAAGCGTATCAATCTCTGCAAGAGCCCCAGCGAATGCAGGTAAAATTTTATTTAAAAAATCACGCGGTTTAACATTATACTTATATAAGGAAAATTATCTATATTCAAAAAAGTGCTTAGCAATTTTTTTCATCTCTAGTGGTTGTCACGTCACCGTGACTACAAAAGTAGCTGCCTTCTTCTTCTTCTTCTTCTTCTTTAAATGCGGCTTCGACCAATCAGGCCAAAAAGTAGCAGCCTTGCTATCCAAAAAATATATAGATATCTTATCTGCACCATAGAGTATAACGCCTTAAGTTTATAAAATTATAACGTTATGAAAAAAATAGTTTTAGTAGTAATAATAATGAAATTAATGTATTTTGTTAATCAAAATAAAATATATATTTATCAATACCAATATCATCATTCAAATACATACAGATTGGAATTATATTTTTTGTTTCATTACGCAGCTTAATGTTTCTATTTGATCCTAAAGTGAAAAATCACTTACGAAAAGATGAGAAAAGAGTAAAATATGAGAACGACGATTTAAGAATCTTTAAAAAATGTATTTATCATCATTTCCATGAACATTTTAAAATTAGTGTTTTTACTTATTGTATAAAGATACGCAGAATTTGTAAATTACAATATATAACCTTATTGTCATAAAATTACAGAGTTATATTTTATAAATTAAACATTTAAAATATTTTGTAGTCGTATAGAACTTTTTTAAATAAATGTCTGAGTTGTTCTTACCGAAAAAAAGGTTCTATAATTCACTGAATAAAATCTGAAAGCCGTTAACGTGCACGGCATCCTTGCCTGCATTATTATCATTTTGCATAGTTTCTTAACTTTCAGGGGCATAACGTACCATTTTCCTATATATCTATATTAAAAGAATAGATAAAAATTATCAATTTTTTCTAGAACAAATATAAAGTCTAATGATATCACATGCTTTATGGATGACCCCTTACGAAATAATTTTGCAAATCTTACAAATCTTGTCCAAGAGAAGAACTATGGTCCATTAACCTTTGCGCTGGTAGACTAATGAGAAACATATGAGCGATCACTCCGAGATTAAATGCAGCATATTTAATGGTTTTCTCAAAATTTCCCAATGAAAGAAGTGTCTTTTAATTTAAATAATAATAATTTATAAACATTAAAATTTAGGTCCGTGTCAGTAACGCATCCAGAAAAAAGATTTCTTTGAAACAAAGAAATCATCACTTTTTGATAAAAAGATGAAATTTATTTGAATTAAAAAAAGGTTTCTTTGCTTTTACGAAAAGAAAATTTTCAAGTGTTTTGAATTAAAGAAATTTTTTTTCTTTTTCGAACTTAAGTATCGACTGTGTTAAAAGAGATGATTTTGAGAAAAACTTACTTGTAATAATGTTATGCTTGTCTGTAGCATATTAAATGCCATTCCAGAAAAAAGTAGAGGAGAATAGCATGATTCCAAGGTATTGCAAAATCTAGTTTAAAAATATAAAAAATATATATCTAAAGTCAAGAATCACGAAATGCGTGAAAGATCAAATAGCTATATTTATGAACATCGAATTTTATATTAAAAAGATACTGTAAGTATAGAAAAAGTTATTGGAATATTATTTACTTAATTGCGTGAATATGACGCTTGATGGAAAACTTCATATACTCATAAAGTACATCATCCCACTTTTCTTCAGTATCTTTCATAAGAATCTCGGCCTCTTCTACTGAATGTTGATATCGATAACTGAACATTTTTTTTTGAAAATATTAAAATGTCCGCCTCATGGTAATATGGAGAGGAAAAGAGTGAAAGCATTAGTAAAATAAAATACATTTTCTTACCTAACAATAGCAAATAATCCACAAGCATGTTGTGTGTTGACGGCGTACATTGACTCACAAGCTAGAGTATAGGTCATTGTAATTACAGCCGTTATCATTGTGAGAGCCAAAATATAAATAAAATATTTATCCTGATCAATTATAAAAAACTCTACAGGATATATCATCAATTTCGGTCGAGGTTCCTCTAATGGCATTATTATGTCTAAAATTATAGGTGAGAGCGACATTGAAATAATTGTAGATAGTGGTACATACACGTCTCCTGGAAAATTACAAATGTCAAATAAAAAACAATACTTTCCAATTTGAAATTAAAATTTGCTGTTTTTTCATTAAGTTATTACTAATAATATAATAACTTGACTGACTATTTACCAGTATATAACAATGATAGAGATCTTCCGCTTTCTGCATATGTCTGTAAAATTTCAAATTCCTTTCCCGAAGACCAAACCTTCCAATCATTTTTAATACATTCTAAAAGTTCTTTCAACTAGTGAGTGCATAAATTATGATTAAATTGTATATGTAATTAAGGGAGAGTAGGGTAATGGAAGCTAGTGCGTTAAAATCATTTAAAAACAAGTTAAACAATTTTGTTAATATTTATATTAAATTTTTTTGCTTCTTAAGTTATCGGCCCTCCATTTTGAGTCCTTCTATAACCTTACACCCTTAGACAGCTCCAATTAACCCACTCTCTTCTTTTAATGAATTAATTCAAGATTTTCGATTGAAAGATTTTTAGCTTACTTCACTTTCTTTATAAATGCAAATTGAAGATTTAAAAATTGCCGCAAGTATGATGCAAAGTGTTGGCAAACTTTCTAAAGTTTCATCCAAATCTCCCCAAACCGTATAGACATGCAGAAACTAAATGATTAATTAAAAATGTAATAATATCTGTAAGAAATTATATATATATGTGTGTATGAAAACTACTTTTGGCAATTTGTTGACAGTTTATTTGTCGAAGGAACCGCAACCTAATTAGATTAATTAACAAGCGGAACGACTAATTAAGGGGGAAAACGCAGAAAAAGAAATGAGTTGTGGATGTAACGATGCATTCTATTTTAAAAATATGATTCATGAAAATAAATATCTAAAAACAAAAATTGATTTAAAAACGTAAAAAATGTTGAATACCATGGGTATAAGATTGCACATAAAAAGAGTAAATGACATAAGTTTAATCAAACGTTTCTTCTCAGTTCTCTGATAAGGCCAAATTCCAGTACATTTTTGGTAAAATGTGTTAATTCTATAGTAATGATTCTCAAATAAGTTCATTGTGCGACAACAGTCTTGACTGAGACTAAGTTCCATATACTAGACTCTATAGAATCTCATAATGTATTCCTATCTATAGGATTTCATAAAAAAATATTTTCTAAAATATGGGAAACGATTATATAACTTTATTCTAAGACGTAGTTATTATGTGAAAGCAATAATTTTCGATAAGAATTTTAATTCACAGAAAATAGAAATCATCCTATATTACAGGTAATATACATATATACATCCTTGAACTCGAATATTTCACATGAATAATTTTCAACTATTCTTCAAATTCTGAAAAATGACGAATGCTATTTTCATATGAATGCAGAAAGTTGGTGTCGACTAGTTAAAAATGTATAGGAACAGTTTGCCACAATTCTGTGAAATCCGTGTTCAGTAATGATAGGAGAAAATTATGGATCGATATTTTTGCTCTAAGAAAGGGTTGACTTCTTTCAGTTAGTATTCATTCGTCGAAGAAGGAACAATGATGTATTATAAAAGAATCCAAAAAAAGAAAAGAACAAACTCGTTTTTTAAGGTTCTTCTTTGTTTCAATTTTGTGGGAAAAACTATTTTATTTTAAGATTTTTTAAATCAATAAAAGTCCTAATGATTATGGTGTTGAAACTTAGGCTTTGACAATCATCCTGTAGAAAAAATTAGCGAGGTTGAAACAATAAAAATCAATTAAATCGTTTTTTATTTTTAAAACGACCCTTAAAAATTTAAGTCAATATTTATCAATTAGAATATCAGGGTAACAATTTCTGACAAAATAAATAAATATCAATAATTAAATTAGGACCTTGAAAATTGATAACAGTTTCAGGACGCTTCATTAGAATGATATATAATATTCTTACAGTTTAGAGAAAAAGGTTGACCTTCAAACTCGGTTAAAAATGAGACGTCGTTCAAGGTCATCTTCAAAGAATCATTTTTTCCTGCATGCATATAAACTGGTCATCCTTGAAAAGGGTTTCTTAACAGTTTTTTTCCCCCATTTTTCGTTTAGCACTACCGCACGTGGCACATTTCACGTTCAAAATCAGGGGCGGCACACTGCTGATTGTATGCGATAATTGAAAATTTATTTTTAATGATAGTGATGAAAGTTTACCCAATGTTCAGGAACTGTACTTATTTGGATAAAACAAGAAAATGCTACCTTAAATGTAGTGACTTGACGTAAAATATGTATAGTGTCATCACTCGAGAAAGAGGCAAGTACAATTTAAAAAACGGTTTTTTCGATACTCCAAACATTGGCACGTGCTTTCCATGTTTCGTAGTCAATTAGTCTGCTTCAATTGACCTGTTTTATCCATTTTAGTTGAATCAATGTAAATTACAAAATAATCGAATGAGGGAAACTTTTTATTCTACACTTAACAGTTTCGCAGAAAGACGCGGACTTAATTGTAGTATCGTATTTTCACACTGAAGTTGATTACCAAGTCTTTTTGAAATTCAATAGGGATTAAAAAAGAAGTCAATCGTATAAACGAGAAAAATAATAATTATACTTATTAACTCAGGTGTCGTAAACTCATCAGATCTAGGATTCTGGCACAGAATATAAAATAATAAATAGAAGAAAATGATTTTCTTTAAAATAAAAATAAATTTACATAGTCATACCACTCAAAGTTACGTGCCCTCAATTTTTGTCAGTTTATATATAATGATTATAATGATCAATATAAGTAGATCAAAAAAGTATTACAATAATATATTTTTTCTATTTTATTATTTAAGGATATACATATGTAGTATACATTTTTGATTTTATCGATAACTTATAGTGGCAGCTACTTAACTTTTTCCACATAAATATCTATAGAATTCTGCATACCTCTCGACTATCTTTTATCTCGTTTTGCTAATTCTATTTCCGTTTTCTTACATCATATCAAGGAGTTACGTTAATAATAAGTAAGTTCATGTCCATGAAAATAATGCACTTTTTTAAAACTATTTCTCACACAATTTTAATTAAATCATTCATTTTCAAAAATTCCCATTATCATAAATTTTAACTCAATTAGAAATACTTCCTGATTTCTTTTTATTGAAGCAAATTTTTTAGAAAATTTTTTCCTCAATGGAATGGTGGAAAATGCTATTTTCAATAAATTAAATAATGAAAAGTTCCGGATATAAAAAAAGAAAATTTCTTTTTAATTATAAAGGAAAAAAAATTCTCAGGAAATGAATTACAGTCAATGTACATCTTTTTTTCAAATAAGTGTTCGCAATTTATAATTAATTAATTTTTATAGCCATGTTCCACATTGCGTATTAAAAATTACAATTTACTTATGTTGTTGAACGGAAATAATATTATACTAAATTCAGAGAATAGTAAAAAATTTTATAACAATTATGTAAAGATAGATTAAATTGTTAGCAATTTTAATCATTGAAGCTTATGACTAATTGATACTTTTAATAAAGTGTTATAGCTTTTCAATTCGGTAATTTTCCCCAATAAATTCATAATATTTCTTTTAATTTAAAAAAATTGGCACATATTTATGAGAAAATCACATTCCTTAACAGCAACTGATATTTTCGAATATCCTGCGGACGTCCTAGGCATATGCGGAAATTATAGAATATACATATATATAGAAGGTTCTCAGAATATACATAGATATTCCAGGAACATAATGTCAATTACTGATTATCTGATGTACTATATGCTTCAGATAATAGTTAATCTAATGTACATACAGATTATGTAAAAATAATTTTGAAAACCTTTCATTATTTTTTATCAGATAAAATGTTTTTTCTCCCAGTAATTATACATGAGTATAATGATGTCCCCCAACATTGTTTACTTATTAGATATAAACAACTAATGCAGCATCCTGCTTCTCACACATACGCTCGGGCTGTCTGTCCACAATATCTACTTCGACTTGCGTAGAATCTAGTCTCCCTATTGGCTCCCACCGCGCAACTCAAAGTAGATATTATTATTAAAATAATCTTTTTTTTGTTTATATATTACATTACATTTATTATTTTTCTTTTATTTTGCTAAAATATATTTTACATATTAATCAAAACAGGGCACGGTTCTTGCAATTTTGCACGCACTTTCTTGTCTGGATAATAATGATCTCTAAATTTTTATGAAATAATAACATCATTACACTTATAACTTTATTTATTTAATTTAATAAAAGTCCAATGTCTTTTAATGAATACAAGAAATATATATATTTATATACAATAATATTAATAAATCTCGCAAAAAGCTCGTGAGTATCAAAAGATATAGGTATATAAAAAAGTCTTTCAATTTTTGTCAAGTCTTAAAGATAATAGTTTGCGTGTAGTGTGTCACAATATTTTCTATTTTTGTTTGGGTAAAAATTGAAATAAAACAATTATAAATACAAAATAGAAGAAGAAAATTATTTTATATTTTTAAATTGTGACGCGTAATTGTATCACATGCTTTTTGTTACAATATAAAAGCATTGTTTAAAATATGTACATAGTTAACTTCAATGTGCTACATATAAATAGAAAAATTCAATAATATGCAACAAGCTTTGATTTTAATATAAAAAATGATCATTCTTCAATAATTTCGGCAAGATTACTAATTTTTCAAAGAATTTCCTTTCCCAGTCCATCTTTCCTTCAAGTTCACTTTCAATCCCAAGTCTCTTAATGCAGCTTTCACGTCATTTTCTAATTTTTCACCATGAGTGTCAACGGATGCTCTTAAAATATCCTCCACACCGTGTGCAATAAATTCCTTTGCTTCCATTGAATTTCTTACGGACATGTTTCTTATAGCCCACGATCCGTTTTGCTGAACATTGAAACTTTTAGGATAAGCCTTCATTGCATCGATGATTACCATCGGTGCGCCACAATCAAAAAACACTCCCGCATTTGAGGGACTTCTTAACGATAAGGCGGAAATGCATGCAAGACCTGCGCTCACCACTGTTTCTGAATTCTGAAAAATTACATTAAAAATATTTCTAAAAATAATTCCAAAAATCGTTACCGACTGTAAATGGAAAAACTTACTTTCAGTCTACTAATTACTGAAACAATTAAAGGGGCACTTCCTGAAGTGACAATACGCGATTTAACATTGTCGTTTCCAGCAAGGGCTTTGAGCAATTTTAAAGCTTGCCAATTGAGTTTTTCAACATCAGGATGATCAATCATGACATCCAAAAGGAACTTGAGACCACCAGCGTCATCTACATCTTGACAAAATTCGTTTCTTACTATTAAAGATGCTAAGGTAAGCATTATATCTCCAGTAACAGCTTTGTCGGATTTAAATCCTATATAAACGAAATTATCAGATTAGCAAATTATTAGTTGTTGATGAAGAAAAATCGTTAACTCTTTTTACAGTACTTGATAAAAATAAATAATGCGGTTATATTGTGCATACTTGGCAATAACCCAGTTAAAACATCCAGAGCACTTTTAGCGATAACAGTTGCATGTTCATGGGCTTTTCCATATTCGTGTCTCACATCATCATCCAGTACCAAAGCCCTTATAACTGAACAGACATCTCTCACTTCGGATTCTGTTACCTTTTCACTAACCAATACTTTTTTCAATTTTACGAAAATATTTGCACTGAATATATTCTGCCTATTAATTTCATGCTTTATACAACATTCTTTAATCCATTTCAACAAACACTGCAATGTCTGAGTATCATCCACTGTTTCCAAAATTCTGTAAAACCAAAATGATTGTCAATTTTATCCCAGTGGGCAAAAAACATATACATATATAAGAAAATATTCGATTGTTTTATCATTAAATTTATCTACGCATATCTTTTATTAATTATTTAAAATGAAAGAAATATGTTTACTCGATTTGAAGAGAAATTCCCCTTTCGTCGAGCAAATCGGGATGACCTGTCATTAATGACGTTATTGTCTTGAGTGCAGATTTTATTACTAAAGGATTGTCTTTGCATTTTTTAATCATGCTTGTTAAGATTGAATAAGCGTCGTGTTTCGCTGCATAAATGCGCCGGGCAATATCTTTATCTAATTCATTCTTTAATTTCTCCAGTTGGGAATGAGCTGAATCATATTCCTCTTCTGACAAACAAGCAGATAATTTCTCCAGGCATGAGAGAATAACTGAGTCGTCATTTATTGCCAGGTCTTTGATAATGTTACTTAGATCAACTCCCTGAAAAAATTTTATATTGCATTAGATTATGAATTTCATATCAAAGATAACAAAAGATTTTGGTAAATATCTTATTAGCACAATGGTTGGAGCGTCGGTTTGTGAAGCTGAGGGTCGCGAGTTTGAATCCCACTATATATGTATTGCACGGAAAGATATTTATTTTAAGCAATTTGAAAAATACATACAAATACAAATACTTTTCGTAATTAAATCAAAAATTTAAATTATCTTTATTAAAGTTACTAAAAGTAAAAATTAACAAATGTTATAAATTCGCTGACATAAATAAAGTATGTAATATCAAGGGCAAATAAAATCATACCATATAAGGAAGATGATTCACAAGATTCAAACCAATGAACCTGAAGGATAAAGATTTCGAAAGGAAAATGTTTCGTACCTGTGCTTCAAACTCTTTAATTGCTTCAGTAATAGCTTCTTCTGGAGACATTTCAAATTCATTAATGTTTTCTTGTACAACATCATCGTATGTTTGTTGACTAATAACACGAACCATTTTTACTTATTATTTGTTTGGTATTTTATGATTCTTAAATGACACCATAGAAGGAAATGAAAGAAAGTTTAACAAACACGTGAGACAATTTTATTACAGACCGCACTACACGCTACAAAACTGCTTTTGAGCATATAAACAAATATATATATGAAACAGTGAATGCAACAAAAAAATAAATTAGACAGTGCTGCCTCATTTTGAAAATTCCACGAAAATTGTTGACGTTTTTTTTGTACCTGCAGTAAATAAAAATAATCTTTATGCTTCCAACGTCATCATGCATTGATCATATAGAGGCTGTTTTCAACGCAGGGGATAAAGTCAGATAAAGTAGGAAATGGATAAATTAAGCATGTATAAACGAAGCGGGATAAATTCGCGTCTGCGTAGAACATACGAAAAAGAAGATCATCAATCCCATTTTTGAGTGTTTTGCGCAGACACGAATTTAACCGACTACTTTATCCAGCTTAATTTATCTCTTCCCTACTTTACCCTTCGCGATGAAAACAGCCTCATGATATACCATTACCGAGCCTGGCAGATGCGCCTCTTCATATACTTAGGCCAACACACAATAGGTTCACGAATGGGATAAAAGAAACATGTATCACGGCATCAATCACAACGTAACCTCTTTTTGATGTTTACTTTCTGTTTTATTGTTGGTAAGTAAGTATTAATTAATAAATAAACTATTAAAATATTAGTCAATTGAGAACTTTCAGTTCAGTTAAATAATATTATTTTATTTCTAATAATTTCTTAAAAAATTTTAACACTTTAAATGTTTACAACGATTTTTTGTTAAGTAGTTAACTTATTTGATTTTAATAAGTAGTAAGTAAGTTCCTCAAGAGTTTCTTTAAGGGCAGCTCAAAGTCGATGCGATTTTCCCATTGAAGTACTCTATGTAAAAAATTGATTCAAATTTGACCTACCCTTAAAGTTAACAAAGTGTTAAAAAACATTCATGCGCAGTAGTTTTCTGCAGCAACGGATATTACAGGATATCCTATGGACGTCCTAGCCGTATCCGGAAATTTGGATATCTCTCTATCATCTCTCTATATCTCTCTATCCCTAGGACGTCCATAGGATATCTCGAATATCCGGATGCTGTTAGGGTACAGCAAAGTTACATTTTAAGATCATCACAACCTTAACTGTAAGTTTACGAATCTGATGTTTAGGCTCAAGGAAAATTTACAGCAAGATATTGTATTCTGGGTTGATTATATCCTAACAACATTTGGATATTTAGGATATCAATAGGATGTCCTAGATATATTATATTTCTCTAATGAGAAATATTTTTCTAATGTTGCAATATTGCAAAGTTTACCATACAATACAGATTTGTAGCCTGCAAATAAATTATAGGTTTATTTTAATTTGTTTTCAGCAAAAAAAGAGAAATTATTTTTTTAAAAAACTTGTTATTTACAAAATTGTTTCATTTTAATATAATTGGGATTATTTTCAGAAAATATGCAATTTTTATAAATGCATAAAAGTAGAAATGAAGGCAAAGAACTCATTTGTATACAATAATTTTATGTGTCGAGAATATGATTTATTTCCTGAATTTTTGTTCCAAAAAAATTCTACAAAACACATTACGTGACAAGTGTATGTTACAATTTAATCGTAGTATTAAAAGAAATGAAGCTATTATTTTGGGCATTGAGACTAGCTGCGATGATACTGCGGTTGGAATCGTCAATTCTGAAGGAAAAATTTTAGGATATGCTCATCGTTCACAGGAGTTATTGCATATAAAGTAAGTCATTATAAGTATTTTCGCGACAACCCTGTTGTCTTGCACAAGAAAATTTACAATTTCACAGCAGAATTTGGAACAAGTTCTTGTATCAGAACTTGTACAAGAAAATGTACATGTTCTTGTTCTTTAATTAAAATTAAATTAAAAGTAGTACTCATATATTAAAATCTGATGGAAAATTAAATTGTTCCTTATTAGATATGGTGGTATTATACCAATAGTAGCGCAAGAATTGCATAGAAAGTGTATTACAGAGTTATGTGAAAATACTTTAAAGTCAGGAAATTTAAAATTACGTGATATTACTGCTATAGCAACTACTGTAAAGCCTGGTCTTCCATTGTCACTATATGTTGGACTTAATTTTGGAGTGCGCCTATCGGAAGTAGGAAAAAAACCTTTCATTCCAATACATCACATGGAAGCTCATGCACTAGTTGCTCGAATGACTCAACAGGTAGGAATAATAAATATTGTATACATATTATTGGTTTGCTCATAGAAAATTTCCAAAAGAGTAAAAGTTTTTGAAATTATCTATGAGAGAAGCCAATCAAAATTAGTGGAATCTATGCCCGATTCTGAATAACGAGGAGATGTACAAGCGCCTTTTGTTTATACTGACTTGAAAGAGATTAACTAAATGCCAAATGTATTTTAATTATCTTAAGGTGGATTTTCCTTATCTTGTACTTCTTATATCTGGAGGACATTGTTTAATAGCAATTGTGGAAAATGTGACTACTTTTCGTTTATTAGGGCACTCAATTGATACAGCTCCCGGAGAGGCATTTGACAAGGTAAAATTTCTGTCTAAAATACATGTATATAATATACATATGTACCTATAGATTTTGTATCTTTATACTATTTTATAAATCAGTCGCTCCTGAGACCTAAAGCGAGCATACTCGAAGAATCCGCGTAAGGAATTCGTAACCTGAAAAATTCGTGAAACTCGCGAGGACTGATTGTATTATTATACTAATACGTTTGAAAAAACGTTTGAAAAAGAAAATTTTTGTACCTGTATTATTATTTTAATGTTTTCAGATTGCTCGCAGATTAAAGTTGAAAAATATGCCAGATTTTAAAAATTGTAGTAGTGGTGCGGCATTAGAAATTGCTGCCAGTCGAGCCGACATTTCTTCGAAATTTTCTTTCCAAGAGCCTTTAACTCATTATAGAGACTGTAATTTTAGCTTTGCGGGTACAAAATCTTCAGCTTACAACCAAATATTGAGTTATGAAAAAGATTTTGACATAACAGGAGATAAAATTATTCCGGATGTTTACAATTTCTGTGCCAGTTTTCAGTTGGCTATAACAAGACATTTATGTCATCGAACTCAAAGAGCCATAGAATTTATTGATAAACTTAATTTAATACCTAAAGATCGACGAATATTGGTAAATATTTCATTTATAATTATTAATTATAATTTCTCTTATTACGAGTTTTAAATCAGATTACTAATCAGTGAACCGAAAAACCCCCAAGTGAAGAATTTTAAGCAAATACGTCCACCGTTTTGATTCGCCATTTTGAATTTTGAAAGTTTGCCACCATCGCATAATGTACCTTAGTTTTTTGGAACATTCTAATTATATGTACATAATTTTAAAGCAAATCTGTTTTTCATTTTAAGGTTGTATCTGGAGGAGTAGCATGTAATAATTTCATTTTTAAATCTTTAAATACTATTTGTTCTGAATTGGGTTTTAAATGCATCAGACCTCCTCCTAACTTATGTACAGATAATGGATTAATGATTGCGTGGAATGGAATAGAACGTTGGAAGGAGAGTCAAGGTGTTCTTCATAAACAACATGATATTGCAAAAGTGGACGTGAATCACAAATCTTCATTAGGCACAGATTGGACAAATAAAATACAGGAAGAAAGTATAAAATGTAAATGGATAAAAATAAAGGATCATTGATTATATATTCATGTAGAGTACTTTAAAACGATCACCCCCCATTGAAAACAATTAACAATGTGAAACAATTTTTAAATAAATATATTTCCTACAATAAACAACAGGGTGAAGTAAAATTTTCTACAAACAGAACTTTCTAATTGCATTAGCCAATAAAAAAGTACTTATTATCCAAATAATGATTAATCAAGAGTGATAGAGAAAGAGGGGGAGGATAAGCTACTTTATACATTTTTTGAATAGACGATTTGTAAAATCTAAAGAAAATGTCAAATCTCTAAACTGAAGAAAACTGAATGAGAAATAATCTTTAAAAATGTTCATTCTATTAAGAATTAAAGATTTATTTTCAATATTTTAAAGTTGTCTTTTTCAATTTTGATTATTTACTTGTTCTGAATGTGACATTTTATTAAAAAATAATTAAATAGTTGAACGTCGTGAAATGTCAGGTTGAAAAAAATGGTGTCATACGTCCTTTTTTTCTAAAAAAATAAAAATGAAAAAAAACATTAAAATTATTATAAATTGAAAATGTAATGTTTTAAATATCAAAAAATTTCTATCATTTATACATATCATTGCTAAATTTTCTGTACTAAGGTTTGTTAAAAAATTATTATTATTTTTAAAAATATAATTTAAAATTAATGAAATCTAAGTTGAAGCAAAATCAATTTTAAATATAGTGAAAGAATGCCTAGCCATTTGTTGTCAGATTCTGTGAACAATATTCTTGATGCAGTTGAAACCAGTCTCTGCTTGCCAATTCTCATTTTGATTGTTCTATGTACCCTACAGTTCATTATATACGATGTAGTTGATATTGGTTGTTCTGTTTATCAAGCTTTTCAAAATTTTTATTCGAACGAAGATTCCTCCTGTGTTTTAAATAACTTTAAAGGTACATTGAAAAACATATTTCTAATATTTTATTATATTATTATTTGTTTACAATGGTAGAAAGTATTTGAAAACTTTTAAGTGTTGAGTGTTTAAATTCAATGTAATTGAATAAAATCTAAATATACATTAATAGAAGATATTATATTCAAAATACATGAAAAAAGATGGAATTTTTTAACAGGTTAAATGTCCAGTGACCAGTGATTTTTCTTCCCAAGAGTAATTAACACAGCATATTTACCAAAAGGAAAGGCTAATCTTCACATAGGACAAGAAAAATTGCAAAGTCGAGATGATGGATGGGATTTACTAAAAGATGATCACTGGGAATTTTGAAATACATGAAATTAATTCTTACGAAGAATTTGCTTATTTTCAACTGTAGATTCTCCTTACGTTTGAAAATGATAATAGCACTTACAGCTACAAGATGGAAACTTTCCCTCATAAAATAATTAATCAACCATCTGATTGGGTTTCGTTGTGCTGTTATATATTTGAGACATCGACTCATACAAGGGAATTTTATATCAACATTATATAATACTATTGTTAAATTATAATTGAAACGAAATTTTCATTATTACTAAATATTACTGAATTTCAGTGAAATTACATTATATTGCTATGAGGATGTTTTATTATTCTTAGTTTGTACAAAAAGAAAGTATTTTTCTAGTACAAAAAATGAAAAATAACTCTGAAAATAATTATAACCCAAGGGCCAAATACTATATGGTTCTATTCATCTTTTTTTCTTAGGATGAATTGTCGTGGCCATTGTTTTGATTTCTTTTTTCACAGTTTCTAGAATAGATGCCGTAAAGCAACTCAACGACACGTTCTGAATACTCAAAAAGTACAGATATTTTTCCCTCTTTCGGGAAAGCTTAAGTCACGTTTGCCTCCTTTGTTGCAGGGTAAGAGTCAGTCATTGTTTTTAAAAATAATATTTAAGATTGAACATTTATATGAAAGATCAGATGCTATCTAAAATATGCTTTGATTTTGTCATTATTTACCTATACTTTAAAGCAACTTATCAGATATTTCTGAAAAAATTACAATCCTTAAAAATTCTTTTTACTCTTGGACTTTAAAAAGATTTCTTGAATTTTAGTTTTTATATGATTACAATATGTAGGTACTACGTTTCATGACAGATTGATACATTTATTGAATTGCAAAATGTGTTAAATAGCTAATGGATTTTCATGAGTTGGTTGAAAACAAACTCTTTCGCCTGTCAATTGATGTTGATAGACTTAGTATTATGATCCATTATCCAAAAGACTCAGAGGGTCATTAATATTGCTTTAGGCACGTAATAACAAGTTTTAGCACTAAGCGTGATATAAAAACAGTATTATGCTTCAAGCCCAGACACTGTCCATAATTTATTCATACATGAATTTATTAAGAACAATAAGTGCAATTAACTGAACATGTAATCATTACACATTGGTTCATTTTAAAGTTTCTTTCTTTATTTTGCATAAGTTTTTATTAGATAAAAACAAAAATACTCAATAGGAGTGTAGAGTTTGTAATATAATCAACTAATGTTACTTGTATGTTTTACATATTAGAGAAACAAAGCGTGTTTTATGGATTTTTATCAATCAGTAGATCTGCTTCCAATTTATTATTATTTTTCTATATCTCATCTATTCTTTATACTTAAGATATTAAGGCGTGACTTTTAGCCGTTAAAATTCCAGCGTCTTGGGATTATTCACGCTAAATTTAACATTTAAAGCTTCTGGCTCAAAATGTCGAGATCTAATGTTGAAAACGTCTTAACAATTGAATAATTGTGCAATGAAATTCCCCACTTGCACTAAATTCATATTCATTTATCAAAGGTTTTAACAATACAGCTTTTAAATTGCTGATGGCAATCACGGAAAGAATCTGATCGGCACAAATGCATTCGAGTATAAGTTTCTTTTAATAACAAAGTGTACAGAGTTGTGATAGGTCAAACTAATTGTTATATTATTAGGTAGGTAATGTTAAAGTAGAGTAGATATAAAAATACATGGGATTACTTAAATGTAGTTTCTAAAATTGTGGTTTTCTTAGGCCAGTTTGGAAAAAACAATTATTAATACCTTCTTCTCTTATTTGCCGTTTGTGTTAAAGTTTCAAGAAAGAATCTGACTGAGACTATAGAATTTTCAGACATCGTATTTTAATGAAATGAGATGCCTTGGTGCGAGTATTATTTGAAAGCAGACTTAAAGTTTAGCCAACTCCAGACTCGGAATCCTTCAAGGGAATGAGGTGTAAATAATATGCTAATCCTTACTGCCCTCTTCGATTTTTCTCGCCCTTGCAGTCTTATTCCTCTCAAAAGTAGCTAATGCATGTTGCTTCTGGAAGAATAATTCAGTCAGAACAAGCTACGCCACATTTTAGATGCCAAACTTTAAAAATATAAGCAATTATATGTAGTTGCTTCTTGACCAACTTTACTTAAAACTATACTCCATTTTTTGTAAATTTGTAAAAATATGATGACTAAAATTGACGGTTTTTTGACGGTAACGGTCACTCGTAACAAGAGTCGCATGAATTGACTCCTTTGCATTTCCGGACCATCAACGTAGCGCCAGACTAATAATTGATGAATAATATCATTTAATTAGTTGCTTACGTTAAAATTAAGTTGGTCATTCCACATCGAAATTTTTTTTAGCTATTAGTAAAAATAAATAAGTAATGAGAAAAATAACGGGTTTTATTTAAATTAAATAAAAGAAGAACGTCATAAATTATAGTATATTCTTAGTGCTTATTAAAGGAACAAGTAGAATGTTCTTAAAGGTAGAATTTTTTTATTTATTTATAAAAATGGGCTCTTTAGGGAATAAAATGTGAAAGACAACGTGTGTCCATTAGTTTACTTGGCACACTATATGGGAAAGTCATTTACTGAGATCGAAGTCACTGCCGAAGGAGAATAAAAAAATTCTTGGATAGAAACTTTTCGCAGAACATATCTTTCCTCTTGATCGAACGAACGGAAGACAGAGTGATAAGGCTGGGTAATGTTTCTCCTAATTTTTTGAAGGTGCGCTGTTCTGGGAAAGGTTAAAAGATAACGGGTCGTTTGTGGCTAGAATGACATACGCGATACGTCATACGTACATATAACATACAAGTTGGTATAAGAAAAAGGAGGCAGTTTTCATTGTGAGCGTTCACGCTTGTGGGCGCCAACTCAATGTACCAGACGAAATCGCTGACTTATGGGTTTGCGGGTAGAGTCGTACCTTTTTTTCATAAACCCCAGTCAACCCCAACCTCACGTCTCTTTTACATTGTACCCAGATTTCAGCGATTAATTTTCCCCCATTGTGTGCAGCACGTCTCCAGCTCACTGAATTCCCCCCCATTTCACCTCACACCCTTTACCCCCCCCCTCTCTCTCTCTCCTCCTTTCTTTTTCTGTGCAGTGTGCATTGTCATTGGCAAACAAATCTCAATGGAAGTATTAAAAGTATCCGCTCTAATGGAACCTACTATCTTCTCTACTGAATTTCATAGTGTTTGTAACTTTAGTCCAAGAACCATAAGTACAATTCAAATAAATGATTTTTTTATTTACCAGGATATCGCTTAATCGCTAATTAAATACTTGAAGCAATTGTCGATCATTAAAGTATACAAAAAATAGGTCCAAAAATTACACTTCTTAGGACGATTATAATTTTCTGTTCTTATATTAAAAACTCAAAATTTTACTGGGCGATAGAAGAGCGAGTTTAAATTTGTGTAATATTTTGAATTTGCTTGCGTATAGGTATATCCAATCATGTGTAAAAATAGAAAAATGAGAATTCATTCATAAAGACGCAAAATTTTGTATTTTTTAAAAAAGCGGATCATTAGAACCCCAATTTTTCAAGTGGAAAGAAATAAGTAGAAAACATTCCTTCTTGTAGATATGGTCGCACATGTTTAATATGACGTTATTTTTTCATTACTTGTCAGATGAAAAATACTTGTTCCCTACAGTTGGTCAAAGATTTTGGAAATATGAATTGAATAAAATATAAATATCTCTGCTTTCTGCATAGAAAGCGCAATTCAGTTTTAGGGAGACAACTCTTAAATAATATATTCTCAAGCGCAATTTAAATTCACAGTATATGGACAGTTACATTGAATAGTGAAGTTCGACTATTAACTTTTGATATAACATAAATTTTTTGTTTTTTCCAGTTGAACATTAAATTTTGTAAATAGTTACCTAGTCAGAAGACAGAGAGAAAGTGACGACAGCGCACGTAAGTCGCGTCTCTACTCTCCGTCAGCGAGAACGATATAATTGGCTTACTTCGAGGTAAACCTTGGGCTAACAGGAACCGAGCTCACTTATTCTTTTAGCTACCCTGTCTTAAGGTGAGGCGCTCCTCAATGAATACACGTAGATAAAGAGTAATATGTATACCTGACTGTAGGTGCTCCTGCGTCAAGGAAACGCCTCTGATACCTTATCTCTCGTCTGAATGATTTCTAAGCTGTTGGTGCTTCTGCGACAAGATGTTCTAGGATCAGCCGGGGTCGATTATCTCAGAGTACACGTACGCGTTATTTTATTCCGGAAAGGGGCCATTCAAGTATTACGTAAGCATATTTTCAAGGGTTTTGGACCCCCCCTCACCCCAAATAAGTATTTTGTATGATTCGTAAGCAACTGAGGAACCTCTCCCTCCCCCTTAGATGCTTACATAATATTTGAATGACCCTAAAGGAAAATGAAACCGAAGTTGGTAGCAAAGATGGTTTAGTATAAATGGTCAAAAAATCAAATTTGTCTTAATGAAGAAGCTTTAACTTATTACTTTTTTGCTTGAAATTGACAATGCATTTACGAAAGTATGTTAAAGCAAAATTAATTGATTACAGAAAGAAAGAAACCTTTCATAATTGAATTTTCCGCGTACAGATCAAACAATATAACTATTTAATCTGTGAACAGCATCATAATCAGATATAATGCTCTGAACAGATGTCTTTCGAATCGCTAGCCAAGTTTTAAACGAGTAACGGTTATATCTTGCTATAATTCACAGATTAACCAATTGTAATTTGCTTTTAAACGTGTGTCTCTAAATAATACTTGGCAACATTTACTTTTTATTTAGGTTATAATTTTTTTAGGGATCGATTCTTAAATAAAAAATTTGTTTTCTCGGGTTCCAGTTGACTAGTTCAAAAATAAAAATAAGATAGCTTTCTCGCTTGAAAATAAAAATTGAATTTAAAAATAATTTTTACTATATGGAAAATGAATAAAACAAAAAGCTAAAAAATCTAAGTTTTCTTTTCATATAGGTATCAAGAAATTTTAAGGGGAGGTATTTTCACATATTCATTTTTGGCAAAAAATATACATTTATTTTTTACTAAGTTTTCTCAACTGCAATGTAAACTATGTATTTTTCTAACAGTTGAAAAATGTTATTTAAATTGGAATTACTTTTCTCATTATAACTCACTGAAGCAATAAATCTCTTTTTCTTAGCTACTCTTTTATTATTTCTTCGTGAAAAAGTTAATCTTTGACAGGTGACACTCACAATCATCAGACCGCGGGCAAGCAGATGAAAGATTATTATAGGTTAACTACGAATTTACTGAGTTAAAAGAAAGATTAAACTGGTCATAAAGTGGCACTACATATAATATATATTATATGTATATATATATATATATATGGGTCAAGTATTGGATTTGTCCAAATCTCATAGTTTAATTATCTTTTGGGTTAGGAACATTATTGGTATCCATGTTTCGATAGTTGATGATATGTCGCTGATAAGACCTCCAAACGATTTTTGAAAATTCGAATTTAGTAAAAAGTTATAAAGAAATAAAGTTTTTTGCAACATTTTAGAAATTATTCAATATCTTACAATTGGATGAACTGATTTTAATAAAATTTGATTTGGAGAGTGAATAACAAATGTACTTTCTATAAATATGAAGAATATAAATAAAAAGTTTATTTTGTTTAAACAAATTATATTTTTAATGGTTAATGTTATAAATAAACAACGTTCTTAGTCGATTTTGTAATTTTTTTTATAGAATCATGAAGATTAATTATTATGAAAGCCTTGTCTAATCAATCACATTGTGATAAGAACAATACCCATTTTATTTCTAGAGAAGAGCCACACCTCTAACATACCGTTCCCTCACAACACAAGGATATTCAGGATATCCCTGGGACGTCCTGGGGATATCCATTTGCTTTTGGCGATTCGGATATCCCTAAGATATCCTCTGGATATCCATGGACATCTCTAAGATATCCCAGGGATATCCAAACCGCCGAAAACAAATCGATATCCCCAGGACGTCCCAAGGATATCCTGAATATCCTTTTGTTGTGAGGGTTAAGTATCTTAGGACGCATTAAAGAGTTTATACATTTTGTATGTAACAGATTACGTATTTTTAAATAGATTTTACAAATTAATTAGTGTACTCTGAAAAAGCGTTTTACTTATTTTAAAGTAGTGTTTGTAAGCTGCGACCCTTAAAACACCCGAATATCAAGTTTCAAGCAAATCCAACTAATTTGGTTTTTTCTTATTAGTCGAAACAATTTCACGGTTTTCCCTATATAGTTTTGGCCTACTAATATCATGTCAAGTGCCTATATTTTTAAAAGGAAATAGTATACATTTGAAGTAATTGTTTACCAGACACAAGTGAAAAAAGTTTTAAAGCGACATAGCGCGAGATGAAAGAAATGACTGTGGAAACTAAAAATTCCTCGAAATAATATTTCGATGATATGCTGAACGGCGTCGCAGCTGTGTCTCACGAGCAAAGGTCCCTCGGCCTGCGTCATACAAGATTGTTAAAGCTCAGGTTGGGGACGGCTAGTAGTGAAACAGCTGGCACATACTGGCGACAGCCCGCCCGTCACTAACTCAACCTAGATACACGCGCGCCATGTGCACTAGATATACAAACTTCATTGACGTTGGGTGAGAAGAACAACGTCTGCACCTGAGTTGGAACCAATCTTTTATCCACGAATCAGGAAGCGCAGAATAAAAAGATTCTTTCAAATGGATGCGACCCGACACTGGAAATTTCATTTCTTCATTAAAAAACTTTAATGAAATTTTAACTCGAATCATTTTACCTCACCCATTTCAAATGACATGGTACATCACTTCACCTATTAAAATTAAACATTACTTCAAACTAAAGAAATTACATATTACCTTAGGCTGAAGTTGGTATGCAGAAGAGCATTAAAAAAATAAATACTAATATAAAAAGTAGAGATATAGAATTTAGAGATAGAGATTTCGCGAAGAATTGATTTGTTAATGTGTCAGTAACGACAGACTAATTTAATAAACAGTAGTTAATACAATGAATAAAGAAAGTTACCTCATTGGTTTCGAACTTTAAGAATCTGGAATCGCATAAATCGCAGAGTTCGATATGCCACAGGTAATAAAGAGAGTCTATATACTATCGATTTGTTTCTCTTGTTGCCGTGGATAGCTAAAGGTACGCGTAAGATTCAGGGGTCTTGTAAAGATATTAGATGTCGATGGCAGTAGCACGGAAACCCCATCAACTCTGTGCTCGTAAATTTGAAGAAACTGCCGAAACTCGATCTAGTCATCCTCTCTATCTCTCTTCGTATATAGGCCTACATAAGAATATACTACACAAAGAGACCTTTCAAGTTTGTGCAAACTTCTATGAGTAGGAAAATGAAGTCAGCAACTTATTAAAATCTACTCTTTTGGTTTCGAATCAATTTCAAATAACGCCTTAAATGAATTTCACTTGTTAAATATCCATAGTATATTATTTTGCTCTTCCAAGGATGCAAAATATACAGATACTATTTACAATACTTAAATATACTATAAATAACGACTACTCTATATTTAAATTATCTTAAATACCATAGAAGAGCTCATTGGCAGTACCATGAAATTAACTTTCTTCTTCGACCAATCTTCTTTTTCAGCTAAACACGATGCGCAGATCTAAATTAAAGGACCTGTATGGTGCTCAATGTTATATTTAAATATAAATCGGTTTCCATAAAAAATATCTAGAATCATTCTTTTATTATTCAGAAATATTTTCGTCAACCTTTGCGCTAATCATTTAGTTTATTCACGCCAAACATTTACTTATTGCGGATATTGGTATGTTTATACAAGCTATATTGAGCATAGCAATTAAATACTCCGAAGCTTGCACATCCAACCTTTATTAAATGTTTAGTAAACACGGTGCTCCGTGGGTTGGTGCACTGTCTCTATCTACAAGTTGTGATGGACCATTTTCAAATTCTTTAATCATTTAATTTCTTCCGCTTTGTTTTTGGTCCTAGTGCAAATTACCTGAGCGTTTTATCTTTAAAGACACAAGAACAGCAACGCTGCTGTCTTTGCGATTAAATCATGCTTGGTTTCCCTTTTCCTCTTCTACTTTTCCATTCTCTTGTTTCCTTCCCGCCTTACACAATTTTCCTGCTTTTATTTCTCTTGCGCCTATCCTGTTTCCTTGCTTCTCTCCTTCTCTCGAAAATGGAGCTTGCGCGATGATTCTGCATCGGTAGCACTCAACGGAAGAGAATCAGGATCCGAACAGTTCACCGGCATTCTTCAATACATATGGTTTGGTTGCGAAATGTCCACCCACCAATCGAATCACGTGCGTCGCGACGACGTGTTCTAATATCAACTCTCGCCTTAAATGTGATTTCTTCCATTTTCAAAAATTTCCCAAGTGAGTGTTCTTCTTATTTTAAAGGACATTTCATTTTAACAGAGATCACATTTTTCTAAACAATTTTTAAGCTTAATTTTAAAATGATAAGGCTTGTATGTGATTTTAAATATTTATTACATATAATAATTATTATAACAAAAAACCAAAACAAATTTTAAGCTCATAAAAATTTAATATTGTAAATCTAACAAAAACATTCAAATTAATCAAGTTTAATTAAAGTTTTACTTCCAATGGCAAAATATATAAATAAGTATTTGATCAAATTTTTGCACAATTTTTAATGTAACGTAATATAGTCAGCAGCTATGAATTAAACTGCTTTTTTATTGTAAACTGTTGAGAAGAAAATAACAGATTTTTTTACTACTTATCAAAAAGAGCTGTTCTCAAAATTCGTTATCTGATTTGATTCTGAATTTTATAATAAAACAATATTTAGGTTAAGTCGCTACCCACGAGACAAATCAAGATTTTTCAAGACTCGCGGTAACGGTAAATATGGTCTCGATCTTGTCAAGTCCCGGTTAATTTACTTTAGTCTATATTTGACAAAATACATGTGGAATAAATAAGTTAATGTAAACGCATTATTAAAAATTCCATACATTTTATCTTTGTTATATTCATATGTATAAAGCATAAAAATTAAATTATTTACTTATTTAATTAACTTTAGTAAAAAATTAAAGTTTGATTAATTAACTTTTCAATTCTTCTAAATTCCTCAAAACTGAAATAAATCTCACTTACTATCTCAGTTTCGCCCGAAAGTGAATTCCAATCTATTCGATTTTAATATTTGACCAACTGTTCAATTTTTTTCAATTCTAAAATATACTCAAGTAAGTGTCATTTCAAGTATCTTATTTAAAATTAAGTACCTATAGTACAGCTGATATAGCTGCAAGGACAAGTTGTTCGACTTTGGGACTGAAAATCAAAGGTTCAAATCTTTAGACAGACAATTTTTTTTCTGTATAAAATTTGAAAATTGTATTGGAAATAATTAGGTAGAATTTATAATCAATTGTTCCAAATGTATGCAAAAGAAATGGACAGAAATGGAATTCCGAAAAATTAAAATTTCTCAATTCTTCTGATTTTCTCGAAAAAAATCAGTAAATACATTTTATTTATTTCAAAAAATAATACCTTTTTCAGTGTTTATACAGTGAGAAAAAAAATTTAGTGTTTGCAACAAAATTGTTTGGTTAGGCAATTTTGGTTCTTGTAGCCAAATTTTGGTTCGCTGAAACAAAGTCGTAGAGTTATCTCAACCAAACATTTGGTTGGACATTTTTAAATTCCAACCAAAATTTGGTTTCGACAACAAAATAATTTGGTTAACACAACAAAATAGTTTTGTCTAAAAAACCAAATGATCGTTTGTTGTCCTAACCAAAATTTGGTTGCGACAACAAAATATCCACAAATATTTCAATTGGATAAATACAAATTCAATGTTAAATTGATAATAAATAAATAATGAAATAAATAAAAAAGATAAAAAGAAAAGAGATAAGGTAGAATAAAATTTTTAATTTTACAAAAAAAATTGTCTGTTTGATCAACCAAACATTTTTGTTGACTTAACAAAAAAAATTTGGTTGGGCTAACCAAACATTTTTGTTATGCCAACAAAAAACACTCAACCAAATTTTTTGGTTGACTCAAACAAATAGTTTGGTTGCTTAAATACCAACAAAATTTTTTTGTTGGCCCAACCAAATTTTGGTTGCTCTGACTAAACATTTTTCTCAGTGTAATTTTTCTATTCTTATTGAAATAATTACAATGTATATAAACATTACAATTTTCTATTTCATGAACAATAATTGTTGTAACATTTATGTAATGGAGAATATTTAAAAAGAAAGTTAAGAAGATTATAAAACAAAATGTTTAATTTGAGCTCAGTTACTTTTCTGTTCATGGGAAAATGGATTGAAGACTTATAAGAATGACAACGTGGTATAGACTAATTAAATTTATTAATGAAACGACTTTGATCAAATTTAACAAAATTGCTTTGAAAATATCTATATGAAAGGTGTTTGCGTAAGAGCTACTTTTAAATTATGTTGACAAAATTTTATTCTCAGTAAAAATATTATATTATTTATTTAATTATAAATTAAATTTAATTTAATTCAAATTTTAAAGTAAATTTATAAAATTTTTTAAAATAGTTTGCCAAAAATGAATTGTGCGAGTATCAAATTTCTTTTTATATTGCTCATAATTTAGACCATGCTTTTAACTGTCAGTGACTTTTTAAGCATGAACCAGAATATTCCAAAAGTCATGGTAAATGACTGATGAATATTATATAATATAATAAAGGGCAGTTATTTGAAAAGTTTTAGGGTTTAAATGTTTAACAATGTTTAGCCTTCCTACAATGATTGTTCATCTCGAAGGTCTGTCACCTTCCTTATATAGAGTACTGTTTCCTCATAAAGGAACGGAAATTTGGATATCCTACAAGTATCTTAGGATGTTCCCAAAGAAATAGAATAAAAATAAATTGAATACATGATTTTTATATATTTTTTAAATATAAAATATTGACTGTTCTTTCTTACTAAAATTAAATGCTCATTAGTCAGAGTATGTCACGCGGGATATCACACATATATCTCCAACCTTGTTATTTGTAGTCCAATTTGTAATTTCAATAAACTGTTTTGAATAGTGCCTCTTGAATTCAACATTGATTGAGACCACTATGGCCGTTAACAATAAATGGTTGAAATCGTTAAAAAATAGAATGTGCGTGATATTTTGTTAACTACTGCAAGTGAATGTAATAAAAAACGAGATCAATTCATCTTGAAATCTAAATACGATTACTATAATCAAGATTTCAGTAAAATTAAGCATCTTTAAAAATATTTTCAGATAATAATTGTGGCAAAATTAAAAAATATTTTATACCCATTTCAGGTAAATAGAGGAGAGAATAAAAATTAAAAATAACTTTAGAACAAACAAATTTTTGCAAAAAGTAAACACGATAGTTTTTTAATTTGTGAAAACAAATAAAAACACTACCTTAATTTTACTAATTTTTTGTAATTTTCACTTACATGCATTACTATTTGAAATTTTTTATTTATTTTGTATTTTGTAAACTCGAAAAATGTGCAAATTTGCAATTCTACAAAAATTAAACATAACTGTTAATTTTATTGGAAAAATTGATTTTTCAAATTCAAAAGAAACTAACATAAACTAACACATTTCAATTAATATTTATTTTCATTGTTATTTAGCACTTGTATTATTGTCTTTCCAATTAAGAATTTCTAAAGATATTTTGTAAACTGTAATATTAACATTATAGACTAATTAGTCGATAGCTTAAGCGCTTTAGAAATAATACTGACAGTCGACGAAGATTTCAAGCATACATTTAAGTCCATCCTTCAAAGACTTATGAGTATATGTTATATGTTTATAACTAACAAGTTGTTAGCAGTGTTGATAAAATTTGCCACCAATTAAGAGAAATTAGGAAATTATAAAAATTAAATTAAAATTAGAATATTTATAATTAAAATTGGAAATTAATTAACTAGAATAACATTTGCTTTTATATTTCGTTACAAATTAAAAACTCATATTAAGTTTTACATTTATTAAGAACCTGCAAAAACATCGCTCAGGAAGTTTCCTGTTCTTTTCTTTTTATATCATAATGCTCCAAATGAGATGTTTCTGAAGGGTTAAAATATTTTTTGCAATATATCATTAGACATAGAATTTAATAAGCTTTTTAATTGTTTTTGTTTAACTTTCTAACTTATATATTGACTGAGGTATTTATATTTTAAAGACAAGCGTCTTTTTTACAGTTAAAAGTTGTTTTTAAATAATTAGATATTAAAAATAAGAGAGGAAACTAAACATTTTGAATGTTTAAAAAAATTAGCACTTGAGAAAACTTGCCGTCATCCGCTTATTCCGTCGGTAGTCTTCAAGGTAACATGTGTTACTGCCCGAGAGCGACTCAGGGCCAAAAGCGTGGGTCTGGTTAAAGTGTCCGACAAAATGCAATTTTCAATATAGTTTTCTACTTTCTATATTAACATTTTCCATCCGTGTCTTCTTCGTTATCAACTTCCGAGAATTTAACATTACATTCGATCCCTAGACTCAGATTTTTTGAACATTAAAAGAAAGGAATCAAAGTCGAGCACCGGGTAGACATAACTAAGGTGGTTTCCACTGAGTCTGAGAAATGGTGAGGAATATTACTCCTACAAATTAACTTTTTTAATGTACCATCCCAATAAGAACAGCGATAATCTTTAAGTACTGGGAGGTTATTTTGGGTTGGTTGCGATTTACAGGCTGAATGCAAAAATGACGAAACGCTGCGGGCGATTTGTTCCTTGTTGAGTTGACGAACGGGAATTGGAAAACATTAGTCCATTTTAACAGCTCTGCGAATTTATTTTTAAAAAAATGAATGATAAAAAGAGAGTATTTTTTGGTTTAGTTTCATAAAAAAACTGCGATTCATATGTCGAAGTTAACCAGGAAGTAGGAACAAGTTTAATTTTCTTAATTGACATTATCTTTCTAGAGATATAATTTCATGTGGTTTTGATTTCTAGGTGGACTCATGAAAAGTATACTAAGATGATAGTACAAGAAAAAACGATTATTGTGGTGGTATTTGCACTTCTAATTTATTCTGAGGACAATTTAGGTAAGTTTTTATTACACGAAAATGTTTTCTTTATGACGTCAACGACATAGACGTTTTTCAAAAATACATGTGACAATTGCCAGCCCACATAAAAATTATGTTAAAAACAATAATTCATTTTCTTCATATCATGTACAAAAAATTCATTTTTGTTCAGAATTAATTCTTATTTCTTTTTTAAAATATTTTAAGTTCATATTGAAGTTTCTTCTTTTAACTTAGAATCTTAGAAATTTAACTTTTTGACTTGAGAAATTGGTCATCTTTTTAGCCATTATTGTATAAGTAAAATACTCGAAGTGCCGGTTAAAAACATTGAGCGGCAGATGCCAATGGCGAGCATTTAGAAATAGAGAAAAAGCCAACAAGCAGAGGATTAGCGATGGTCATCCGAGTCGCTCAAGGTAAGACGTATGCAGAAGTTTTAGACAAGGAAGTCAAACCGGACGTCATCCACCCAACAGTGGAAATATATTTATCATCATATACTGGAACCGAGTGTAAAAATCTTGATTATCGACAGATAACACAATCCTACAAAAAAATTTGATCCTTTACTTCTTGTCAATGAGTTCATATTGAAGTTAACAATAATTATTTTGTTTTAGGTAGAGCTTTTCAACCGGAATTTATCACTCCCATTGCCAACGTAACTGTAGCAATTGGAAGAGACGCAGTTTTCACTTGTTTAGTGGAACATTTAGGGGGTTACAGGGCAAGTTGTTTGTTATTTATAATTACACGGAGAGAAATAGATGGTACTATCTAGATAGTATCAGGTACCATATTTGATCTTACATATAAAGACAGCAATCTAGATTCTATATCAGTTACAATTCATATTGTAGTGGGTAACATAATCATATTTTTTGAAACATCTTTAATGGTACCAGATAACATCTACTACATCCATTACATGCATATTTCTCCAATAATTAAAAGGAACATTGAGATCATATTCCTGTTGCAGGTAGGTTGGGTGAAAGCGGATACAAAAGCCATTCAAGCAATTCACGATCATGTAATAACTCATAATCCACGAGTGTATGTGTCACATGGTGATCATTCAACATGGAGCTTACATATAAAAGGTGTTCAATTAGAAGATGCAGGCGTGTATATGTGCCAAATAAATACTGATCCAATGAAAAGCCAGGTATTTATTGCTTAATTCAATCTTAAGTCTTCGTTTTAAATTTAGTGGAATTAAAATCTATTGTCATTACTCGAGAAAACTATTATTGTCCATCAATAATCAAATATTCAATTATTTTGTTTTTCTTATAAAAAACGGAGTTTGGACTTGATCTAAATTCCAGCTTAGTAGAGCATGCACAATAATTAGCTGCTACGTCGCCTGCTAAAGGAGTCGTTTCCATCACATTTAAATTAAAAGAATTAAGATTTAGTATAAATAAGTTTAACAGATTTTTTTTGTAGACAGGTGTCTTAACCGTACTTGTTCCTCCGGACTTTTTATCAGGAGAAACGTCAAGTGACGTTATGGTCAGAGAAGGTGGACAAGTAAGAAGATATATAATTAAAAATTTATTAATAATTTTAAGTATATCTAACATCTTAGTTCTTATGTAGATAAAGACGTTTATTAATAGAACTTTTAAATATATTACAACTATAGGTAACATTAACTTGCCATGCAAAAGGAGTTCCGCAACCTACTGTCAGCTGGCGTCGAGAAGATGGAAAAGACATTGTTTTACGTCAAGTACTTTTAGGAAAAACAATTCAAAAGCCAAATAGTAAGATAAATATTAGATTTCTCGATTTGTAAATTATCTAGTAAAGAGCCTAAAAAATTGGAATATATTTGAATATAGTTATGTCCTAAAAATAAATACCGACAAGAACAATAAGGAGCATTCTTGTCTTTTTTATCGCGCATTTGAACAAAAACATCGTATGCAACACGAGCGGAATTGATAATTCCATTCCTGATCTCATATGATGGCCACCCTCGTTTCGCTTGGGTAGCAACTTTGCACTTGTACAGGAATTGTCAACTTTCCACTGTTGCCACACAATGTTTATTAGCCAATTATAAAGTTTTTTTACCGCTTTAGGTGATTATATCAGTCAGCGAGTTTAAAAATTTATAGTGAGGGAATTCAGCAGATCCCGAATGACTTTTGTAACAGTCATGTCCAGAAATTAGTAAATTAGTTAAAAATAATCAATTACATATTAAAATAATCAATAACTTACAAAAATTGGAAAACAATTGGTTCCGTATACATGAAATAAACTTATTTGTTATAAAAACCAACATGTAAAAATTTCAAGTTTTGTATGATAAATATTGTAAATAACACAGTGAGGAACAATTTACTTATTAAAATTTTAAAAAATTGTTGAGCCCTCTATCGCTTACTCTATTTGACATACAAAGCTTATATTGTTATACATTTAATTTTTATAACAAATATGTTCATTAATAGTTTTGTAATTAAAAAAATCATTAGATTAATAGATTTCGATATATTGAATTTAAAAATTAGATAATCAGATTTGCTATCAGCGACTCCAAAGACATTTAATAGTTTTGTCTATCACTGTAGAAAAGTTTTCGGGAAAATCCCCAAAAATGTTCCGAAAAGTAATAACCTGAAATTGAGAAAAACTTAATTTATACTTATTTAAAATTGCAATGCTTGTATACGTATTTACTAATCCATATTTGGGACAGAAATTGTTGTTTCAGAATATAAAGGAGAAGAATTAAAATTAATAAACGTTCTCCGACATGAAATGGGTGCCTACTTCTGTATTGCTAGCAATGGAGTTCCTCCAGCAGTCAGCAAACGTATCATCGTTAATATACATTGTAAATAAATATGTTAAAGTATTTACAAATATTTTAATGCCCCTTATACAATTAAAAATATAATCTATTAACTTTATGTGTGTATATAAGTGGATTGTTCCATTATATTTCAACCATTTTCAGAAAATTCTGATGCATTTAGGTCCTAGGTTAATAAATTTTTAATTATACATATAATAAGGATAATTATAAGGATAATTATGATTTTTAAATATTAATAACGATTTCAATTAAAGAATTAATAATAATTAATGGATTTAAATTATACTTAGTGCCTAGGTGTTTTTGGGGTCGCTGAACACGAATCTGAAATCAGATTTGCTTTATTACAGCAAATTTTTTTTCTAATCTCAAAAAATGGCCGATTTTATGAGGCGGCAAATGAATTTTTGAAAGATTGATGGATTTACTTGAAACTTGATTCTCTAGAGGATTTGGGGTCGCTCTTTACGATTAAGCTGAACATTTTTTTTACATGCCCTTAATAATATACAATAATTTTTATCCCCGTTAAAGCGTTATTTTATCATTTACACCTTATTTTCAACCCAACTTTTTTTTTTAGATCTTGCTATTGGACATTTTTTACAGGAATGTTTGTCATAAGTCAATCTGTAGCGTCTTCAAATGGGGTCCCGGAGTGCTTAAAGATTTTCTGTTGTCTCTTTATATTAAGGCAAGTAGGCAAGTATATACATTTTACAAGGCGACGTTTCTGAATGATCCGTCAGGTTTTTTGGCCAGTCACTGTTCAGCATCGAGAAAAACTGTTAAGTACTGGGTAGTTCAGACTTGACTACGTGTGATGATAAATTTTTCTATTGTAGTACTCTTTTATTAACTAAATATTACTTAATGTTAAATAACCACACAGCATTAAGAATTTCCTGAATATTTCCATAAATAGACTTTGACAATAAGAACTTTGGAATGAAATGTAATGGAATGATCCGTAAAGTAAACGTCCCAGTATCTGACCACCTTATAAGATTGGTCGGCTTGGTGGAAAACCCTACTATTTCAAACAAGTGTTGTAAACCATTTTGATTCAAAACAAGGCTTATATAAAAACCTAATAAAATTGGATTTGAACTGTGCACAATACTAGTGGAAAACTTTTAGGACGTACCAATTTTAAGGTGGCCACCTTTTGTGACGTTTACCTTATCAATATAAATAATAATTTTTATTCATGAATTTCGCATTTTTTTTAGTTCCTCCAATAATCCATGTGCCTAATCAACTAGTTGGGGCTCCACTAGGGACAGATGTAGATTTGGAATGTTTTGTCGAAGCATCACCCAAAGCGATAAATTATTGGGTTAAAGAGACGGGTAAGAATGATACTAATTATAAAAAAATAGTGAATCGATATTTCACATTATATTGCAAAAGTTTTGTCCATATTTCTCCAGATAGCACGATATTTTTTAGATGCTCTTCTGAACAAAATTTGAAAGTTATTATTTATTTATTTATGTAATAAATAATCAAATTATTTTCTTCTTATTTCAAGGGTCAATGATTATTTCTAACTCAAGACATGATGTTCAAACAACCATTAAATCACCATTTGAAGTTCGTATGAAACTAACAATCCGAAATTTACAAAGGCAAGACGTAGGCTCTTATCGTTGTGCAGCGAAGAATTCTTTGGGAGAGATGGAGAGTAATATCCGTTTATATGGTGCGTTTGAAAGTTTGTATAATACATTTCAAAAAGTTTGAAAATCATTTGATAAGTATTTTTTGTTATATTATATTCCTTTCCAGAACAGGACTTAAAATGCGAAAAAACCTTACGAAATAAATGTGTTTGTAAAATTAAATTTTAACTTAATAAAAATAAATATTACTTTTGCAGAAATTTCGGGACCCTCGAGAACTCAGACGGTACTTCTTCCTGCTCTTTCTGATGAAAACCAAGATGAAGAGGATGTTAGTGTTATTATTGTTGGTGCAAATAATATAGAAAAAAAGGAAAATAAACCAGTAGACAATACAGTTCATGGTCACATAGGATACCCAACAGCTTCCATAATACCACCTACCACTAAGTTAAATAAAAAACATTTCTCTAATCCTAAAATTTCATCATCGAGGGGCAACAAATTACAATCCAGTAACAGTATTTTTAAGGTGCTAATAATTGTGCTTGCAAACCTCAAATGGCAACAATAAGCAATCGGAGCATTTAATGTATTATATATATATTATAAACGGCTTGACGATTCATTAAAGAATTCTGTTATATGCACTATCAAATAAAATATACCTCAAAAAAGCAAGGAAGAAAAAGGAGTCTATATATAAGATTTTTATCAACAAAAATGTTAAGGGTTGTAAAATTTCTTTTACAAAATCTATAAACAAAATCATAAAGATATACACAAAGAAATGATGTTTTATGTAATATTATGAAATATATGTATAATAATATTACATCCGTTTACTTTTATTTTATATAATAGTCATATGTAAAAATTCAAAATTTTTACATAAGCAAAATTTACTTGAAGGGCATCACTAAGACGAGACAAACAATGCGAGTCGACTCCTTTGGTAAACAATTTTAACATAATAATAGTAATTATGAATAAACTAAAGGTATGTAGACCTGATTCGTGATAATCCTTAACTGTTTTATTTTTACTATTTTACTACTTTATACTTAATAAATTCAGAAATATACTTGAGGGTGACGAGAAATTTGCTAATTCATATGAAACTAGAAACAAAAATATATAATTGAAATTTCTTTAATCATATTAATCTTCTAGATATGGAATTTATTGTGAAAATGAAATTGAAATGACACTATTTTATTCAGCCAAACCATTCTTCGAAAGAAGAATGTTAATTAACAGCCACTCAAACTCGATATGCAAGACTCCCTCTGAAGATAACAGCTTCAACAGCAATAGTACGATTCACCTTACTATAGGAGTAAATGAGCATCCTGTCTGAGTAAGAATCCGATGACGTCTACTATACAGTTGTGTTTTCGGTGTTGTTGTTATCTCACTGTGTTCTTTGGTAATTGTCCTTGTAGTTCAGAAGCCTAGTGCCTTGTTATCTGTTGCCATTCTCTTTAACAAGAATAGTACAAAATATTACTAGAGATTCAATTTTTCGTCATTCCACATAAACATATAAGATATGAAACATATTTCACTTTCTTTTCTGCAAAGCACTGTTAAAATGATTATGCCACGTTAAGAAACTGTAATAACTTTATGCGGCAGTTAAGTTACATGCATGAAAGATTTGATTCGAATTAGTTTCTTTAACATTAGTATCAGCAGCTTCAGAATAGAATCACGCTCTACTCTAACGTCTTAAAAGATTTCCTTAGGGGTTTGCAATGCCATTCACGGAGTAACTTTACGTGTTCTTTTCAGTCTAATCAAACTCCCTCAATAACTTTGAAAAGAAGAAGTGGGCAAAACGAAAGATTCATAGAGTAATTAGTCATAATGTCAAGAAAAACTGTTAAATTCAACATCAACAAATTCTGCTAATTATTCACAATAATGAAATATGTAAAATGTAAAGTAAAAGATGATTTATCATCTCATTTTTTAAGAACCAATCCTGCAACAGAGATTTTGCCATAAAGAAAGAATAGTAAAAAGACAAGGTCTAACGCGTAATGGCTTACGTGCAGGTTCACATAGAAGTAAACAACTCCGGCGCGCATTACTTTACGAGCAGGGTAAGACGTGTTCCATTTCGTCGTTAATGTGACATGGAGAGCATGTATTTCTGTCAAAGTAAAAGGTCAGTTATTTACACCTCCCAATGTACCATCGGAGAAGCTAAGAACTACAATTTTTCTTATTTCATAAAATTATTTTTAAATTATTTTCATTTTAATAAATATCTACTCTATGGGTGAATTCACATGGAGGCGTAAAAGCGTCGACGTGAAACGAAAACCATGAAAGTAATAAAGATAATGATATCTCCCCATCTCTTTTACTCACATGGTTTCCGCCGACGCCTTTACGCTGACATTGGACGGCACCTTATGAACTTATAATTTTCCCTAATCTGTTTCCTCAGTTTAACTTAATTTTCAAAAAATGTATTTCTAATTGTACCAAACCAAATAATCGTTGCTTTTTATTAATATGCGATTACCTTGTTATGCTTACTTTGTTCTTCTCCTAGAATGACCTTGTGTCTATTGAACATTTTTGACTCTTATTTATTTGTTCTGATGGACTTTTAAAAGATACCGATACACTGATACTCTGCTACTAATCTGCTTCATGGTTAGTGCTATACCCTTTTAATAGCATTTTTCTTAGCTTAGAGGCCCCAGCTTTCATGATTTTTGAAAGCCGGTGGTCCTTGATATACGTAGGACGGTAGCATTTTAAATTCTTTCTTCCAACACTGATTTATCACTAAAATAGTAAATAATTTTACAATCATAATTTTACACACGACCGAGATGAGAATATCATTGTCTTCGAGAAAATTGGATTTTTGAAACTCAAAATAATAAACGACAAGCTTATAACAATGAAGATTAGAATCGCATCATCCGTAAGACATTATAATTATAGCAATTTAAATTCAATAATTTTAGTATTTCGTTGGTAGTAGGGGAAGCGTGCAGCTGTTCTCTCAATTAGCATACTAAACTTTATCACCAACAGCCTCACAAAGACGTGCCAAGACGGCTGAACTAATTTTGAAGATAGAATAAGTTGGAAGCGCGTTCCATTCCTCACTAGGTTTAACAACGATAACTAGAACGAAGTAAGAGTATGATTATCATTTATGTGAGTTAATTTGTTTTTCAAAAATAAGAGATTTCCATCGAATTTGAGCAAAGTCTTCAACATCTTGAGAGGGATCTACAGCCTGTATGTTGTGAATATAATGTCAAGTTATATTATACAATAATTGTGTAAAACTTTATCAAAAGAAAATCTTTTGCAATATCTTCTCCACTATATGGAGAATTTTGATAAAATATGTAACAAAATTAAAAAACCTTTGATAGGAAGCCAATCGTGAATCTTGGCAATTTCCCACTGGGTATAGTGAGCACAGTAGTAGTGCAGGGAGATCTGAGGAAATCTATAGCTTTAATTGAAGTGGTTCTTCCACGTTTTTGATTAGCTTTAGAACCGAAAAGGACACTCACTGATGACAGCGCGCGAAAGGAAACTTGCGAACTAATGTAAAACAAATCACTTTGGCAACAAAGCCGGTTGATACAAAAAAAAATGTATATATATATTTTTTTTTATTTGCTATTAGCCCGCAAGTTTTTCTCATGCGCATTGTCATCAGCTGGTGCCCTTTTACAATTCTAAAGCTAATCCAAAACGTGAGGTCACTTAAACTGAACACTCACACTACAGTTACATCTCCTTAAATTATGCTGTGATAGAGAGTCTTCGATTTAAAAGTTACAAATGAGGTGTAGATTTTTAATTTATGGTGAAATAATTTATATTTTGAATAGTGGATCGGAATATTGAGAAGTTGTCAGTGAAGTTGTTAGTAAACTTGAATGCCTCGGGCGGCATTTCTGCTTAAGAGCAGAGACGTGTTGCGGACAGTTCTCCTCTACACTCCTCACCGTACAATTTCACTATCAGTCTGACACCTCCATGTGAAATTGTACAGATATTTCCGATAATACATTGAATTCTAAAATTATCCCAGAACTTCAGTTGATGTAGTTTTTAAAACAAAAATTAGCATGGTCTTAATTATAGGTACTGTAAATTATGTCAAATAATGTGAATTTATAATTATTCTTAAAATTCGAAAAATAATTATATAAATAAATCAACAAGTTTAAAAAACGTAGTCGATAATATTTTTTCAGCACGTAACTTATTGTTCTTTTATGTACTAATATATTAGTTTACGCGTATAACACCGCAATTCATCTAATTATAAGATATACATATATATTTAAGTCCACTTGTTGAACATAAATTTCACTTTCCTAAGCACTGTAAATAAATTTGCGTAAATTAAAGTAATTTCCTCATTTTTGTGTGATTAATTCTATTATGAAGAAAAAAATAAAAGTTATTAAACAAACTAAAAGTAAAAAAATGTTATAAAAATAAGATATGGATATTCAGCTATTTAAAGAGAAGTTAAATGCCTGCGCTGTATAGAAGTAGAGTGAAAACGGCATTTTTGTGATTTAGAATATTTGCAATGAAGTGCGAATTTTATGGAAGATTCCTGAGCTTGCAAATCTGACTACTTGAACCATAATTTAACTCAGAGCATCATGTCCATGACGGGTATAGTATAGGCTAGATTGGAACAACCGAAGCGCGAATAGAACTGGCATACAGCCAACCTACAAAAGCAGGATCAGTTTAGGTGACTTATTATCAACCATTTATATGGGAATCATCTATAAGAATAGTAAAATGAACAGAAGCCCTAGAGAGGTATTTCTTGAAGGTGAAAACTGACGGAGAACATGCACTGCTCAATCTAGTTTAATAAATAGCTCTCTCTTTCTCTCTACAGTAATAATTTTTTGTTAAATATTCAAATAATACATTAATTTTGATATTATATTTTTCAAAGTTTTCATTTGGATAAGTTTAAGTACACACTTGTGGAAATTATATTTTCAAGTAAAAAGTTGTAATTCAAACTTTTTCGTTTGGACCTCAATCTCGAGATTGTGGATGACATAAAAGTTTCAACAATGTTTTGTTTTATCAGATTAGACAAGCTTTATGAAAAGTTTTGATTTCCCTCAATTGTGGAGCAATAAAGAAATAAATAAATAAAAAAATAATAAATAAATGGATTCTTCCTTCAGAACGTCTTTCAGTAATACTATTTCCATTGTATGTATGCCTATAGAGTTGTGTTCAATGACGGTACAACGCTGCACCGTATCTTATTAGAAACAAATATTCATGTCACACACTCGGCACCGGCTGGTGCCAAGTGCTTGACTCTTACCCTCCAATGCACGTGCGTGAGAAAGCAGTTATCCAAAATATTTTTTGAAACTATTACAAATTTCAAATCTTGTAAAATTATATTAAGGCAAACGTTGCAGCACTAATCAACATTTCTTTATTATTTTTAAATGTCAAGATTCCAGATTGCACTTTTATTGTAACGCGTTATAACTTTCAGCCCCTCAAATGAAAATTATATACTAACAAAAAGTGTAAACCTTTGGGTCTGGTTCCACTCTACACTAGTCATTTTGTAAATAATAATTTATTTTTGTCACTTGTCTAATAATTTAAGGACTTTTCTATGACAAAATTCCAAATTAAAAATTTATTTTAAAACCTTAATTTTATAACGTCAACGAAAAAATATGTATAAAAAATAATATAATACTGTAGATTCTTTTTTAAATTTTTCAAGTTTTCATTCGCAAGTATATACTTTCCATAGGTTGCATTTTATTTCTGAACCCCTTGGTGTATTCAGACTAGCATGAATTCCTTGCTCTACCGTCAAAGAGAGTTGACTCTGTTCTGTGATTAAAGAAAATTATGGAGTACCAAAGCCAAATAATTACAGACTATCTTGTTCTGTAGGACAGAGGCTATCTAGTTTTCCTCAATTAATTCCAAAATTCACATCGAGTTTATGTGTTAACAACTACAAATGTCCTTAACTTACAATTTAAACATGAAAATTAATTAAACTTTCAAGACGTAGGTTATTTTTCAGTTTCAAATTTATTCATCATTTTTCTAAAAAAAGGGCCGATCTGTCATTTTATTCTATACGAAATATTACTTAAAGAACAAGTGTTTAATCAATATGTATCGACAATTCTCGATAATTTTCATTCTTTCAATCTTAATAATAAAAAATCACAACTAATGAACACGAGAAATGTCTGAATATATATAAAATATAAATACAATGAACAAAATTTGGCCGAGAAATTCAACTACCGTTTGATAGTCGACTGGTAAATTAATTACTTTTATAGTTAGTTTAACTCTCTGTGTGTAATTAATTTAACTATTTTTTACGGAGTTAACAATTAATAGTTGATTTTACTAAAAAATGTAGTTAAATCAATAAATTACAAAATTTTATTCTACCAACTTCATTCTTAGTTCTTTTACCTACTTTCTCATAGTCAATGCAACTTTTTAACTTCAGTTTGAAGACCTATTGCACTAGGCAGAGTAGTTACAAAGTAGTCAAATCTACTAGTTTTTTTGAGTACTTATTATTATATTTTGTTAAGGTAATTTTTTTACATTTTAAGTAAAAATAATAAAAATGTATACTTTTAAATGATTTTACTAATATTATTACTATAAATACTATATACACAATGGTGCAGGAATCTTTCATTCCAAGCTTGCAGCAACCTTTCATGGCAACCTTGTATAGAGGTGGCACATTTTGCTACTTGCTGAAAACTTACCGCACAAGCTTGGCAACCTGTCACTGTAATCATTTTGTAAGCTTATCGCTAGATTTTGTGCTGTCTGGGATGATATTTGTACCCATTTTTTTGTCTTCGAAAATCTCACACTGAATTTCTCATGTAAAGAAAATGAGCATACATTTAGAATGACCTGCTGAAATTCTCGCCAGTAATTTTGACTTGAAAGTTGGAAGACATAAGGTGGAGAAAGAGAGTCTTAGTGAATCATGAATTCCTTCATTTCAACGTGCAGATGTTCGATGAGCGATATTTCACGTGGCCATTATGCTCCAGGGGTATAATACCGCACAATTACTGAGATCTCAAGTTCGCGAAAGAAAGGAAATAAAATCAGCATAAAGCGAGCTTCCAAATGGCGCCAGCAGACCTTAATGAAAGTACTGGTGCGGGACGGAATGCATGGACCCTTAAATTAATTCGCGATGAATTACGTCTGCACCAGCTGTTAAGGCAGTTGTGTTTATTTATGAAGGAAGTGAGATCTCCTTCATAGTATTTAAGGAAGAATTTATTCTTAATCTTTTCTCTTAACCAGAACGCAAACAAAATGCTATTCATAAGTGTATATTATGAATTATGTAAAGCTTATAGTATTGGAAATTTTGTAATTACTGTCGTTTTATATACATACAAATGTACACATACGACTTAAATTCTTAATTTTAAGCACCACTCTATCTTTGCGAATTTAGCTAAAGTCTTAACCCAGAAATTGCAAACGTATGTACAGACATTTCAAATTATATGTAATTGATTTTTTTTTCTATATTTGTTAGATTTCTCAAATTTCCCTGACCCAAATATTTTTCGCTGACTGCCCTGAATTGTGGCTATCTTGTAGATGGAAAATAAGTATATTATTATATAATAAAAAAAAATTTGTTTTTAAAAATTCGTAAAAAATATAAGTTTTTATTTAAAATTAAAATTTATTTTAGATTACAATTTATATTTTCTACTCCACATGTGTTTTAGAAAGTAAATTTTTAACCGAATACTGATAGAGAGCTGCATTCACACTTTTTAGATTTTCAATTTCTTTCAAAGCTGCTTTCAATTTATCAGAATCGTCTTCTGATGAAGAAACAGCAAAAGTTTTGTTGCTGAAATACAAATCTGGATTTAACAATCTAGAAATATTGTCATTCTTCAAAACGACTTGCAAATGTTGACTACTGTCGTCACTTGACCTTTGCAGAGGTCGCACATTAATAACCGGTTTGAGAGTACTTGTCCGAAAATTCTCTAGAGATTTTGCGAAGAAAGCCGATACAATAGGTCCTTTATGTTTTATAGTCTTGATAATTTCACGCGCAGGAATATCCCAAATATGTACAAGACCATCTGTTCCTCCAGAAACGAGAGTTTTACAGTCAACTGAAACTGACAAAGTCACTACACCTCCATCATGAGCATTAATTATAGAGTTTTCATTATCTTGATCCGTAGAAGCAAAACGTTCAATGCTACGAGGTGGATCATGCAGATTGACTTGGAGTATTTTACCGTTTGCAGTACCAATAAACAATCGAGTTTCAATTATGTCCATAGTTACTGACAAGAGAGGAGCGTCACAAGGAACATTCAAAAGAACTTTACCAATACAGGCATCAAATATTTTTGCTGTACAATCAGCAGACACAGAACATAATCGTCCTCTCAAACCAAATTTACCAAAGTAAAGATCTTTTATTGCTCTCGAGTGAACTGTGAAAGATTGTACAGGATTCGTTTGTCCCGTTGCAACTTGTGCAAGAGACCATATAAAAATTAAACCATCTTCTCCGCCACTTGCAAAAAGAGTTCCGTCTGAGTTGAACACCAGACAAGTTACAGATTGAAAATGTTCGGCTAATGTTGCAAGCAACCTACCTGTGCAAATTTGCCAAACAGAAATCTTATCCTTCAAGCCTGCTACAATGTAGGAACCATTGGGGGTAGAAGCTAAAGCAGTAATTTTAGTAGGAGTTGAAAGATGAAGATTAGGAACTGGGTTTTGACTATTCAAAGGCCATAGATGAAGTAATGGCTTTACTGCGTCAGCTGCCAATAAATAACTGTCTCCAAGAAGTTGCAGTGTGTGAAAGCCAAGAGCTGATGCATGTTTGTATGTTGAAAGGAGTGACGCTGTTGATGGATCCCAAACGGCTGCACTATAACTTTCTCCAGTACTGTCACTTGTTATAATAACTTCCTTTGTACCCCTCATTTTTTATGGTGAAACTGAAAAATTATTGAATATAATACGTTATATTATTTTATTCTCTGTATTCCACAGGGTTTGAAATCGAAAAGTAAGGTTCAGAACAACCAAGAGTCAACAATTCTCAACCGTTTTTGGATTTCTTTTTTAAAAATAATATGTATTAAATTTATAAAAGATCTGTCGAGCCTGATTTTCAATTGTTTATGGATATTTACTTAAATTTACTTCTATACATTTCTGTAAAGTAAAATAATGCTTAGGTCAATTATCCAAGCGGCACGAAAACTTACACCAGACTTGCAGGAAGCTTGCCATAAGAGGACATTTTGTTACACTGAAAAAAGGGTTTGGTATTGACAACCAAACGTTTGGTTGGTATTTAAGCAACCAATTTTTTTTTATTGAATCAACAAAATTTTGGTTGTCCCAATCAAACTTTAGTAAGGACAACAAAAATCCTTTTTTTCTAATTTTGGTTGTGTCAAACAAATTTTGATTGAGACAATTAAAATTTTGTTGATTCAACAAAAAAATTTTGGTTGCTTAAATACCAACCAAACGTTTGGTTGTCAATACCAAACTTGCACCAAAATAGATACATGTTTAAACTGCAATATTGCACGACAAGCTTCCTACAAGTTTATTGCAAACTTTTGTACTGCTTGGGTAGTAAATTGTTATAAACAAAAAGTCAACTTAAAATATATATATATGAATAAATTCATCTTAAGGTTAGGAATACAATTTCATTATAATATATATATATATATATATATATATACTCTCTAAATCTGAATTAGTAAAAATGTTTACTAATTTAAATTAGTGAACATTTTTACTAATTCAGATTTAGAGAGTATATGTAAGCTTTTCATTGCCATTTTAAAAAAAAATTTTTGATAAAAAGACAATAAACAAAATTTTTTTAGGTAATTTCAAAATCTTTGTATCTATTTTGAGATTTTTGTGTCATAAATAAGCTTGCCAAATTCGATTAAAATTCGTTAAAATATTTTTAAGTTTACGTGTTTACGAAAGCCGGCATTCACACACACACACACACACACACACACATATCCACACATATGATCAGGAAATTATATGACCCATTTCTATATAAAGGATAGTTTGTTTAATGCATTTTTAAAAGAATTTAAATTTGAATGACTACAAAGCTTCCTCCACGAAAAAGCAACATGAAATATAAGACACCAATATTGAGAAAAAACAATTTTTTAAAAGGATTTTTGAAATATTACTGAAAAACTACTTACATGTTTAGAATTTATAAGAGGATGCATGTGAATGGAAGCAGAAAGTTTTTTCGGTAATTTCGTCATGAACGTTATAATCAAGAAGAGTAGAGGCAAGAGGAAAAACTTGACTGTTTGATCATAGAGAGTAGTGAGTCAAATAGTGATGTGTGCAGTGTGGATCGCAGCATGATAACGTAGGTCACTGTAGCGTTTCTCTCTTGCGTAGAGCGAGAAGAAAAGAGACTAACTTTTCTCTCGCACATAGAATGAGACAGAACTAGTTGCGCGCGATTTTACGGATTACGTTTTCTTCTTCTTCTTCTTCTTCTTTAGTTGTGGCTAAACGGATTACCTTTATTTGTACAGTTGTGTACTATTTCTCTCCGTGTACACAGTAAAAAGAAAGTCTAATTTTAAGACAGAAAAGGTGTCTTATTTTAAAAGATAACATTTTTAAGACTGCCCTTGCTGAATCTAAGCAATGGATTTACATGCAATTTGAATTGAAATACATTATGGCTAGTACTGCTGAATAATTTAAGACTCATCTTAAAATAAGATTTACTTTTTACAGTGTAAAGAATAGATTTTTAAGGTAGCTTATACATGCCTTCTTCTTCTTCTTCTTCTTCTCTATGAAAATGCATCGCTCGACGAAAACCAAGAAGGTATATGTTAGCACCTTTAAACGGGAACGCAATCGTAGGTAGGAAGAATAAGTTAGAGAAGGATATCATATATCTTTGTCATTCTCTAACTTATTCTTCCGTTTAGGCTGCAGTCCCATGACAGCGCTTCTCGTTACGTTTTCTAACTAGGCCATGAGTGTAAACATAGCAAACATATATCTGAATCTCTTTTACACTCATGATCAACTCTGTAAATGTGAATTAGTTACTTTTGACTAATTGAAGTGCACCGATTCGTTCATAAAATGAATTAGTAACTACTTTGACTAAATTTTTAGTGAAAAATGACTAATTGTTAGTAAAAAACTACTAATTCATTTATTAAAGTTTACTAATTGAAATAGTAACCTTACTAAATGAATTAGTAACCTTACTAAATGAATTAGTAGTTTTCTACTATCAATTAGCCATATTTGACAAAAAATTTATCAAACGATTACTAATTCATTTAATGAACGAATAGGCGCAGTTCAATAAGATTTAGAGAGAAGTGACAAAACGCTGAGATGGGACTGATGCAGCCTTACGATTGCGAATGCCTTCCCGTTTAAGAATTTATTAAAAACTTTTTTCCTCTTCTATCTAAGGAATATAGCATAAGACCCTTTTCGTCTTAGAATTTAACGCAATCATCTTCTCTCTTTTGTCCATGAAAATAACATAAGAATGTCTTGCTCTTGCCTAATTTGCATATCTACTTAGTAAAGATTCTGCTTTGGCCTTTAGATGTAAAAATAATGCTTATATATTTCAACATAACCTAAAAATTTTGTTATAGATATTTTATCATATGAAAAATACAATAGATAAAAAAATTATCATGTATACTTCTAAAAATAAAAGAATTTCATGATTTAATCGAAATCTGTATACATATTATATGCATATAACTTTCATTCAACACTAAACTTTCTCTATTTATCTTATAATAAATTACACAAATACCTTACATATTGCACTGTAATGTTTGAATCCATGAATAAATATATTTGAATGGATATGTATTAATATATTTAATAAATAATTTAATTTCAATTTTTAAAAACCATTCAAGTGACAAAAATTGATTCACCATGTTGCTAACAGACCTATCATGACCTAACCCAAACTTAACTATGCTATACTTTCAAAATAACATTTCTTATTTCTATATTGAATTATGTATACATACCAATATTTGGTACTTTTACAGATTTTTATACAAATATTAATCGCCGATGCATAGCATGCACACTTATAAAAAACAAAACATACAGTGGAAAGGAATAATTAATAATTATTTGTGAATTTATCATTTTAAAGTAAAAAGTACTTTTCATAAAATGACAAAAACTGAGACTATTAGTCTTATGAAAAAGGTAATGAATTTAATTATATTTTATAATTATTATACATTATATTTATAATTTAAGCATAACTGCTTAAAATATAAATATAAAACAATATCACTACAAGCACACGTTCACACTGTAAAAAAGGGATCGAATTTCACAGTTCAAATAGTAAAGTCACACAATTTTGTGACGAATTTCGTTAAAAAATTGTGTAAGATTACAATATTTAGTATGGTAATAGTAACCCAGTGGGCACGGGTTGTCTGTCCAAAGAACGTCTTAAAGACATCCAATGCTCCCGTGCTCACTGGGAATGGTTTTGAGGTTAGAAATACACAATCGTGTAAATTTACACACTGAGTGGAGCGACGTGGGAGCGACTTTAAATCACAATGTACTTAAATGTCCAATTACTATTGTAAATTTACTGCTCTGAATGTGGGTTTTTTTCCTCGCATCTATAACATGAGATTTTTATTTTTCTCCAAAATAAGAGGAAAAAAATTATACTACCCAGATAGCACAATTTCTTACGTGGTTTCGTGTAAGATTGAACAGTTCCGCCTCACAATAACCTTGTAATATTTTCTCAATATTCCAGCGCAATATTGCCTTAGACGTTACGTGCGAGGTTGTTGTTAAGGGGAACTATTCAATCTTGCACGAACCTTGCCTGAATATTACAATGTAATATTACCAAACTTACCATGTTAGAAATTGTGCTATCTCGGTATGTTCAAGGTGCACTACAATTCTGTAGAACAAAATAAACATCTTAGACTACTATCAAATAAAATTTAACATAAATGAAATATGAAACGAAAGAATGAAATATTACTGTTTTTATTATATTATTACTTTTTTTGCAGATACAGCAATGTGAAGAGATTTTAAAAGACTTTTGGGACCGTGTTGATAAAATGCAAAAAAAGCTAAATAGTAGATTATTAACAATAGAAGATCGTGAGAGATTAGAACTTGAATTAGAAAAACTACAAGAAGTTTTGAAAAAGAATGAAGATATTCTAAAAAAACTACGTCGCAAAAATAGTCAATCTTTCATGGTTGCTGCAAGTTTAATATTCATTTGTTTTCTCTTATTTGGAATTTATTCTATGTTTTTTGGAAAGATTTAAGCATTTATATTATAATATAATCAAATAAATTTTTTATATGAATTTATAGGTACTGATTAATAAAATATATAGGATACTTATTTTTTACCAATACTTCTTTGACAAATTCAATATTTTTTAATGGAATTTTTTATGCGAAAGGTTGATAGCTTTATCAATATAAGATATATAATTTAGAGTTTGAAATGTTAAATGTGAGATCAATAAATTTAAAATGAATACCTGTGAATGCATACAAAGGTAAATCAGAATACATATCGGCTAACGGTAAAATGTAACAAAATTTTCATATTTTCACCGTCAATAGATATGCACTTTCATTCAATTTATACTCCTAAAGATTTTTACATGTAATATTAAGTTACCTTTAAAAATAAATTAAAATACTGAAAGAAAACATAACAAATATATAACCATGATATAATTGTGTTTTCTAAAATGCAATTAATAACGATAACTGGTTGCTTGAATGCCACTAAGATTTTGATTCTATATTGGTTGAATTAGTCACCTATGTCTGATATATCATTAAAATTTAACTGATTTAAGCTAACCCACACAGCACCGAAAATTTACTGTACATTTTTAAATCTTCAAGTTCAAATTTCGGAATTTTTAGTTTAGAGATTTAGTAAAGGTTGTATAAATATTAAAATGTCCGCCCTGATTAAATGTTTGGTGCGAAAGTTCACTTAACATTTAAATCAAAGCTTCATTAAATGTTGAGTAAACTTTCGCACCAATCATTTAATGAGGGCGGACTTTTTAATATTTATACAACCTTTACTAAACCTCACAACTCAACGTTCCAAAGTTTGCACTTAAAGTTGTATAAATGTGCAGTAAATTTTTCGGTGCTGTGTGGGAAGAGAGTATAAGATAAAATAATAAGTTTGTTTGAAATAAAAAGAATAATTGATTACGTTTTTGGTAAAGAGCCACAATTGCAGGTGAGTACATTGAACGGCGATAGAAGCCATCCGCCCCTGATTTAGATTCTTTCTCGCTTTCCTGACGCTTTTAGCTCAGTTTCGGCTGAGAGGCAGATCTTTGGGTCGAGTTGTTCAGGTTAAAAGGGTGTGTGAATCGCTCTCGTATTCACGATTGTCAAACATCTTAAAGAAGATCTTGAAAAGAAATATCAGTTAAACTCGGTCCAGAGAGATCGAACGCTTAAAGTAGCAGTGAGTGAGAAGGGGATGGAAAACGAGCAAAGAGGTCGTGCATTCCGAGCATCCTCCACCTCCAGCCTCGGTCGCGAGGTTCGATGTGGTTGTCAGTTTTACCAGAGTGATTCTCTCCTCCCTGAACGTTCCACTCTCGTAGGCAGGCCACCATCGAGGTCGATGATGCATTCCCCATCGGCTCATGTGCGGGTATACCATCCATGGTGAGTTGTTTTTGTGTCTTATTATTGCTCAGCATCGCAACAATTTACATATTTAAATCATCTGTGTGTATGCAAAATTCTGCTGCTCTCATTTCCCTCCTCATTTCTTACTCAGCTATATCCATACTTCATGTTGGTGTTTATATATCGCGTCTATTTTGAGATTGCTCGACTGGCTATAGATAGAATCAGCACCCAGCTATAGAGCGTAGTTCTGCACTATGTTAGCCGAGAGCTGATTTTATCTTTTCATGTCGATGCCGAGCGCGCATGTCCATCTCAGTACCGAGAACAAATTCTGGTGCGTGTACCCGAGATGTGTTGCATACTGACGATAATATATTTTAGTCGCGCTTCTGCACCCCCGACGATGGAGCACGTTTTGGGGTCAATCAAACCATCGTGTCCTTGAAATAGATTCTAATGTATCAAACTGCTACTGGAGAATCGTATTTGTTTTAATAGAATTCAGAGCTTCATTTAATGTTCAATGATTATTGATTTACTTAATAAGAAATAATTAGTGATAAAGTAACTCCTAATTTTCCAGCTGATTTACAATAAAGTGAAAAAAATATTTTAAAATGTCTTCCCTCAGCAGTGAGCACGAGTATGAACCAATTGCATCTCCACCTCCACCGCCACCACCGCCGGTAGTAAGCATGGTAGCACCGGTGGTTCGAATAACGGACACGGATATTATGCCTGTAGCAGACAGTGATGATAGTATTGACGACCGAGGACGATTCAACTTAAGGTTGGCCCTCGATGGCGATATAATTGTGCCCCTTGATGGCAAGATTGAAGACAATGCAATGGCAGGACGTGAACTTGGTGAAACTATTGACACTTCCGACGAAATGGAAAGTGAACAGCTTCAAGAAAAATTGGACGATAATTTCCCGAAAATGCCAGATCCTAATTTGGAACTAAAGGTTCAGGAAGAGACTATACCTCCTCAGGTAAATCTTTTAATCCTCCAGGTAATTTAACTAATATTACCTTGGCTTGTAAAAAGAAGCTTATGAGGCATTTTACGTGTAATATCCTGAGTTAAAAAATTGATTTCTCCAAAAAAAGTGAAACTTGGGGAAATTGTTGTCCTACCTGATAGTAAATATATATAATAAAAAAATTTTTGACTTTTTTCAAATTTTGGGGGAGATAGAGGGTTTTCCCTGACACCGCCTACTATTTTAATTTTTTTCTGTCTATAAATGCAATAAAAAAAATTTTGGCAAGTATGTTTTTTAAATGTTTTTTCATGCTCTTTCCAATGGTGAATTTCGTTTTTAAAAATTTTTCAATTTTGACCTTGATTTTTTTTTGAAAACAAAAAAAATCGGCATTCTGAAAAAAAAAGAAAAAGACCTTTAAAAAACATACTTGCCAAAATTTTTTTTATTGCATTTATAGACAGAAAAAATTTAAATAGTAGACGGTGTCAGGGAAAACTGATAAAATTGACCCACCTCTATCTCCCCCAAAATTTCAAAAAAGTCAAAAATTTTTTTGGGGATATTTCACTATCAGGTAGGACAACAATTTCCTCAAGTTTCACTTTTTTTCGAAAAATCAATTTTTTAACTCAAGACATTACACGTAAAATGCCTCTTATGTGCTTTATTAATATTTATTTTTAAAGCGTTGTTTCCCATTATATATTTTCATAGCCAATTTAAAAACGCCAAATTAAATACACTCAAAAAATATAATAATATATTATTTCAAAGTTAGCAGCAAACTTAAGGTAAATAAACAATTGTTATCCGGTAGTTAGTTTGGAATAACAAATTCGATAACAGCTTGTAAAACATATTTACAGAAAATTTCTTGAATATGTGTCAACACATATCAAAGAATCTTTGCAAGAAACTTCAGCTATAGCTATATCTAATGACATAGAAAACATCAGTTTTCTGCGTCAGCGCATCAGTTTTAATTTTATTACGCAAACTTTCTATCGAATTACATCTTTCTACTTTTCGCAACATTATTGTAAATCTCGAGATAAGATTATTACTCTTCGAAGTAGAATTTTTTTATTTCAATAAAAATAATACCAAAGGAATAGGTACTTTATTCGTACTTCATCGTACTTCACTTGTACTTCACTCGTACTTGATCGTAAATAAACGATGATGAGATTATATGCACTTCTTTCTATGGTATATAATCTGTTGGTAAAATATCTGTTTATTTATTAGCAACTCATGTAATATCTATATTTCTTTATAAAGGAAAATTTACTAAATATCTTTTTAAATAGTTGTCAAATGTACTTGACGGAAGTTTCAATTTTGATTTGTCATATATTTAAATTTAAAAAAAATTTATTAAATTTATTTATGTAACAATCATTTATTATTTCAGGTAGTTGTGCCAGTAAAAGAAGAGTCTCAAAAGAAACAAACTAACCATGGCATACAAGAAAAACTACGCAATCAAGCTGACAAGCTAAGTTCTCGCCTTAAAGGTTTTCAACGGCCTAGTTTCACTATTCCTGCACGTTGCAAGTTCAATAAAAAGAAAGCTTCACCAATATCTGTTTTAGAAAATCAAAAACCTAAAAAAGCAAATAGATTGGAACGATTTAAAATATCACTACCCGAACGGCCACGTTTTCAATTTCCTGGCATGTCAAAATTGAGCTTAAAAAAACATTCAAAGCTTAATATTAAACGTTCTAAAATAAAACGCACTCCCTCTAAACAGGAGCAACAAAAACAAGATTCAACAAAATCAACATACGGATCGCACAAGAATATTTTTTCACATTTTTCAAGTTGTCAAAAAATTTTTGATTGGAAAGCAAAAAATAAAAGTGAATACGCGACGTCTTCACCGAAAGAGACACGTGCTCATGCTGTCGAAAGTTTCACTTATCCACGTACCAAGAATACTCTCAAAGATCGAGGGAACCAAGGATTTAAAGACAATAAATTGTTAGATGAGGAAATGGCTGAAGAAAGGGTCGCAATAGAGAGAAGTCGACCATGGAGGCACGCTTCTCTGGAAGAACCGCGATTGGCATTCAGAATACAAGCATCAGAATCTCAAGAAGAATCGGAAAATCTACCCTGGGAAGTTGAACATAAAACATTTGTATATCAAGAAGAACTACAATTCGTTGATTATGAAGAAGATTTCCAAGAACCATCTTGTCAAATAGAAGATGCGGAAACAGAAAAAGATGATGAAGAAGAAACAAAATTAAGGATTATAAGATTGAAACAAATTAAAGATTTCGACAACAACGGCAATAATGATTTTGGAGATTCTAATCCTTCATTGAACTTTAATCAGATCGAAATCAGAAATATGTCTTATGAAGAAAACTCTCCAGGTCCTTCTAATGCTGAACAACAATCTAGTGGAAGTTCCTGTGAAAAGCGTTGTCAAGGTATCATTCAAGATACAGATTCAGACAATTTTTCATTTCGTGAAGGTGATAGTCATGATGATATTTTTGTGCAAAAGTATCTTGCGAAAAATTTACAACTTGATGAAAATACATACATAAATTCACTTACCGACGTTGGAGTGCCTCCTGTACCTCCTCAACGACCAAATCGCACGAAATCGTTGAGAAAGAGAAACGATAAATTTTTAAAGTCACTTAATTATTCACAGCCTATGGATGAGAGAAACGAAAAAATACATTGCAGTGATGTTTCATTAGACCATCTGAATAGAACGGATAGCTTTTCTAATTCTTCTCACAGAATAGTTTATCGAGCGGAAACTGTATCTCGTGAACAATCTCCAATAGAGTATTTAGATGATATCATTATCTTAAAACCCACTCGCAGAAAGTCGAAAAGTTCCTCTTGTAGCCAACCTGATGCACATATTGAGTCTACAAAGAACTTTATTGATGATACTTCAGCAAAATTGTTTTCACCAACTGTTCCTTGTCGTAGAAAACGAACTCGGAATCAGAATATAAATGGAGACATTGCTCAAGAACATGTATTAACCAATTCAATTTGTAACGGTCACAAAAATATTTTAGAAAATTCTTTAAATAATCAACTTTCATCAAATAACTCCTTTATGTTTTTACCAGTCAATGCAGAAGAGAAAGAAAATCTTTTACAAAGTATAGAAAGTGAAATTTTTCAAGTTCCACCAATACCTCCTAAAAGGAGATCTCGGTCTAGGACTGCTTCTATCATACAAGATGAAAATCATTCTTTGAATGATATTGAATCGATTCCGGGAATGTATTTTGCCGATTGTGATATTGCTCAAGACGATCTTCAAGAGCAGTTGTCTGGTTATGCTGTTATAGAGAAACGTGAGAAACAATCCAAACTTCCACCACCTAGACAACGAAGACACAAAAGTGCAACAAATCTGAGACCCACAACACCAAAGCGAACACAAAGAGCGTACAGCACTTTGGGTCCGGTAAAAAACATTTCACCTGAAATAGAAAATATAATTCAATCATCAGACGACGTTACACAATATGTTAATATCGATTCAGATGAAGAACATAAACATTTAAGAAGTGAATTTCTTAATAAGGTACAAAGTCGGCCTTTACCAGCTCCACCCAGACCACCCAGATCACACAGAATGTCAAAAAAATCCGGGGAATATTACGAACCTGAAACTGTACGTGAGAGTGGTGAAGCAGTTGCATCTACACAAACTGATCCACTATCTGATGACGAAGTAATAGAAGAAGAAATAACCCAAGCTAAACTTGTCATGACACCTTCAAGACATGGTTCTCAAATATTGATCTCAACAGAACGTATACCAACTCCAATCCCTCTGCAAACATCTCCCTCGCCTCGCATTTTTGGTGAACCACAAGAAAGTACAGATTCAATTCAACCACTAAAAATTTCAACAAAAGCTGAAGAAATAAATCAAGATCGAGATGATATTTTGAGAACAGCTTTACTTTCCGAAGAACCGTTAAGAATTAATAGCCTCGAAGTGGGGGATTTGCGAGTGGATCGTCTTACTGTTTCTCAATTGGAAGCCTTTAAAATTGCAGCTTCTGAAATCGACGCAATGGTTGTTTCAGCTTCTGAACTAACAGGGGAAGGAAGCATTAAAGAAAGTGGAATAAATCAGTCATTGCTTCAAGAATTATTAGCTATCAGAGATCATTTAGAAACTGTAGCACAATTCCAAGAAAGGCCACGTACTACAACAGAAGATGCATATACAGCCACCAATAACGAAGAAATTAATATCACATCAATCGATTCACAAGTAACGGATGATATTCTACCTAGTCCTATGCAACAAGTCGAATCCCCAGCAGAAACAGGATCAGGTAAAGTAGAAATAACGGAAACGAAAATCAATAAAGTAGTTGAGCAAATGGCGCGAGCATCCATACAATCAGAAATTTTACAAAAACAGGTTTTACAGGTCAAAAATCTGAAACCTGAGACTGAAATCGAAGCTGAGGTGGAGCGCGCAACTTCACGTGAGTCATCCGTAGATAAAGATGAGAAACTCTGTCCGAAAATAAAAAGCAGTTCAACATCGTCAACAACACCGTATGTGCATCATTTACCTAGACAAATTCCATCAGTTGTAAAATCTTTTACACCCGTAACAAACACATTAGAAATAAGACCAACTCATGGAACATCTTTGGAAATGTCATCACAACAAACAATCACTTCACACGTAAATGGAAGTGAATTTACAATTGAAACGTCTCAAATACCCCCTCAATTTTTTTCTTTAGCTTCGCCTATCTCTCAACCAGTTGAAACTGAACTCAGTCTTACGGAAACCACTCGTCAATTATTAAGGGCTATTCGTATTGTTGGGACAAGAAATTTAAGGCATTTTGTGAATTACATTGCCTCAAGGGTGGGCAGAGAAGAAGCAAGCGACAAAATTAGAGAAGTAGAATTAGTTCTGTGTGCCTTACTACTGATTGTTGCTGGATTATTAATTGTATTATTTGGAAGTCCACGCACTGTAACTCATCATCACCACTGGGATTATTTTAATCCGCCACAATAATAATCATATTTCTACTAAATCTATCAACAAAAAGTCAATTGCATGACCGAGGAGACAAATTTTAGTTGGTAGAGTATTTATATAAAGGTTTTTTTTTTAAATTAAAAAATATGCACTTATAGATTAACTTTTTTTCAGACTATACAAATTTGTTTAAACTTCCTCTTTAAATTCAACTTTATATTTTAAAAATGTTTCATTAATTGCAACAAAAAAATAATAGACTTTTATTTTGTATAAATTTTACATAACTTTCAAAGATTTGTAATTTTTTTCATATAATTATAATATTTTTAAATTGGCATCAACATATTTCGATAAAAAATCATTAAAATACACCAACTTTTTTAGAAAATATTTTTTATTATATTTAGTTCTGAATAGTATCCAAGCCTTATTTTGCTTATTTATTTCAATAATCTAATTACAAAAGTAACATTGAAAATACCTGCCAATCTTTATTTTCATGTACTTTCAAAAGAATATAATAAAATAATAGAATTTGTCACTGTAAAAATAGTATTGCTCTCAAAACAGTTAAATAAACTTGAGAAATACTTAACTTTTGTAAAATCTTCTAATATGACAAAGATTCTTTAATATCCGGTTGTCTTCCACCAAAGGCAGACGTTTAAAATTATATTATGACTAAAAATGACACGTTTCTTGATAGAATAATTATTGACTTCTGGATTATTCAACAACCAAGCAAAAATTCTAACATAGAAAATATTTGTTTTAGCAGTATCATTTTGCCTTGATGATCCAGCAAGAAATCTTCCAAGTACACCAAGACTCTAATTACTTTTATCCTAATACGATTGACGCAACGAATTATTTATCATGGAGATTGTTAGCACTGCCGTTATGAAATCAAATGGAAGGCATATCATATTGTAAAATTGAACCTTCTATAAAAGTATAGAATATTTAATATTCTTCACTTATCTTCAATAACTTTACTTTACTTAAATATGTAAAAATAAATAAGAAGCCTTTTTTGCCAAATTATGATATTACTGTTATAACAATTTTTTTAAATTTAGTTTTATCACTGGTAGGACAAAGTATTATCAACTGACGTGTCTTTATAATATGATGTAAAATTGCTACCTTCACAGTAAATTCTTTGGAAATTTTTTGGTACTGTGAGGGTAGTATAATGAAATATTAGAAGCTGTATGTAAAGTCAATAAGTTTAACGCCTAAAATTTATACGTGTTGTTTAATTTTGTAATAATTGAAATCCAATGTTTTTTTACAAAAGGGATATAGAAGATTTGCAAATAGATAAATTGATGCTTTTAAATTTTAGAATGACAATTACTTGTAACCTCTAATAAGTTCTAATAATAGATGAATCGATGCGTTTTCAAAGCGTCTATAGATTAGTTAAAATATATTAAAATCTACATGAAAATTTAATACCAAAAGAACCACAAAAATAATTTTTTACAAAATTTTAATTTTTCAAATATTAATAAATCTGAATAGCATAACAGCAGAATGTTCACTAATAAATGAAAAAAATGCGTCTTAAAAAACTACAAAATGAAAGAAAAATATCTTTATAGATCATTAGGCTTGATCTTTTGAAATCAAAGATATAAATGGTATCTCTAAAGCGTTTAAGGTATTCAAGATACTTATGAAAATGTAATGTATATGCATACACTTAATACACATACCGAATGGCATTTTCTAAGAATGTGATTTTTGAATTCCTGAGGTCAGAAAACATAAATATATGTCAAAAAATTAAAGTTGAAAATTTTTGGTATTGCAATACTTCCTCTATGAGGAAGCAATATAAATAATAAAAATTGAAAAGAGAACGGTTCATTATTAAAATGTAATTTCATTCCACATATATCCATTATCATAAGAATCCTTTAACTACATTTAGTTTTCTTTTCACAGAAAATTATAAGGTATTAAAATAAGCTGCAACGCTTATTATTTTAATCTAATTTTGCTTATTTTAATACCAAAATGGATTAAAATAATAAGAGTTGCAGCTTATTTTAATGCCTTTTAATTCATGTGATTTCAAAAAAATCCATTTAGAAGGACATAACGACTTCTCCCATTCATATAATAACAAAACAAGACAATTCAAGACAAGATTATTCTTATTTAAAATTTCTTTTAAAATCATTCTTATCCAACAGAATTCCTATTTAGTGGTTACTGGTGAACAAGGTAAATATTTCTTAATATTTATATTACTATTTATTATTTCGTTATTCATTAATTTAATAAATTTTTAATTTAATTAGTATTTAGTAATAAAATTTTGAATAGATAGACTCTTGATTTTACTGCTAGTTAAAAGTTTACACTTCAAAATCTATAATTTATTAGGTAAAGCGTTAAAATTCAAAATTGACTTTCAGATTAAAGTGTTTTAAAATGAGATTTAGAATTATAGATAAATTTCAGCCAGAATACAAACCCATGAATTTGCAACCATTATATCTCAAAATTAAAGAGTGCGATGCCACTCTCCACTTTAGAATTGCTTTTCGTCAAGTATTGGGGTGATACTCTCGGATAATGAGTATCGCCGTGTTTGATACATTTTCCAGCTTCTGATATTGATTTTCTACAAGCTTAACTCTATAATAGCACGTGGACTGATTTCAGACATATTTTAAGATTTGGATATATTTTTCATAGAATTTTTCTATCTGTATCTGTATAAAAGATTCTTAAAAAGGGATAGAAAAAATAAATTTTTTTTTTGTTGAGTTTACTTATTCTAACAAATTCTGATCAGAAATGTTTTTAGTCTATTACAATCAGATCTATATAAAATTATTATTTAATATATATTTCAATTTTCCTGTAAAAAATTTAATAAAAATGGAAATTTCTTTTCAATCTATTTTTACTATTAAAGTGTATCATCGGGAAGAAGCACAATAATTCACAGAATGTAATGCATTCTCTGTTATTTATAAAAACATGGAATTTTAAAAAAATCACAACGATTTGGTATTAAAAGAGAATTAAATAATTTTATTGCAAGATATTTTCAACTCCATGTCATGTCAGTAAAGAAATTCAGAAAAGTCGAAATTGGTTTTCACCATCATGACATGGAGTTAAACAACTTATTTAAGAACGACATTTCCCATACATATTCCAAGTAAATTTATTATGAGTTTTACTAAAAATGACATGACAGCATCGCAAGCTTTTCTTAATCATTGATGTCGTGTGAAGTGGATAAAATAATTATTAAAGGAACCTAGAAAATATCGATTTTTAAAAATCTATTTTCACATATCACTCTATAATATTCCGACAGCATTTAAAGTGAATGATGCTTTGGATGTATTGTGCGGGAATTACAAGTCATTATGGATGAAAGAGTCATCGCCCAAAAAGTTAAAGCGAGACGAATTCAGGGGGCGGTTGAATGACTGACTGTGGCGTTGTGGGCGTCATATGAAGCTCCAGGTCTGTTAATGAAAATGTTGAACTTCCTGTTGCAGTAACTCTCGGACCCATATTGTCGTAAGGTGAGCCAAGTTCGGTAGATCGCAATGTTCGCCTCGGCAGTGTAGCGAAATTCGATACCTCTGTGGGTATTGAGACATTTGGTGCTACTGGTTTGTCTGTCATATGACTTATTGTACCGTGGACGGGAATGTCCAAAAGATCGGGATAGCAACGCTCCGAACCCTGAGGAAGGGACACGGAAATGAAAATGTTGCCGAATGTTCCCGCTGGGAGGAGACCTGTTGTAAATCCAGATGGCGGTGGTGGGAAAATATCCGAGCATGGCAGAGTACGTACTGCATTTGAATTGCACATTTCCGGCCTCAGCCTTTCAATTGTTACATTAGCAGAATTTATTTGTTCGCAAATGGAGCTACGTTCGATCAGTTCCAAGTCACTGGGGCTGCATGCCTCAGCTAAACTACCTTGACCACTCGTGCGCTCATTATAACTACCCGCAGTGGTTGTTGTTACTGATAAGTCGAGAAGCTTCTTTTCCTGATCTCCGAAACTCATACTGCCTTGAAGCTTCTCTTTTTGGAGTCTACTTTTGCGTCGTGATTCACCGCAGAAACAGAGAGCCAATAAAACTGCTGATATAGAAGCACAAAGTGCAACAGCTCCACCCCCAGCAAGACTCACCCAAAGGAGCCAATTATCTGTTTGAGAGAGAGTGGGTGCTGTGAACACTCGAGGAATAGCTATATTTAAAGTGGTGCTTGCTGTACCGGCTAGATTTTTAGCAGAGCATGTGTATTCACCAGCGTCAATGTCACTAGCGTTATAGACCGTGAGATTGCTCCACCTTTCGTTAATTTTAATTCCAGTGTTGACGTTCTCAACTGTATCAGATGAAATTGAAAAACTGATATAAGGTCCAAAATTAGGTTGCTCCGAACGAGTAAGATTAATGGGTCCACCGTTCAATTGCCACGATATTTCAGGTTCTGGGTCTCCTGTTGCCAGACATGAAAGACTTATGTTCCCATTGATTTCTATTTGAGTACTGCTAGCTTGAGCCACTACTTTTGGTTCGCACGCAAATTCTGTGAGATTAACATCTTCCCAACGACGTCCTTCAATTTTCCTGGGGTATTTACAGATTTGAGCCACTGAGTATAGCCTACTTCGACCTTCAGTCATGAGCCATGTTCGAAATTCACGTAACCTACAATCACATTTCCAATTATTGTTGGTAAGAGACAAAGTTTTCAGTTTTGGTAAACTGGAAACTAAAGTTACGTCGATGTATTGTAGAAGATTGTTATCCAAATTCAAAGACTCGAGTCCGTCGAGTTTCACGAAGGCTAATTTATGAATCTCCTTCAGCGAACATCTCTGAAGTTCTAAATTACGCATGTGTTTCAATGTTGGAAATTGATAACTTTTTAAAGTACCAAGTGGATTACCACTTAAGATGACTGTCTTTAATCTTTCATTACCAAAAAAAGTGTTTGGATCAAGACTGGTGATGGAATTGTCTGAAATATCGACTTCGACCAAGATTCGCATTTCTTTGAAGGCATCCGCGTGAATCTGCTGTATTTTCGCGTTACGCAAAAACACTTTTTGCAAGTTTAATAAACCTGCTCGCTTAAATAATTCTGATTCTAAGGCTGGAATTTCGTTGCCTGATAAGTCCAGCAATTGCATATCTGGGTCCAGAGAAGGAGGTAATGACGTAAGTCCAGCATCCGGACAAATGGCAGACTTTCTTCCAAAAGTCCACTTACATTTGCACACCGCAGGGCAATCTGTCCAGTCAGGAAATGCTGCAGCCTTAGATAAAGTGAAACATGTGGTTAAGAGAAAAAGGGCGAATAATATGCGCCCAAACCCTCCAAGAGGGTGATTCTGAGTTGCTAACATAACCACCGACACAGATTCGGAAACCTTATTTTGCGTTTCGCAAAATGCTATTGAGAAAATTGACAGCAGCTAGATGGACATTTTATTTTTTGTAGGCGAACGACCCACATGAAGGATCAATCAGTACCCTGTAAAAAGCAAATAATAAAGATTAATTTAATTTAATTATTAATAATTAATACTTAGTATTAATTAATACTTTACATATACTTACATTTCGTATTTTAATCGAAAATTAGCATTTGCTGATTTTCGAGGACGCCAATTTGGAATCTGAAAGAAAATATAAAAAAATTAACTTGAACATTGACAAATCAAACAGTGTTTTAAGATAAATTATTAACAATGAAAAAGAATAAATTATTTTTGAAAATTTTGATACTTTTTATAGGTTTATTTAATGAAAGTTTATTTTCAACAAAATTTCATATGGATCATTTAGTAGTTATTAGTTAGTATTAAAGATGGATATCTCCTTATATGTATAACTTATTAAACTTCTTTAAACACAATATATTTTACTTGCGGCTGGCGCTACACTGACCTTTACTACTACTACTACTATTTCATTTGATCAATTGTAAATTAGTCCGTTAATTTTATCAAGTCAATCCATTTTAGTAAAAAGTTGGACCCGTTCTACACAACACTAGTGGATGATTATAATTTTTTCAGGAAAAATATCTTTTTAATATGTTAAAATGAGTTTTAATGAGACTTTTAATGAGTTTTATATTCGAGGTAATTTTTTACAGTAAGAAAGAGAAAAAAGCTTAAGTGCCTAGGATTACATATATTATTTTAATTTCTAAAAATATCTTACCCAAATAATCCTTTTGAACATTGATAGGCACTATTTTATTTTCTGATTTTATTTTTTACTCGTAGATAATTCCATAGGCTTTTGTGAGAGATCATACTGTTAAAGTATAATCTTGTGAAACGTGCAATCGCCTTTGTCTCTTTCTGTTGAGATTCTGATCAACCATTGTAGTCACTGATATTCCTCTTGTAATCGTAAAATCATAGAGAAATAATTTCCAAATTCTGCAAAATATTTGATAGTGTTAAAATTTTTTAAAACTTATATTGGAAATTGTAAATATTAAAAAACTTATTAACAATGTTTTTATAAATCATAAAAATTACTAAAATTAAGTTTTGAAAATATTTACCGTTTTTTAAAAAATATTTATTTATGACAAATAATATATGTATTCAACGTGATGTTTAATATAAATATTAACAAAGTAATGTGCAAATAAATAACATTGAAACATAAAGCATAAATTTAGAAAATAAATACCAACAACAATAATGAATCTTTTAACATATAAAATAAAATTATTTTAATTCTACAAAATAAAGTATAAGATATGTTTGAAGAAAATTCGAATCTTAATCGTATACACTCAGAGATACAAAGGAAGATCTTCAGATGAAGATACCCAAATATATGATTTAATTTTATTCAATACTTCCATAGTTATCTAAGAAAATGAAGTATTTTCTTTTTAACTGGTTGGCCTTTAAGGACATACTAAATCCATTGGTTCTTTTCACTCACCTAATGGGGGTCACAAGGTGAATGTCCCGGACATTCGACACTTTTGTCTTTCTCTTTTTGTTTTTCTGGGTCATACACTTGAGCTTTGTTTTTTTTAAACAACTTGGCACATAATATTCAGATTCATTGGTTGCCAGTCATTACCGAGTTCCGATCTCAAATTTGAAATCCTCAAGCCTTACATTCGGTCGATCGACAATAAAGTCAGGTAAAAAATACTTGACTAAACGAGTTGCGTCACAGTAAAAGCATCTCATCGTCGCACTACCTCGAGAGCAAGCGACTCGCGCACGTTTCCCTCGGGATGGGATATGTTGGCAAATTGAAAGAAAGATTCAAAGTCTGTGAACAGCACCCTAATCCAGGCCGGGTACAGTTCCAATACACACATGTGAAATTGTTCATTAATTATAAGAATATTTCAGAAATCTTTGATAGTATCTTAACAAAATTTTGCAAATCTGTCGCAGCGTCAGAACGAAACTTGTACCCCGTGTATCTCTTCTCAGTTGCGTGAAGCTTAGTTGCTGCAGCAGCACCGTCGAATTCTGGGTAGCGTTCAATGAAATTCACCCTCTTTGCTCTTCCACCCTCAATAAGGGTTCTTCTTTCTCCTCACAATTCTCTCTCTCACTCTCCCTGTCATTTGTTGTTTCTTCCATGCACTACCACCCAGTGGGAAATTTACCATTTATCATTCGTCCTATAATGGCCCAATGGTTAACATTGGCAATTTCATAAAAAAATCAAACTAAATTGTCTCTAATAATATATTTCCGAAATTTATTCACAATATCACGCTCCTGATGTAAGGTTTCAACATTTTTTTCAATAATGAAAAATATGTACCTAAATTTAAGTCTCTAAATTAAAAAGAACAAATTGTAAACATTGATATTATATTTGTGTTTTTCAGATAGCTCGCGACATTATTCGCAGTATTTTGCAGTAAAAAAAAATCTACATGTTTTTTAATAAGAAAAAGGAAAAAAATTGTATGTTAGTTTTACTACTATACTACATTTATTGATAAAATAATTAATATTTAAAATACATACGTACCTGTCAATGTAAAAAATGAAAAAGTTTCAAACAAAATCTGAATCAAAACGTGGTTACTAACTTATGCTAAAAATATTCATTTAGTTATATAAATAAAAATAATGATTCCTGTAAATTAAATATTATTTAATTACATTGAGCTACAGAATAATTATTCACTTGATCAAAAATTAGGAAAAAAAATTAGAATCCAATAGGAAAAATTTGATTTTTCGATTGTATGGGTAGATAGACTCAATAAAGATCTATTAAACTAAACTAATTAAAGTTTTGATATTTTTTTTGGATTCGATTTATTAATTTTATTAACTTTTCCTATGCGATAATTTTTCGTCAAAAATGGTATTTGATAAATTTTTTCAATGCTTTTTTTATAGAAAATAAGCGCTTCAAAGTCAAAATAGACTTTCCTTCTTCTTGGGCGTTAATAGGCTGAAGGACCTTTATGTTCCCAAATAGCACAACATATTGCAACCATTTTGGCTTAGTATTTCTGTACAAGATTCGGAATATTGCATTGCAATAGTGAGGCTATATTGATTAAGTAGTTCACCATACAAAAACATTGTCAGGCAATAACTTAAAACAATATATAATGTGCTATTTGAGTTGTCGATGTTGTATACCAATAGATTAAGTTACATTAAAATTGTAACATCAAAATAACGGAAAATTTCTAAATTTGACTATTCATTTATGAATTACAATGAAAACTTTCAGTAATAAACTTTATTTAACCCCTAGCTGGCAATAAGATTTAAAGTTAAAAAATACCATACTCTTTAAATGTTGACAGCACAATACTTTGACTTTGTTAGTAACTAGAAAATTCCGTCAAAAATGTATTTAAAATTTCATTGTTTTGATAGTTACTTTCCATTATGTATTTTAAAATTGTTCTATAAATACATATCGACGATTAAAAGCCTAATTTTTTTATTGTGATTGAGATGGTAAATATTTTATGGCAATTGAAACCGTACATTTTGTACCACAATGCAATTAGAACAAATTTAATATTTTCAAATAAATTTTAAAATTGTTTTTTTTTTAATAAAGAATCAGATGAACTTAGACATATTTGAAAATTCTAAAATATTTTAAATTTTATTGTTTACAAAATATTTTCTTAAATAGGAATAAAAATTATAGGTAGAATATAAAGAGGATGGATCATCTGTTACCCCAGATTGCCGGATAAGGGTTAATGTGACAACGAAAAATTACAGAATAAATGGCAAAAAGGTAAAAGATGAAATAATTTTGGAACGTACGTACAAACACAGTTAAATTATAACTGTAACCGCATATAATTATATGTATGGTTAATGAAAAATGATTTTTGCGAGAGTTATTAAAATATTATTGATATAATCCAACTTTAGAAACAGAATGGAACTTTACATATTGTTCGCATTTTTTAAATAATGAAATATATTTGATATCAGTTCTTAAGGTGATGTAAAGGTAACGATGTCTGCTCAAAAATTGTGTTTATGTATGTGTCCCTTTTATATATATTTACAGATAGACCACAAAACTGCACGTTGCAGTTTTAATGAAGTCTTATTGGAACTATTTTTTTATTATAGATGTATCTGCTGTTATCATAATCGTAATCTTGGTTATACGAAGCCAACAGTGGTGTCATATCTGGATTTGTGTCCTTTAAATGCTTGGGTCAAGCTAGCTCGTTACTATCAGGAAAATGGTCACGTGCATCCAAACAAGATGCCAAATCATAGACGAATTGATGCAAATTAGGATGCTCGAGAACTTCAGCTTCCGGTAATGGTGGATGGCAACGTGGTCTCTGTTGTCTGCCACGAAATGAACGATGCAGATGCAAAACAACATCACAGAATACGTAACGTAGTAATAGAAGTCGCAAAAAGTCATCTCCGAAAAATTGTAGAACACTGGTTTCTGAAAAGTCAGACATTTTAATTAGCATTGAGAAAATGGTCGATTTCATTTTGTATTTTGCCTCTCAATTTTCTGATGATAACATCGATTCCGCTCTCTCCACTCATTTCTTGGTTACAAGGTTGCCTACTATGCTACTGTGTCATAGCACGTGATAGTGGTGAGTTCTCGGAATCACCCGAAGTCTGAGGTCAGTTCGAGGAATTTGTCATAAATAATCTATTTCTTTTGTTCGAGTCATGTTTTAATTTTCTGTCTTCGTTTTTGTATCCTACTTTATCAAGTTCAATGATGTAACGTTAAATGCAGTTTATGTTACCTCCCGAAACGGAAAATATCCGTCAATTATTGAATGGAATCGGTGGAATCATCATCATCATCTTGATCCCAAGGCAAAATGTATGCTATCTATCATCTAACTGCAAAGCGTGTCGATATTTCTTTTATTTTTATTAAACTTTTCAAAGCTGTTCGCAATGCGAGCTTATAGAAAACTTGAGAGAATTCTCGATAGTGTGTGGGTAGCATAATTTCCGTGACATAATTTGCGTGGCGTCATGAAAAAATGCAACGAAAATTACTACACGCACGCATGAGATTTTCTTCGTGTCATGAATTTTTGTAAGAGTACAGGTATTAATTATATGTATAACTTCTAAACATTATTATATTGACCTAAAATATTGTTACCCCGTGATTTGGAGGCGTTAACTGAATATTATATACACTCACAACTCTTAAAATTTTGCGGCTGAATCAGAAGCGCTCGCAATTGCTTGGAATTTCGAACTGCAGAAAACCTCACCCGAGCACAGCCAGTTTATTGACTATCGAGTTGTGAATGTATATTTGGATAGTCATCACAAAATGTGACTATCCGATCAGATTCGGAAATGTTTCCGAAACAAATTTTTAAAGTTTATATGGTACTTTTTGGTCTCACCGCATTTAGCTCGCACAACGAGTCGACTGGCCTCGATGAGAAATCGCTCTATGAAACTTTGGCAACGTTCCCAGTGATGAACAGCAAGACTTCCAACGTTGCAGATAAGGCAGAAAGCGGCGAGTGGAGCATGAAGAAATAAAGTAAAAAGACTACCACCATGACGAAGATCTCTAAGTGTTGATGGTGTGTCTTGAGGTGACATTAAAACCATCAACGGTTGACCAAAGTACCGAGGTATTTGTTGAAACACGAAGCTATTATCCGAGTCAACAACCACAAAAAGAGGTTTTCGCGTAAATGGATACAGGTCGCCTGGGTAAAGGCAGTGAGGTTCTTTTCCTCCAGTCGGCCTTTTTCCATGTTCCATTTCTCTTTTACTACTAGTCGATACCCCTCCTAGGTCGTAGCCCACTGAAATCATAAAAGAGAGTAAAAGAAGCTCAAATTCTTATGTTTTTCAAATGTTACATTAATAATATTTTTCACAGTTATTATGTTAGGCAATTCAAACGAACTGATATTTAGGGATAAAAGTAAATAAAAAAAAAGTTGACGTCACACTTTAAATGACATTTAGATCATGCATTGTGTGTTCAAATCCCCCTATACACGGAAAACATTTACACCTGAAAGTCTAGTTGCCTGTAGAATTTTATATGACCTGTACTTTTTATACACCCAATTATCTTTAGGGGTGTTGCCCTTCTGATTTTAGATCTTTGTCTTGAAAATGGCAGGTAATTCACAGAAAAATTCAGTGTAACAAAATAGTAACTTTTCTTGGATTTATTTTTATGTTTACTTTTTTCTTGTGCAATTTCTTGTGTAATTATAAAACAATACTTACTTTCTTCAGGTCGTTTAACTGTTGAGAAACACCCATCGGCGGAAAGATAAAGAAGAAGTGCCCCGTTCGCCGGCAACTCTTTAAATCCACTAGCAAGAAAGACCTGAACCTGGCTGTAGGTTGGTTTATAAAGGAGATATTTGTGTGGATTGTCACGTTTAGGTGCACCGTTTTCCATAGGGTAGTGACCAGGCCTAAATGGTAATCTTCCAGCAGGTGAGGCATCATGCAAATGATTTAAATCATCCCTGGGTTCACGCTCCAATGTTTGCAACATTCTAAACATATCCATTGATAATTCACTAAACTTGACCTGATCGGTACAATTGCCGACGATCAAAATCTCTTGTAGAGACAGGCACATGGGTGGCGATCGTTCAACTGGTGGAGACGTTCGTGGACCTAATCTATGCGAAAAAACAACTGGATTAACATCTGAATGGAGTACGCCAACAGCAGCCTCGGCTTTAACAAACGATTTTATCTCATCTAGGACTAAATTCCATTCGACTTGGTCCTCAGGCTCATAAGTACTCGTATAGTCGGCGATTTGAGCGTCAAGCTCTTGTACAAGTTCCCTCACGAGCTTCATTCTGTTTAGCAGCAAACAAACAACAATAAAACGAGCGTAGTACCTAAGCTTCTTCACCATTAAATCACTGCGATCTTCTTTCGCAGCACGACTGTAGTAGGCACGCCCTCTTATTGCTGCATAAAATGAATAAGCTTCATGTAAGTAACTTGTTTCACTTGTTCGCAAGTAGTAGTGATAATACAGCTGTCCAATTTTACTAGCAATCTCGCCTATCTGCCAACGTTTCAAGCCATACTTTGTGTCGAGTACTTGTCTATAAAATACACAACAAAATGTATTCCTCTTTTTTCAATTTATAACTTTTGACAACAATTCTCAAATTTTTACTTATTATAAGGGTTCTAATGTCAACAATTAAAACATTTTTCATTTTAATATTAGTTCATCAATAGTATCTCAGCATACACTCGGCAAAATAAGATTTCATAACACTGAATACTACTTAGTTAGTAAAATATACCCCTCCTCCTCCTCTCTTAATTTAGTTAAACTTAGTAACTTCTTAGTTAGTTGAACTACTATTTAAATAATCCCAACAAACTTAATAGTTTAAACAACTAATAAATTAATTAAACGAATTAATAAAATTTGTTGCTAACCTTAAATGATCATGGGATAAATGGTATCCCTAACTAATCTTTATTCTTCTTATATATGTAAGGCTACATATAAATAAATAAAAATATATATATACCTAACCCCACTTTAGTGGTAAAACATCATTTGCCATAAATTTTTTGTCATAAAATTCAAGATCCTTTAATTGTTTTGTCAAAAAGAGATAATGGAGAATAAATATTTATTTTATGTTACAGAGATTTTAATGAAGCTATTTTGCAATGAAGCATGAACATAATAATTGTTTTTTAAAATAACGTAATGCAAAACATTTATTTGATTACAATCATCTGCATTGTTTTAAAAAAGTTAACGCACAGTAATGATGAAGAAATATTTAATAAAAAATGCTGAATTTGATGACAAATCTTTTTGTCACATGGCTTGCAAAGAAATATTAAGTAACTTAATAATAAAATTGCTTCGTTTTTTGTGTGGCTAAAAAGAAACTTTAAGGGATAAATATGCTAAGAGTTAACTGAAAGATCTCTCTAATATCATAAAGAAAAATGATGACTTACCTATGCTGTTGCTGAAATTTCCAAAGCTTAGTGTAAATGTCAAATGTACGGCCAAAGTACGCCTGCCACTGTTTATGGCCGTACTGTGGTAAATCCCTCAGCCCATTGAAGAGTTGCTTGCTTTTTTCAAGCAGATGACAAAACTCTAAAACTACTTTCCGCTCGTGATCGTCCATGCCAGCCATCATGACCATTTTTTCAAGTAATTTAAAGAAAGATAAGCTGAGGGGATTGACAGACACCCCCTACAGCCGCGGTCTCCCGCCTGATGGCGCTCGCCTTTTCTCCATATTTTGCGCTCTGTTTCTCTCTTCTTTTCTCTTAACTGCTTTTACTACTAGAAGCTCTCTGACTCGCTTCTCTGTCTCGCTTTTGTACACGCAAGCGTTTTATATGCCTTCTAGCTTCACAAGCTTTTCAAATCAATACTGCAACTACTACCCCCTCAATTAGGAGGCGCAGCGCGTCCATGTCCTGCGAAAGAGCTGTGGAAGGTACCACTCTATCGGCAAGAATGGACAATCGATATTCTATTCTCATGATAATGAATAAAATCAATAAGCAGAAGAAGCATTTAGTACAGTTTTTTATCAAAAGATGGATGAATGATGATTTTTAACTCACTTTATTTTTATTATTTATTTACATGTTTTACAATACTCTGAGCTTTTCTATATGTATACTATATATTATTACAATTGAAGCCGCGCTTAGAAGAGGGATCTAACTCATTTTTTATCAAATTTTAACTGTTTTATGAAAAATGTTCACTTCATTTACAATATTATATAATTATTACAAGGCATATTACAATTATTATTATATAATTATTTAAATAATTTCGAAACTTGCATCGGAAATGGACAGCTTACACTCTGACGAATGATTAAATTCGTCTTTGAAATTAATTTATTTCCCGCGTGGAAAATGGCGTCTCAAGAAGGATGTATGCTAAAAATTATTACGCGGCTTTATATAGTATTAAAAAGAACTATTGCGCATTTTAAAGTTTTTAATTTTTACTAAACAAAGACATAAATGAACAAGAATATGTAGTACAATAATTAACATGTTCATTTTCTTGTATATATTAAATAAATTTTCTTGTACTTTAGCCCACAGACCACTGACAATTTAACGCAACCTACAATACCTACAAAAATTCGATGTTTTCTCCCAAACCATCTCTCTTATTTGTGAGAACGCTAATTGCAGTCAAGTGGATGAAGATCAAATGCCCAAAATTGCTTTTCATGCATATATTAAATTGTATATGATTCTCATTTCACTAAAATGGAACCAGTTTTTTATTACGTTTCATGGGTATACTCTTTTAAGGTACGGAAACCAATTTTTGACCTTTGGTCTTCATCAACCTGACGGCCATTCAGAATTATCTCCCATTCGTCATCACACCTCGTCTCCCTTCCTTTCTCGTTTTTGGAAAAGCGAGCAGGGTACTTTTTTGTAAAAACTTGAAACCAATTTTTGACGACAAGGAAAAAAATTTCAAAACGAACATAAAGAGAACTCCTGTTGTCTTTTTTACCAAAATGTTTGAATACAAAGACTCTCTTTTGTTATTAATTTTTTCTTAAGTTTATATTTGTATAATATTGCATTTGCAAGGTGCACATTTAAAAGCAATCAAGGTTTATGTAGAAACGTACATCGCAGGGTTCTATGTTCTACATATAGGACATTATATACACTTAGACTATTGTAAACCACGTGTACTAGTTGTGTGTCAGGACGAGAAAATGGAGATCCACCCTGTGCATAATCCCGCCTATAAGAAACCATAGCATGCATCTTTGGGAAAGGAGAAAATGGGGAGTTGAGCAAAGGGAGGTAGATGTCAACTTGGAGAACGAGTACGAGAGAGACATGAAGATTTGACAACATACAGAATAGGAAGGGATATACAAAGATTTAGTCTCAGTTGGCGCAGACTCTGATGCAGCCAATCGTCGAACTGCCAACAACGCTACCAAACGTGAATCTGTCGTCGCGGCTAAGTCCGCCGTTCCACGCGTTAAAGAATTTTCTTCATACGACTGATTTTCAAAAATTCTTTATTCCTATCCGTGGTTTTATTTATTGACATCTGTCAATTTTCACAATTTTTGCTGTATAACGTGTTGAACAAAAGACCTGTCAAAATCTTTTATATACATTTCTTCAGGTGCTGTTTACTTCCGGTGGTTTTAATATTTATTTCCTGACGTGACATCTGAGAACTTTACTGTTTCCCGCCTTAAATTAAACGCTTCAAAGTATTTACATTGAAAGTGGTAGGGACAATTTTATTGAAGCATTTTGATGCATTTCTTTTATTTCTTCCTTTTCATTTTTCATCATTATTTTATCTGAATCCAAAAATATAGGACTTTAATTTGGTTTTGCATTTCAAGAAAACATAAACCACTTTTGTGTTAAGAACAAGAAAAGTCCCCCTTTAACGGTGAGTAAAAATTATGAGATTGAGCTTCTTTTCATAATTTGTTAAAACAACAAACCGCAAATTTCTTCAACTTTAAGAAATCTGTTTTTTAAATAAAACAATTCATTTTTCTTCATGTAATGTACTGGCATTTTACGGAAAAGCATGAAAGACATAATTAATTTGAGCATTAGTATAAATTTTACAAATTGGGTTTATGCTTATATCTTTCTTGTAAATTTCACAATAGACAATTCATGCGTCAACAAGATCAGTACACAAATAAAGAAGAAATTAAGTCCACTTAACAATTCCAGATTGTCAATATAGAATTAACAATTTTATTTGTTATACTGAAACCTATATAGAAATGTTACATCAACTATGTTATAGAGACTATTTAAATTTCTTCAATTGCGCTAAATAGAACTGTTACGAAAAAGTTGAAATAACGAATCAAAATTGTTAGTTTCGCAATAATAATATTATTAGGTTTGTTAAAATAACATGTTGCTTTAACAAATCGGTGGATCTAATTTTAAAATTCTCACTTTAAATGTATTTGTAAAAATAATAAAATTGATTTAAAATTTAATAAAAAAATTATTAAAACGTTTTGCAGTAACAAAAATTATGAGTGACATTAAGTTTAGTATCACAATGTAATAAAAAAACTAAATTATTTTAATTACACTAATTTTCACTTCCCAATAAGACAAAAGAAGAAAATTATTATAATCACATAATTAGATGTTTTGAATGAGTCTTCTGAACGAATTGGAAATTGGAACCATAAATACAAGAAGTTGTTTTTGCTGTTCAATTTTCTATTTTTACAAAGAAATAAACAAATTAATTTTGCATTATTTTATAATGCTTATTTATTTTAAAAAATTTGTATGAAGATTGAATTTTAACCAATAACTTTTCGGTTATATAAGTTTAAAAGCAGGCAATTTAAGATTTTTCAAATTTCGAAACAAATATATCTTCAAATCGCATTCTCTATCCAAGCAGAGGTACGAGAAAGTTAGGTTATGTACAGTACTCGTGATTGTAACTTACCGTACTGCCCCATCCATTTAATAATTTTCGCACTTTTTTCCACTGAAATTATGATGACACTGCACTTATCTTTTATAAAACGCATTTTTCATTAGTAAATTAAATTGCACATGTGTTTCGAACAATAAAGTCAGTGCGCATGAGCACAAGATATTGAACAATTAACCTGTTACCTGAGCAAATCGCCATAGCAATCCGTATTGTTTCTTTAGCATTCGCTAGGGACGCGACTGAAGGTTTGTTGTTATGCAATGCAAAATTGCAAACTCAAAAAGCCGAAGATATCAAATTCGTATTGTTGACAAAACCAAATAGATTTGTACTGACAACAAATTTACCAAATTTAGATTTAACAATCCAAGAATAGTTAACATAACAATACTCTTTTTCTCCGTGTATAATAAAAAAGGAGGAACTTTATATTGAATAGATAACCTGTTACTGGCTGTAGAAGAAGCACAAGGGAAATGTATTGCGGGACTGTTGAGATATAGTATCAAGTGCCAGAATAGACTTTAAGAACAGGAAAAAGAAAAACCGAACACCAACTGCGATTGATAGTGTTGAAATGATTTTTTAAGTAAACTTGATATAAAATAATGATAAATGTTCATTTTATCCAAACGATAATTAATTTCTAATAAACTACCTATAATATATTTCCAATATAGCGGATTTTTCTTAAGTTTATCAGATTCGCTTGAAACTTGTTACCCGGGGATTTTCAGTGTTGCTGCGATTATACAAATCTGATATTAAATTTGTAATTAGTAACCCCGAAAATCCCCCAAGTAATGAGATTCCAGCGAATCGGATCAATAAAAATTTTTTTTTTGCTATATTAGATCCACCATATTGAAGATTAAAAAACACTAGCGAGACATTAATAACTTTGTATAATTATTTAATGCAAATCGTAAATATTTTGTAAACTGCGGATAAGTATTTGTATATGTAAATATCCTTTGGAGAAATATAGTTAATGTATATGTACGTTTACTGTGCATGCAAGTGAGAAAGTCGGTATTTAAATCTGAGGCTATTAGATTCTTTATGCATGAAAACATTTGCACCCTTCTCACGACTTTGAACCAAACCGCCAAAGTCATATCCCTATCAAGTCTACCAATTTCGATTCTGTTAGAAACAGAACTGTAGTATGTAATAGCTGTTGTTACATAAGGTATAAGAGGCTATTATTTCTTTTAACTTGTTCAAAAAATACTATTTCATGAACAATGTATTGCAGGATATTTAACGAAGAATCAAAGCCCATATAGAGGCCGATTATGTATTTTTACTTTGACCTAAACCAAAAGAAGTTGTGCGGTTAATGTTTTGAAAATATTCAAAATACTAAGGGGAAGTGGGGTAGTTTGAAACGTGAAACATGATAAGAAACTAAATCTTCAACTCTATACAAAAAAAGTATGGGGCACTTTTTGATAGGACCAACAGCATCCGAGCTACGATGGACCAAAGTGGACAAAAAATTTCGAAATTTTTTAATTTTCTATATAAACTCTCGAGGAAAACAGGAGAGATTATTATTTATAATTACCTTAAAAATTGTTTGATAATTTTTCAAGATAGGTAGGTATGTGAGTGTAGATTAAAATTATATTAATTGTAATTTGAATGAAAAGCAATGTAGATAAATTAAAGAAAAAAATTGAATATTCTACTATGAATGTAAAAGCTTAGACGAAATTGGCAGTGGGGTTCCTGACTAGTGTTAACACAGTAACAGTGTGATGTAATGAGGCCCGGAAACAAGCAATTTGTCGTCCGCTGCCATCGTAGTTGTGCGAGACAACCTGCTTAGTGTACCTTCATCTTCGCGTGTCTCTGCTTTTAATTCAGGTGCATAATAATAGCAACTCATTATTAATTGATTCTTTCCAAAATGTGATAAAATTTAAATGCCAGTGCCTTCAGAATTGTGTTTTTGTGCGTGTGTAAATGTGTGTACGGGCACATAACTTGAATCACTAAAGTTGATAAAAGCACTCTATATGTGATGTTTAATATTGTGAATTTTAAATCGACTCATTTAGTCAACTATACTTGAAATCTATTCTTAAACATACTATACTATGTTTTAAAATAAAACTAAAAAATAGAATGTTTCTTTTTTTTATTTTGTGGTCAATTAGTCTTTGTGAAAAGAAGTGTTTATTTATTGAATAATTAAAAAGTAAACATTAAATAGCAATAAAATAATTTACATTTTTTCATTAAAATATTGATATTTATGGTAACTTTTTAAAATTCGTACAATTATTTTGACTTTTTTTAAATAGAAAAATATTAAATTGTTATATTTTTTAATATATGTTTTATACAATTTATTTATTATTATTGTACAAAATTTTTGTTTAATCAAATAATTGTTAGCGTTTTGTGAAATGTTTAAAAATACACTTTTGCTACTACAGTGCTTATTTCTCTTTAAGCGGTTGCTGTTAAATAGATCTACACAGCTGGTCAGACGACTTCCGGTGCGTACTATCTTCCAAACAAGATCAATTAGTGAAAATAAGTAATGATATGACAGTTACGTAAATAATTTAAAAAATCAAAACAAATATTTAGCTTTTATTTTATCGTCAAATATGTATAGAAATTTATAAATGGTGATTGTATAAATAAGTAATTATTTCAAAGAGAAGAATTAAAAAAAAATTTAATTATTATAGACAGGAGAAATCATAATGAAACCTTTGACATAATATTTCTATTAATATAGAATTTTTTAGAGTAGTAGAAAAGTTTGAATAAAGACATGAATGTATATTTATACAGTAAATAAAACAGTGTCTCAACAATTAAAAAAGAATTATTTTATCAAGTCATAATATTAAATAAAAGTTAAGAGAAAATTATTATAGGTTCTAAGGTTGCAATAGTAGGGCTCTATTTAACGAAATTATTTAATAATAAAACACGAGAACACGCAGGTCAATTTTTAAAAAATTAACAAAATACTATAAATTTAATATATCTCAAACAGGGAAAGTTGGTGAACCAAAAAATAATATACAAGAATAAACAGGCAGCTTCCAGGAATATATTTAAAAAAAAAACTCTAACTCTTATTCTAGGATATTTGATCAAGTTATTTCTCAAAATAAGGTGAAATTATTTCCGTCACATAATTTTAAGAATTTTTAAAAGAAATCCGCTCAAACCAATTGCAAAATATACAACTAGATAAAGACATAAAAATTTTATAAGGAAAATTCTAAAATTGAAAATTTATTTAATCCTAGGGACATTGTGGTAATGTACGATAGCTCAAGCTGTTCCTATACAGCTGCGCTAGACTTAAAAGGACCATCAGGAACTGAAGCAATTGCTACAGGTGTTGCTATCACGTCATCTGGTGTCAAACAAGAAAGTTGGCCGTACAGAAGTCTTGCTTGTGGCAGTACATTTCAGCAACTGAAGCAAAGCGTCGAAAAAGCTAAACAAGCTCTTGCAGATAGAGGAGGATATCTTGCTGGTGCATTTTCTTCATCATCCCGAGTTAACTCTTCTGCTATTTTTCCTACGACATCTCTCACTGGTAAGATTTTAAAAATTTAATTTCTACATTTCATTCACTTTTCACGGTTGTTGAGAGGTGGTTTTAAAATGACGACAAAAATGTAAAGCACACTTATTGTATTTGATAATATTTTAAGATGAAAAATCCCCGTTGGATTTAATATCCTGGCTTTCGAATTATTATAACAATACGGTTATAAGAAGATTATGCAACAAATATAATATTTACTATCTTACACGGAGAGAAATAGATGGTACGGGGTACTATCTAGATAGTACCAGGTATCATATTTGATCTTACATATACGGACAACTATCTAGATTCTATCTGTTACTATCTAGATTGTAGTGGGTAACATAACCATACTTTTTGTAACATCTTTGATAGTACCGATTAGCATTACCGATTTTTACCATCTTAAGATCATAAGTTCTTATACCATCTATTTCTTTCCGTATAATAATATATGCATGTCTGATTAATTAACATTAAGGAAATATTACCTGGTTATCTAAAAGAATTACCACTTCACCAAAAAAATACGCAAAAAAGTAGAATCTATTACCAAACCTAATGCACATACGAGTCGAAAGTCCTCATCAACAGACCTACCTAACTTGTAGTGCATTTAGCTTTATGATGATCTTGTGCATAACTACCCATCAGGATAATCTGTTGGTTATAGGACTCACGACTTGGGTTTGATATCTTATTGATGACATCCGTGTACCACACTTTACCCCCAACTTTGAACCCTTTCTTCAAATCTTGACTAGAAAAAATATTAATCTTAAACCGCCGTCGTATGTACGATTAGTGTTGTAGTGGTGAAAATCATCGTGCAATTATTAATGGTTAATAAACAGACCAATTTTGAAGGCCATAAAAAATGCAACAAGGTTAGAATTGAAGCGGAAAAGTTTTAATTCCTCCATATAACAACGTAGAAGATTTAATTCCCTCTTTCGGTGAACACAAAAAAAACGTAGTCATCATTTTTGTTGCATCTCAAAATGAGCCTATGCTAAACGACATAGACAGTGTCGCCACCAACTTGGCTCATTTTGAAGACCCGGTTTTTCTGTGAAGACGAGGACGAAAATATTGAGGAATGTCTTCGACGAGTATATACAATATATCCTACTCTCTAAATTTGAATCAGCGATAAGTATACCACTGTTACCAATTAGCGTATATACACTGAAAAATCAGTGCATTTTCACTAATTTATCAGTGCATATATACGCTGATTGGAATCAGTGGTATACTTATAGCTGAGAATCAGCGAGATTTCACTGATTCAAATTTAGAGAGTAAAGACGTAAGCAATACGCTTAGATTGAGAGCAATATTAGTATAACAATACGTCTGAAATAGTGACAAGAAATTGAAATAAGTTGAAGATAAAGCTGATCAAGATTTTTAAATAAAAAAGGATGTCGAAAACCAAAAGGATGAAAGTAAGTGTCTGTAGATTAGTTCAGACACATGCGACGCTCTACCTGCTCCTCAAGAGCATAAGCACTTCCATTCTTGTATTAGCGAAGAGTTTTCGTAGAGTATACCCAAGCAGCACGGTAAATTCCCTGAATATCCCTTGAGTACCACAGTGAAATATTCTCATGATCTTCTAGGAAAATCAAAATGTCCGCATCATGGGAATATTCCTCAGTGACATTCAGAGTATATTCCAGTGACATTGAGGGAATATTCCTCGGTGACATTCATGGAATATTCCAGTGACATTAAGGGGATATTCAGATGAGAGAGATATTGAGAGAATATTCCACGGTTATATTGAATTTTTTTTTAAATGTGTTTTTAATCTTCCTGCTTATTTAAATAACAATTTATAACACATTTTTATTATTTCAACACTTTAAAAAAAAATTCAATATAACCGTGGAATATTCCCTCAATATCACTGAAATATTCCTCTAATATTACCTTCAATGTCACTGGAATATTCCCATGATGCGGACATTTTGATTTTCCTGGAAGATCATGGGAATATTCCACGGTAGTATTCAAGGGATATTCAGGGGATATGCCGTGCTGCTTGCGGGTAGCGATAATGACGTCTACAAATTTTATGACGATGAGACCATCTGATGTTTGTTCCAGAATGAGAGACAAGATTATATGATTATATAACCAAACTTTACAGCTCCAGGATAAGATGCTAAAATTTTCACCGGAGAAGAATATTCGAAATATATGCCCACACAGCACAACATCTTACACCAGGCCTACAGTAGGCTTACATGTAAGGTTTGTAATGTAACATCGTAAGCCCATAGTAGACTTACAGTAAACCTAAAATGTCCGCCTTACAGTAAGCTTACATGGTAGGGTCGAGGTAAGCTTACATGGTAGGGTCGAGGTAAGCTTACATGGTAGGGTCGAGGTAAGCTTACACGGTAAGGTCGAGGTAAGCTTATGAGTAAAGGCTGTGGTAAGGTTATTATTAAGTTGTAAGGTTGAGGTAAGGTTGTGGTAAGCTTACAAGGTAAGGCAAGTTATATTCAAATAATATTATTAATAATAAATAAATATTCAATAAAAAAATTTTTCTTTTGCCTTATTCTATTTTGGGAACCTATCATTTCGCAGAAAGTTTTGAAAATAAATTTGGGAGGAGTAGGATTCGAACCCGGGACCGAAGTATATACCTAACAACCTAACCAACTGAGCTAAACGGGGAACTGACAATGAGAAAAGTAATCTTGCTTTTAAGGAGTTGATTATCTTCTTGGTTCCACTTTAAAAGTAAGATTACTTTTCTCATTGTCAGTTCCCCGTTTAGCTCAGTTGGTTAGGTTGTTAGGTATATACTTCGGTCCCGGGTTCGAATCCTACTCCTCCCAAATTTGTTTTCAAAACTTTCTGCGAAATGATAGGTTCCCAAAATAGAATAAGGCAAAAGAAAAATTTTTTTATTGAATATTTATTTATTATTAATATTATTATTTGAATATAACTTGCCTTACCTTGTAAGCTTACCACAACCTTACCTCAACCTTACAACTTAATAATAACCTTACCACAGCCTTTACTCATAAGCTTACCTCGACCTTACCGTGTAAGCTTACCTCGACCCTACCATGTAAGCTTACCTCGACCCTACCATGTAAGCTTACCTCGACCTTACCGTGTAAGCTTACCTCGACCTTACCGTGTAAGCTTACCTCGACCCTACCATGTAAGCTTACCTCGACCCAACCATGTAAGCTTACCTCGACCTTACCGTGTAAGCTTACCTCGACCTTACCGTGTAAGCTTACCTCGACCCTACCATGTAAGCTTACCTCGACCCTACCATGTAAGCTTACTGTAAGGCGGACATTTTTGGTTTACTGTAAGTCTACTATGGGCTTACGATGTTACCTTACAAACCTTACATGTAAGCCTGCTGTAGGCCTGGTGTAAGATGTTGTGCTGTGTGGGTGATATCGGCATTGTTATCGTACGTCTGTCAGGAAATGGGCAAATGTTAGGATATATACAATTCTTTCATAGAATTTTTATTTGATCAAAATTTCCGATTGAATTGGTGACGGTAGATTTTTTTGGTCCGTTGCCTCAGTCGTTATAAGGTATTTAGTACATTTTCGTGTTACAGGTTATTTTTTCGTTTGTGATGATATATTCATCATATCTATCTAGATAGTACCAGGTACCATATTTGATCGTACATATACGGACAGCAATCTAGATTCTATCAGTTACTATCCAGATTGTAGTGGGTAACATAACCATACTTTTTGTAACATCTTTGATAGTACCGGATAACATTTACTTTTTACCATCTAGTTCTCTCTGTGAAGGCTCTTATTTTTAATAAGTAGAAAAGTCGTTAAGAATACTTTTCGACAACGAAAAAGTCTTGTTAGTTTCCTAGATTCGTTTCATTAATAGTTTTTTTTGTTATAATCGCGTACATGAAATAAATCGTTTTTAATTTTTAAAATATACGAGTATTTTGTATTGGAATATAATTTAAAGAAGAAATTTATGTATTATTGGAAAGATCTGTGATTCTCAGGTAAATTTTAAATTCACCGAATTTCTGTGTTGAATTACTGGTTAAAGGAAGATGGTGGATCTTTGATGGCGACGAAGCTGGGAAATCCAGATGATGAGGGAGGAGTGGTTGAGGGTTAGCCAAGAGCGTGTCCATGACAACCGACCGCCCCGCTAACAGACACCCTCATGATCCCGGATGCTGTATTCCCAACTCGGGGAAAGGGATTTAAAGTTAGGCGTTGGCTATCTATTATTATCTTTGGTCCAAGGGACATATAGTCACTTTTACCTTCAGTACTATATATATAACTCATGTCTTTTTTCTTACATGAAAAATAAAGGTTTCTTTTAATCGTTTTGTTTAAAACAAATTTAATGCATTTAAGTCCAAAAAACGACATGCGTTATTTCCGTACCCCAGATTACTAAGTATATTGATTCAAATTTTCTATTAAAATTTATAAAACGGTCAAATCACGTTTGGGACAACTAAAAGTAAGTGCTAAATGAAAATTTGTTTATTGTTTTTCAGTTAGTGCGTAAGTTGATTATAGAAAAACAAAGTTTTTTAACGCAGATTATAAATAACTATTAAATTTGATGCAAACTTTATTTTAATTATTTCAAATGTTAAATTGGAATATTGAAATACAGAAAGAAATTTTAGTTTTTCAATACAGAGAATTTGTACCCAACTAATATTTCTTATAATGTTTGGGGTGATTCGATCCCCTTTAGCATACGCCCCTGGTTTGAGACAATTTATAATCATTTTAATTTGTAAATCATACCAGCCTAACCCTCGGTTTGAAAAGAAAATTTTTGCATTGTCACGAATAATTTTGGGAGGCAAACTTATTTTAATAGGCTCTCCAGTTAGTAACGAAACGAGGTTATTTCTAGAAGGAAAAAGGGTACTCTGTCAGTGGACATAGGTCGTACAGAGATGAATAATGATTTAACGGTATCTAGATGGTGAGATGATGATAGCA